TTATATGGAATAAAAAATCTTCCAAACCACCAAGCAGTTTATATACTTGGATTTTGGGGAGATGAAGCCTTTCCCCCAGCTTAGAAATCCATGGGAAATAAATATGGATTTTGGATGGGATCCAAATGGAAATTCCATGGGGATTTAATGGAAGATTTAAGGGTGATTTAATGGGATTTAGTGGAAGATGAACCCTTCCCCTGAGCTTAGAAATCATGGACATGAATGTGATTTTATATGAATGTTGATTTGATTCAATTGGCTAGTGAAAATTGTCATGGGTTTAAATACCATTAATGATATATGACAGGAAATATAATAGGATTTCATGGGTTTTTCTTACCACTAAATATTGCTCATGGAAATTCATGGATCTGTATCTTATTGCCAACCAACAATCTGGGTAAATTGTAATATTTCACTAACCTGAATAGTTCGGCCATTTTGGGATGATTCCCCTTACTAACTATGATTTCCAGGGTTCGGGAGGACAGTGAGGTCGTTATAATTTACCCAGAATAATCATCATTAACCATTAATAAGCACTATTAATCATCATTAACCAACATTAACCATTAATAACCATTAATAGGATATTTTCATAGGGATATTTCAGCAATCTCTTTATGGAGATGCCACGGGGTGTTTCTTGGAATTCTTGGATGTTGTGTTGGGAATCAAGACACCAAGACACTATCCCTGCGACGATTGAATAACATTGAATAAAACGGGGATACCATCGGAATTTAAAAAAACTGGGATACCATCAGAATTTTCAAATAACTGCTTGGTTCAATGGGAATTTCAGGATCCGATTGATTGGAGGTACCTACCATATATAATGCCTATTTTTTAGGCCTATGTAAGGGAATATCCCTAGAAAATATGCCCTTATATGGTACAGTACCTCCATTTTAGGATCCTGAAATTGGTGGTTAAAAAACCGTCTTGAAAAATATGAGTCAATGGGAAGGATTATCCCATATGTTATGGAAAATAAAATTCATGTTCCAAACCACCAAGCAGAAAAAGTGTTGAAAGACCCATTGTTCATGGATGGTTGAAAGGAGCAATTCATCTGGATATCGCCTCTGGTCATCTGGCAATTCAGAAAAAGCCGGCGACAATGAGTTCAACTCATCCAAATTTTCCCGGAACAATCACCCTTTGATGGCTTAAATGGTACCCCAAATTTTCGCTGGATGGTTTCATGGAAAATCCCATAAAAATGGATGATGGATGGGCTACCCGCTGGTAAACAGCCACATAACGAACTGGAAAATCACCATGTTTTATGGGTAAATCAACTATAAATGGGCCATGTTCAATAGCTATGCAGCTATTTTATAGTCATTACCTATGCGGCTACCCCAAGCCTGGGCATCTCCATCTCCGTCCACTTTTCAGGCTGAGGTACCCCATGGATCGTCAGGGCACTTTGCAACCTAACATCATCCCAACACGGCTCGGAACTGGCCTGGGAACATGTTTTCCAACTACAAATATCCCAGTTATGGATGGGATAAGCCCACGTTTTTTGGGACTTATATACTAACATACCCAAGAGGGTCCGTGAATGCTATATATATATATGGTAACATTTACCCCATCAAGATTAACCCCAGTCATGTTAGCAAACAAATACCAGCACCATGGATCCGTCATGAGTACCAACTGGGCTTATTACTTAGGATTCCTGGGATGATCCTCCAAGTAGCGGCTGTGCTGAATGGTTTGGCCAATTGGATACATAAAAATCTTTGAATGGTGAAACTTCCAAAAACCCTTGACCTTGAGTAATGTGGGATTCACCCAATGCCATATATAACTTATATAACTTATATAACATCTGAGGCTCTTCAGCGATGTTAATTTTTTTCCACCCATTTAAGTTCGGCCCCAAATATATGAGTAGATACACTGCTGAACCAGGTTTCGTTTGGGGGTGATTTAAAGAAGAAGAACTTAGACAGTATGAACTATCCCATGAACTCTCCAAGTGTTTTTTTTTGGCGTCAACAATTACCCGAATTTCCACTGAAATGCGATAAATCTCTGGCAGTGAAAAACATTTGCCTCCCATGTTTTGGTCAATCCAAGTGCTCGACCCCCAGGATTTAAACCCATCGGCCTGCCTCTCATCACCCCGCTTTTCGGGTGAGCAACAGCTACATTCACGGCAAATCCCCCCCTCAACAGCTTGCGGCGGAAAGTTTCACACGTGTTTTGTATGAAAATCGGCTACTGTAATCTTCCAGACTTACCCTGCAAGCGTTCTGATTGTGTTGCTGGGTCTGACCGAGTTCTCCAGTTGCCAATGGGATGTTCCACACTTTGAAAATCCATAGTTTTGTTTGTAGGAATTTGTAGGAATAGCCTTTGGAAATGCTGGCAATTCCAGACCGAATTAGACAATGGGAGGGTATGTTATCCAAAACTTGATTTCCCTCATGAAACTCCATGCACACACCGCGCAGACCGCGCGCCAACATCTCCTTTTCTCAGCTCTCGACGTCGTGTCGCGTCGATTGGGTCTACTTTTTGCACATTGGCTCAACGCCCTCCTTATCCAAGGTACACATTGCTGTCTTCAGGGCCTCCAACTCTTCTTCTCTCTTGGCCTGTGGTGAAAATACCCTCCGGTAAACTAACATAGCTATTGAAAATGACCATTTATAGTTGATTTTCCCATTGAAAATGGTGATTTTCCATAGATATGTTAGTTTACCAGAGGGTAGCTGGTGAAAATGGGAATATCCCACGGCAAAATGCCCAAAACCTGATAGGCAGTTAGCACATTCTGAGACGTTAAGTGTGGTCCATTCATTTCAACTCAGGCAACCCCGGAAAATTCTGGACAATGCCAATGTCTGTAAGACTTCCCAAACATTGTTCACGATGAGATTCGATGTGCTCACCGAAACGGGAATGGAATTCACACCAATAAATGATGACGATGACGATGACGATGACGATGATGATGACGATGACGACCACGACGGCGATGGCGACAGCGACGACGACGACGACGACGACGACGACGACGACGACAAGGACGAGGAGGAGGATGAGGATGAGGATGAGGAGGATGATGATGATGATGATGATGATGATGAGTTGAGATATCATTTACATGTTTCACAAGGCTGTTTACGGGTCTCGGTGATTTCGGGACAAATCATATTCTTTTGATGATGATCTACTTTTCATGTATGTGGAATGGGGACGCCTCACAGATGATGTTCAACAAACAGAAACAGTGCCAATTGCCAGTTTATCAACCATCATTCATTCATCATGTTTCCATACAATGTATATATATATATATGTACACTGTAAATATGTGTATATATATATAGATATATTAGATATATATAACATTGATTTTTGTCGCATTTCCCAAATCTTTGCCTCAAGCCTTTTCTCCATGCCACGGGCGCCTTGCGTTCCTCGTAGCTCATGGTGCTGTCCACGCACTGCGGCTTCAGGTCCTCCAGCGTGCGCAGTGCGCCATCCAGGAGGTCCATGGTGGTCTGCAGCTGCGTCTTGCCGCTCTTCCTTTGGGACCCGAAAGACGTGACTCCGAAACAACCAAAAAAAAAAGGTGAATGTGAATGAGATCTATATGGGAGATATGTAATGAAGCATATGTCATATGGTTATATAATCAAGAGTAGGTTTTTTTTTATATATCTGGTTGTATCCACCTTTTAGGGATGTATAATCCAGAAAAGTGAACATAATATGGGATGCAATTGGGATACATACTGTTGACCCACCGTATATCACCATAATCAACCATCAATATGATACAACTATGTGTGTGTGTGTATGCAATCGTTATGGTAATGCTGCTTAGAAAGAAAAATATGTTGACTTTCCGTAGAGTATTCAGATGTTCTTTGTTGCAAATGTGTGTGTGTTTCAGAGGATCACCACACCAATTACATCAACTACATGTAATCAAAGCTGATACTAATTGAATGTATATATCTATGTACTGTACGGGTATACTACATGCCATCTTTCTGCATGGAAATTCTACCAGGAGATCATGCGAAATTTACTGGACGTCCTCCTTCTGGACGTTTTTTTGGGGTAAGTTGTAAGTTTCAAGTCATCGTTCAGAGATTTCCATCAGGGTAGACCCCATCTGGTTATGACATTCACAATTCGCCATGGTTTTTCGATGGCCCATTGATTTATAGATGGTTTACCGAACTTAAAAATGGTGGATCTTTCCATGGCTATGTTAGTCATAACCAGATGACCTGATTCTTCATTGATGTCGAAAAAAGTAATGCTACAAAATTTCCATGAAGTTCCCAGATCCCTGGCTATATCCTATATCCCATCCTTGCTCCCCTCATCATTGCCCCTGCGTAAATCAGGTGCACCTACCAGCAACTGTTGTCCTCTGGGCAGAGCATTTGACCACTACTTTAACAGGAGTTTACTTGTCTAACTGATTTTTTGGGGGTAGCTATGGGTAGCTAATATATAATCTGGAATTGAACAAGAACATACAAAAACACCATATCTGGCATGAAACTCGCTCCGAAACTCATGGAATTGTCTCAATTGTCCAGCGACCAATGACCAATCTTAGACTGGTCCATTGATGGTATTTGATGGTTGATCATGATGCTAAGGCAATCATGACCAATCTCTATATTGATGCTAATTGATGCTATTTTTTCTTGATCCCTTGTTGGATTACAGTAGATTGATTGAGAGATTACTTGGACATATTCCCCCCCATGTTTGTTGACAAACAATAGAAACAACCCATTTTCACTGACCCTTTACCAAGCCGGTTGTTTTGCAAGTTTCAGCTCGTTCTCCGCATTCTCGAGCTCTTCCTAGCCGGAAACAAAGATCGAGGAAGTGACCAGAGGACCAGAAACATGTCAGATTGCTCATCCCATCCCCCTAATAATACTAAACACACAATTATTCTGGGAATTTATGTGGAATTTCCCATACTAAACCATGGTTTCTAGGGAGTGTTTAATATCAGGGGGATGGAGGATTAGAAATGCATAAGAATCGATGGAGGTCCTCTAAAGAATTGTGCAGGGAGGATCGGTGTTTTACTGGGAAAGACATCTGAGTGTGGGTGAAAATGACTGGACCCGACCCCCAACATGCACAATGTCATACAAACAACAGACCAAATATTTTGGTCCACCCAAATTTTGATACATTCCTGTCTCGCATGACTGAGAAAGCATTCCCATCTCGCCATGACATATCCCAGCAAAAACGCGTGACCTTATCCGATAATGCCAACCGATTGTGTCCTACATCTGCCCCTGCTTTCCCAAAAAAGGCTTTCTCATAAAATTGACCGGGAAAAAAAAAAATACCCTCTGGTAATTTAACATAGCTATTGAAAATATTTTACCTATTCAAAATGGTGATTTTCCGTAGTTATGTTAGTTTACCAGAGGGTAAATCATGGTAAATACACGATTTCACCAGATGTTCCTGCCCAAAACCACCATAGAACTCGTGCCGTCGTTCCGTCATGGCGACACTCGCCTCGTTGAGCTTCTTCTGCGTGGTCTTCCCCGCGATGTCGGTCTTGGACTGCAACTTCAGTTTGGAAAACTCATCTGCTGCCTGGAGTGGTGAATCTTCCGTCAACGTCCCATCTGAAATCCTTGGATGATGTGGATGAATGTTGGATGAATGTATTGGATCAACGGCTCGAAAATAGTTGGGCACTGCAAGTCGTGTCCAACCAATTCGGGGGAACTTCACCCAACTTTGAGGTGTGACCCAACTTCCATGGTGGTGTTAAATAATATAGCCCACATGTGGCTGTTGCTTGGGAGATGAAGAAATGAGAAGAAATGTACAGCATGCACATTCCATAGACCGATCAGGTTATATCCCACCAGCACCTGGAAGATGTTCCAAGAGAAACGTATGCAGAAGGTGATGTTTCAAGATCTGAATCGTAAAAGAAACGGTTTAGAAAGGTGGTGTTGAAAGATGACGGCTAAGGATCTTCAATCAGCAGATTGAATCATTTATATAGATCACGGTGATGTTCACTGGACTTGTTTCCAGTTTTGGGCCACAAACAACTCAAGTTAAACATCTGGATAATTCCCATGTATTCCCATAATGAGATTCCCCCGATTCCGATCAATTTCTCCATGTTCTGTTTAAGGTTATTCCCCAATAATTCCAAGCAAAAAAAGCAGGGTGAAATGTGCCATGCTGTTCTTTGCCTTATCCTCTGAGTCCTTGGTTGTGCTGGCAGACTTTTCGAAGTCGTCCCGCACCACCTGACAACGCGATGACTGGGAAACTTCTGATCTTTCGCAAGCGAGGCCTATGAACCTATACGGTGTCAAATAATACCGACAGTAATTGTATATTGTCATATTGCCGGTTACATGACCCTTTGCAACTGGTACACAGCTATCATAGAAGTTACAACAAAATCGAGCATTTTGATGGGATTTTGATAGGGAACCCTCATGTTCTATAGGAAAATCATGAAATGCTGTGTTTTCAAAGGTTACAGTAAAATACCTGAAGGCTAACCTCCGTTGGACTTGTGGTTCGATTGTTGGTTAAACCACAAAGAATTAGCGAAATTCCCCACGTTAGGCTGTAAAAACCATGTTAAGCCTACATGTTGAAAGGAAGACATCGTAATTTCTCCGTGTTTTCTTGCTTATAATCATAGCTTCTTACTTTAGATCCGTATTTTGGATACATGTTCTCCGGATTTTTGCTGTTTCCAACCATGTTTTTGGTGGTTCAACCCACCACCCACCAGCCCGCCATCGGCGCCGTAGCAGCGCCTCCAACATCGAGATCACTCCCTTGGCCGCCGTCTGCTTGCCGCCGTAGCTGCCTTCAAAGCCGGCCTCAGGCTCCTGGCAGAGGACGTTGAACAAGCCCAGGAAAGAAGGATTTCTAGCGGGAAAGATACAGTACATGTAGATGGACGTATAAAAGTATGTGTATATATACATGTAAATAAGGATGAATACATAATGATGCATACGTAATGAAGAATACATAAATCAAATAAACAACAAACTAGACATTAATATGGAGATATATGGAGTACTACAACTAAATATGACTCTGAAACACCCTCTGGTAATTTAACAGTTTGCTATTGAAAATGGCCATAGAAATAGTGGATTTTCCCCATTAAAAATGGTGCTTTTCCCATCAGTTACGTTGGTTTACCAGAGGGTACTCTGAATCTCCAGATCCAACTCCGGGGGGATTCGACAGACATCTTCGACATCTTTTGATGCTTGGAATGCCATGGAAAAAATAGATGGTTGATTTTAATCATTTGGGAAATTGGGGATAATTGGGGATAATTGATTATTAAAATTGGGATTGGGGATGGTTGACTATTGCTCCAATTGGACATTAGACAAAGCGGTTTCCACATTCCGTTTCCATCCCCGCGGTCCCAGCAAAAAAAAGTCCTCCAGCTTAAGACTCCCATGACTCCCATCATCTCAAAAACACCATGGTTCCAAGCCCAGCCAGCCCCTACTTTTTCTTCAATAATTCATATGTGAATTCATATGTGAATTACTCTCAATTCACCTTTGTCGAACTGAAAACCAGGTGACCTTTTTCAACGAAAACCCTACGATACCCCATCATCCCCATCATCCCACCAGGACCATCATCCACATCTGGGTACTTATCATATCCCCACTCTATCCCCATTTTTGTTGCTTAAATCCGAGCGTTTCCTCTATGTTTTCCTGCTTCAATCACCAATTGTTCTTACAGGATGGGGCCCCAGTTCGTTAGCTAAGTTGGTGCAAATAACTATAATAACAATAGTGTATGATACTTAAACCTCTATATTTAGATGGGGCCCCATAAACCAACAAACATAACGTTTGGGGGGGCCATCCTGTAGTTAAAGTAGTCAATGGGGACTTCCCAAGTCATACTTCCGTAGATATACCCCCTCATCAACCATCCAAAGACTACAACAATCTTATCAACATATAAAACAATACCTAAATTCAACAAGAAGGGGGATTATCAATAAATGGTATGGGAAGCGCCCCAGTAGGTAGAAAAATAGTAGTCCAAAACATATAAATCATACAAACTCATTGATACATTGAATTAATTAAATTGACTGTATCAAGCAGTTTCTGGGTTAATTAAGTTTAACAATCTTCGGTGTCCCTTGCTTTTTTTGTGTCCTGAAAATGACTTCCTACTTGTAAGAACTCTACAAGTCTGGCACCATACCTGACCCTATTGCCTCATCTCGTCTCCCTCATCTAGTTCTATGTAGTGTCTGTGCTTGTCTGTTGCTATGTGGTCTTGCCATCCATCCTTTCTCACTTCTGTTTTACAACAGTCGCACCATACCTTCTGCTTGTTTCTTCTCTTCTCTCTGAAAGTAGCCTATCCTTTTCTTTCTCATAATGTCTCTTTGATTTAGCATTCATTTTTTCAGGGTTGTTTTTCTGATACTCTGCTACTTTTGCCAAACAAGTAATACAGGTTTTCCTTCCTTCCTTGAACTCATCATTTGCTTTGTCCTTATGACATTTACAGCAGTTTTTCATTTCAGCCATTCTACTACTAATATATATATATAGTCATTTTGTTTGTTTAAGTAGTTCTCAAGTCATAAATAGTTGAAATAATTAAGGTTAATAACTAAATCAGTTATTAACCTTAACTATTCAAAAGCATTTAATGTCTCCAATCTCCCACACCATTCCAATAACAACTAACTAAACTCTTAAAATTATAGTGTATGAATATTGCATCTTCATCTTTCATGTTTTGCTTTTTCATGAAATGAGCAACGACTGTTAATAATGAATAGTAGTTCCATACCATGGCGGCTTTATCTCCTCTCTCATGAATTAACTCTCCATTTCTTTTGACTATGTCCTTGTCTAATACATTCTCATAGATTTATTTTATCCATTTTTGGTTTTCTTGTCCATATTCGGCAAACATATCCATATACATTTCACGGTTTCCATTGTTGATTATTTTTATTACCTCTCCATATTTAGGATAAGGATGTGTAATAATGATTTTTCTTAACTTGTCCTTGTGGTTTTCTAATTCTTTATCAGTTTATCCAATCATTGGCATATTTTATTACTAATATATATATATATAGTCATGTTATCTTTAAATACTTTTTCAAAAGTCAAGTATCATCATAATATCATTTCTCTCTACAATTACATTGTTTACAGTAGATGATACCGTTTTTTCCATGCCTTTTTCAATGCCAAATTCAAACTCACAACTACATCTATTACATCTACTCCCCATCCTCTCATAAAGCCACTTGACATCTATGTATTTGTTTTCATCTATCTCTCTATTGGCTGTCCTATCTTGTAGTTTGTAATTGCCAATTTTCTTTTCCAAGTATCTTATCAGTTTCTCTTCTGTCAGTTCATCAGCATCATCTTCATTTTCAGGTTTTCCATAAAACTTTACTTTGTTTACCCTCTGGTAATTTGTTACATAACTATGGAAAGATCCACCATAAATTTCATGGGAAAATCCACTATTTCGACTGGGCCATTTAAACAATAGCTACATTAAACGTTTACCAGAGGGTTTCCATCCCTTGCTGACCGTGATACTGGTCCAAATCCACTCCCTGCTCATACCATCTTGTATGGTATGCTTTCTACAAATCATAACATCTCCAACTTCATACTTATCTGACTTTCCTAAATTCTTCCTGATGGTGTTGCTCACCCATTTACACATTCTATTCGTATATGCAATGTTATGCTCTGCTTCCATTATGTTGTTTGTTGTTTCAAAGTATTTAGGCATTACTTCATCCAATGGCAGTTTATGTTTCCAAATGTCGTTATATACCTTGTCCATCTTTTGTCTGTCTTCTTCTGTCTTAACTCTCTTACATATCGTTAAGTAAATCTGATACTTGAACATCTGATTTAGGCATTGGTTTGGGTATTTTTCGTGGTCTTGTGTGTTGGTTAAATCCACTATGGGTGGCAACTGCTTTCCATCAGCAGTGCCTATGATGATTTTGTTGTTGCTTTGTTTATGAAATGCCTTATCTTGTTTAATGTGTATGCTCCTACTTGTCCCATTTCATCAAAGACTACACAGTCAAAATCAGAATGGTCATACTCCGGTAGGGTCTCCCCTGTTTCAACTGGAATGCTAAAGAATTTGTTATAAGTGGTGGCTTCAGCATTCACCTCCTGAAGTTGTTTATGGTTAGGAACAACGAAGAGCACATTATATCCTAAATTCTTCATATACTCACCTATGTAGGACTTGCCAGTCCCCGCAACTCTACCTTTTATGAAGACCGGATTACATTGAACAATTTGCTCACAGATGCTCTGGGTGTCATACTCATCTTTTACTTCGATTTTTTCATTTTCATAGGTAGGTATTGTTGGTATTTGGTTAGGCTTCATTTTGTAATAATCAGTTGGTGGTAAGACTTGCTTATTGTCTTCTGTCCTCCAACCTCCTATTTCTTTTGAAAAGCCAAGCAGTTTTTTAGCCTTCATGATGTCATTTTTGTCAATGATGATGAAGACCACAGCATATCCTTCAGTTGGAATAGACAAATCACACCAGAAGACAAGAAAGTAGAAAGCACTAACAAGATGATAAGTGATGTAATGAGCATACCTCGCGGTAGTGGAAGTAGCAAACAACAACTGGCAATAAATGACATGGACTGAAAATACTTTCCCATAAAATGTTCGAAAGAGTAGATTAATGCGTTTTAACTCAAAATAAAAGTTTAAGTTTAATTTCTATGTTAGTATATATGTCATTTGAGGAGAAGGTTGAAGAACTACCAAAGGAAACCAAGAGCAAACTGAAGAACTGTAAAACCATAAATGATGTTGCTGATGAAGTGGTTAAAAACTTTAACTGCTTTCAACTAAAAATCCAAGACTTGGAGGAAAGGCTGAAGAAGGTAGAATGGAAACCAAAAACAACAAAGCCCGCAGATGAAAATGACAATGCCTACAAATCAAAAAAAAATATCTACCTTGGCAAGTTGAATGACAAACTCATCAAAGAACCCAAACAATCAACCTTAGACTACTATACAGTCAAGTATGATGATAAAGAGGGTATTTAACTATTAGATAATGGTTGTAATATGTTGTAATAATGGCTACGGCTACACCCCATTATTAGAACTATCCCCAACAAATCCCATTACCAAAACCACCAGACCCCATCATGAAAGGCTCCAGACAACGGCATATCTTCTGACAAGCAGGACACACAGAAGGGTAGGGTATGTATATATGGTTTTATAATATGAGGGTATGGTGGTATGTATATATTATATATGTATATCCCTATTCCCCCATTGGTTGAAATGACTGCCAAATGTCAAGGTTTGGAATGATTGTTTGGCAGTGTCATTTGTTCCAAGTTCTGGTTGAACTGTCCATCAAAGGTCAGGCTTTGGAGACTTTCTGGGTTTCCACCACAAGAAGTCGCCCTCATCCACCTGTCGCGCAAATGGATTTCACAGCCGGTTGCTCCAAATTTTTGGCAGATTTTTTCAAAAAAAATGGCAGATTTCTGGCTCAGGTGGCCACGGCTCAGGTAGCAATAGCGGCCAGCAGCTCAGCAGCAAGTTCTGCAGCTGTCTCGCCAGCTCCTCTGCACATGTCATCGATGCAATCTGCCAGGTAGTCCGTGAAGGTGGCCTCGCCGATTCCATGGTGATCCGCTGTCCTCAAATGTTTGGAACAGGTCTTTTCGAAGTCATTCTTCTCCTCTTCGTTGCACCCCTGGAGGTTGACCATGCCATCCACCTGGACTACTTCCAAAGCGTGGATGAGGCACCTCATCCACGCTGTGGAAGTAGTCAGCTGCTTCATCACTTCCTCCTAGGTCCTGCCACTTCTTTGCAGCGCTGAACTCCGAGTCTTCGGACGCCGCGGACCCTCCGGACGCCGAGGTTTGCAAGGAAGAGAAGGCCCGAGCCACCTTGACCTCCCCCTCGACGTGTTTCTCGTCGCCCCTTAGCAAAATCAATCAGAAAATGACCCCTCAGTGATATTTCTGCGCATGCGCATGTTTCTTGACTCTGGAAATGATATACACATGTGCTTTCAATCAAACACTTGCAGGAAGCACTCCAAGTAAAAACAATAAAACACATTCAAACACATTCAAACACCTGACACCTGGACAGGAGTGACAACTCGCGCCTTCGCGACATGGTGATATGGAGGTTGATCAGATTGAGCTGCAGGCCGAACCACAACCTCGAGGTTGTGGTTGGGCCTGCAGCTCAATCTGAGAACGGCGATGCCGGTCTCTTTGGTGTGCACGTTCATATGAAGCCGATTATGAAATTTGGCCCCGTTTGTCGTGACCAAGTTGAAAGTGGTCACATCATTTCCCTCCGCATCCACGGAGATGAGGTCAGACGGTTCAGAACTCTTCACCGCAGTCCACCCCTGGTTTGCTTTTCGGGCTCTCCATTCGCATTTCTGCGCAGTGATTTCCAAGACTTGCTGGAGAGATTCTCCCGACATGTCAACCAGCAACAGGCCTTTGGTGAAAGACAGATGTCCGGAATAATGGGCTAGAGGTGCCAGTCCACCGGGGTTTTCTTGACTTCTCCCCCAGCTGACTGCAACTCGGCCTCCATGCCTGAAAGACGCCACAACAAAAATGTCCCTTGGCTGAGGAGAGGTGGTGACAGGGGACCCGCACGTGAAGACCTTGGACGGCAGGAGGCACACAGTGTAGCTCCTGCCATCCAAGGTCTTCACGTGCGGGTCCCCTGTCACCACCGCGGTGGAGGGACTTTGATACATGGTGCTTTGAAATGTTGGGTTGGTATAGTCTCCTTTCTCATTGTCCGTACAACAAGTATATACAAAAATCTCTGTCTGTTCTGAATTGAATCACTGTGGTGGGGTTGAAAAACCCTCCACCCTGACAGTATGTGATGCAGGAGGCCACAGATACTATTTGTGCGTTCACAGTGGCAATGTTCTGACAGAAACAACTCGTGCAGACTTCAATCCAACCATACGGCTGACCTTGCTGCAGGCCGGAGGAGAGGTTCTGGCCTGCCATCGTCTGCAGCAAGCATGACGGATCAGGCCCTTCCTCGGCTGCCACGGCCGTCCACGAAACAAGGGCTGACAGCACAAGAGCCATGGACGACATATTTTGAATGAAATTCTATCACGGAAAAGAGTCGGTCGCAAGATTGCTTTGAGCACAAGTGGCTGCTGGGCAAACCAACCATTTGGATGAACATCCCGTAGATTTTTGGTGTGAATTTGAAGGTTGATGCTCAAGTGTCTCAATCCAAGATGCCGTGCCGACACATCAACTGCTCTCAATGTCCAATTCAAATCTGATAAATCAAAATGAAACTGTCAATCCAAAATATGGCAACTTGAATGCTTCACCAAACCGTCTGCCACGAAATCCGACAAATAGCGCTCAAACAAGCAAGGAGTGCCATGTGGTGGATGATGGCAATGTAGCCAAAAGAAAAGCGGGGCGAACGGTTTCAAATGGGTATTTTCTAAAATATATAAAATGGGAAAAACATTATTAGAACTTTTTAGTGGGACTGGTTCAGTCGGCAAAGTTGCCGATATATTAGGGTATAGTGCTATATCGTTGGATTTAAAGGATGCTAAAATTACTACCGATATATTGGAATGGGATTATACCAAAATTGACCCTGATGAAATAGATGTTATATGGGCTTCGCCCCCTTGTATAGAATACAGCATAACCAAACAAACTGGAGTTAGAAAGATTGATGAAGCAAACAAAATTGTTTTAAAGACCCTTGAAATTATTGACTAATTATTTACAGTCCTGATACTGGTTCATAGAGAACCCCCAAACCGGATTACTTAAGAAACAACACTTTATGGATGGATTGGATTTTATTGATGTTGATTATTGTAAGTATGGAACGCCCTATAGAAAAAGAACCCGAATATGGAATACGTTGAAGGGGTTATGGACACCCAGACCCTTCTGTAAAAAAGATTGTGGTTTTATGAATGGGAACAGGCATAGGGAAACAGCACAGAGAGCACCGAGCAATAAAAAAGATAGTTGGCCAGAACACTATACATTGTTTGAACAAAGGGATTTGTATAGAATACCTACTGAACTAATATAAGAGGTATTTAGTGCTATATCAACATAGTCTATCTATCTATTTATCTATCTATCTACTGTACCCCACACCTAAAAAACCAGAGCCAGCGCAACTGCCAAGCCCCTGAGTTTCTGACCATTCCGGCGGTGATAATAATGATGAGGATGAGGATGATGATGATGATGATGATGATAATGAATGACCCACTGGAGTGTGTTATTTTTCTACCTACTGAGCCACGGCCCTATACCATTTATTGATAATCCCCCTTCTTGTTGAATTTAGGTATTGCTTTATATGTTGATAAGATTGTTGTAGTCTTTGGATGGTTGATGAGGGGGTATATCTATGGAAGTATGACTTGGGAAGTCCCCATTGACTACTGTTAAACCCTAAATTGTCATCATGAGATCCCCAAGATATTCGCCATTTATCAAATCCCATGTCCATCCCCCAAACATCCCCACGACACCTCTGTGGTTTGCACCAGCACGGCCGCTGCCTTGTCGTGGTTTGCCGCCTTGCGCGCCGCACTTTTATAGAAGGCCACCAGGGTCTCGATAGCCTCCTTGGTCGCCTGAAACGGCTATGAAAAATGAGGATCTGATTGGATTTTAGAGGGTTTTAGTACGGTGATTTCATTGATTTTTATGGGATTTAGTGGGATTCTATGCGAATTTTGACGGGATTTCATGCTGATGAAAAACAGCCCTTCCCCGGTTATAGGAATAGCAGTGGATTCGTTGCAACAAGCGTGGCTGGTGCTTTGACAAATCAAAATTGCGGCTATAAAAAAACAAAACATTGGAGCTTTTCTTGTTGTTGCCACAAGTATTTTGGAATGTGAATGAAAATCCCGGAAATCACTGATGATGTATGATTATATAGTGATTCGGTTTCTGGTTGACCATCCACGATGACAAGCCAAGATGAACAACTGCTGAAACTACCAACTGTGTACTTCCCAGTAATCTAACCTGGCAGTGGAAAATCCATTGCAGGACCTGGGTTGTTATCACCGCACTAATAGGATGTACATCGAAGTATGCAAGCACTCGCCCAACAATTTCGTCCCGTTATATCATGTATTTCTCCCGTTATGTGCCATATGTTCGTGGTTTCCAACCTATACTCATGACCAACAAAAATTAAGAAAAAAGTAAACCAGCATTTTATTCGCGAAGTGACGATTCTCACATGTTCATGTGTTTTCCATCTTTTTGAGGGGTTCAAAGCTCTGATTTCATCCCATCTCTAACAAAGAGACGCAGTGGGATCGCCATCCCAGTCGCCTCAAAGCCTTGTTTGGCCTCCTTGATTTCCTGAACTGACAAGAACTGCAACAAAGGGAAAACTTGGGAAAACTTGGGAAAATTTGGGAAAATTTGGGAAAATCCGGTTAAGCTGTTGGGAATTCACTTGGAAACGATACTTATTATACTGGTCGGTGGTGCGTTTTAACCATCTTGAAAAATGATGAAGTCGTCAATGGGAATAATGACATCCCATATATGAAATGGAAAATAAAAGCCATGTTTGAAACCACCAACCAGGATATCATTTCTCTTGAGTTTATAGCAAGTCTTATCCACATTTCGCTTGAGGTCTTCCATTCTTGGTCGTGAATATGCTGCAACAACTCAGGGAGACTTTCCATGATACCTGGTAAACCGACTAACCCACTAAATAGTGGATCATGCCTTATCCTACCACTTGGCGGTTTTATCACCCTTACAGTTGAGGTGTAGTATGATCGGTTTCACCACACTAGGAAAAAATGAAACCAGCTATCACCATGTGTTTGGAATCACAGTGCTCCACACCTTTTCTGTTGAAAGTCATCGATGTTTAAATCATTTAAACATCAAATTGGGTTTGTCCAAAATTAAAGTAGACCACAATCCAGACTTAAAACATTACGTTCACCATGAAAAGCTGGAGGTAACTCCCACAGTTTGAGACAAACCGATTCTCCAAATGATGCATTTTACGTTTTTCACCGACTCAGCTCAATCGGGAATTATTTTAAAACATATCCAATCTGAATACAGTATAAACCTACAGTTACATTGACAATATCCCCATTCTTATTGTGTTTTGTGTTACGGCACAGCCAGGACTCCCGAAGCAATCCAATCCCATTTAGTTTCATAACGATTGGGATTTTGATCACGTCCAAAAAAACTTGCGTTTTTGTTTTGGCAAAGAAAAAACTGCAAAGCGAGGCCCTGATTCCCAGGGCTGGATATCAAAGACCCGTTGACTTCTCCCCTTAAATTTACCAACCACCATCTAACATCATCTAACTATATTTAACACTCTAGATATTATCTTTAGCAAACCGAGTGGGGATGATAACAACCAACTTATAATTTGTTTGTTGGTTGAGTCTTGGAGATGTTTCCCATCACTCCCGATTTGGTGAAAAAGTATGTGAAAGTTCCATTTTTCATGGCGAAAAAACCAACCAAGGCTTACCAAACTAATTGGTTTACGACCATTTCGCGGCCGTGGTAAAAATGTCCATGATGTGAATAGAAAATAAGCACAACACTATAGCAAAACAATGATTTTGCACATCCAGCATGTGAAAATGCATCATTGTCTTTTCACAAAAACTACTTGTTTGGTTTGCACTGTCATCATCATAATGAGCATCATCATCATGATCATCATCACATCATCACATCATCATCATCACCATCATCATCATCATCGTCATCATCGTCATCATCGTCATCATCGTCATCACCGTCATCATCATCATCATCATCATAATCATCATCATCGTCATCATCACCACCACCATCATCATCATCACAGCATCATCACAGATTCATCACCATCATCATCACAGCATCATCACATCATCATCATCATCATCATCACAGCATCATCAGGATCATATAGATCGTCAGCAGCTGCAGCGTCAGTTGCGTAGCATCCAACATGTGTGCAACCTACAAGGAACGTTAACATGCCCCACCCCAACCTAACCCTTCAGTTGCGTAGCGTCCAACATGTGTGCAACCTACAAGGAACGTTAACATGCCCCACCTCACCCTAACCCTTCAGTTGCGTAGCGTCCAACATGTGTGCAACCTACAAGGAACGTTAACATGCCCCACCTCACCCTAACCCTTCAGTTGCGTAGCGTCCAACATGTGTGCAACCTACAAGGAACGTTAACATGCCCCACCCCACCCTAACCCTTCAGTTGCGTAGCGTCCAACATGTGTGCAACGTACAAGGAACGTTAACATGCCCCACCTCACCCTAACCCTTCAAATACGTTCAAAAAAAAAAACACTTCTTGCCACGGCCGTGCAGCGGTCGGTGTCCAACTAATTGGGTCTGTTTTTGCTGCTTCATTCTACCCCAATGAATATTCCCATTGTATCCCTATGTTCTTGGTTATATCAAAATCTATATCCCCATGATTCAAGCCCACTTAAATAGGCAATGGGACTAGCTAACTGGTGATCGTAACTGGGATTATAGGGATGTAACTGTTATTGTTCATGTCAGTTAATCCCATGGCCCATCGAAGTGTTTATAAACCCCAGTCATAGTTCAATATACCCAGCCCAGAAACTCTAGTTATCCTCTGGTAAACAGCCACATAACTATGAATAATCGCCATGCTAATGGGAAAATCCACTTCCACAAAAAATCTATGGCCATGGCTTCAATAGCTTTTTGCGGCTCTTTACCAGAGGCTAAATCTGTAGTTTCTATGAAAAGGTCTCCTAGGATTTGAAGATGTTTTTTTCAGATCATTTTAGATCTGTAGTTTCTATTAATTGTAAGGTACCCTCTGGTAAACTAACATAACTATGGAAAATCACCCTGCTATTAATGGGTAAATCAACTATTTCTATGGCCATTTTCAATAGCTATGTAAACGTTTACCAGAGGGTATACAATGGTATACCCCAGTGTTCATAAGTGATTTCCAAGTGATTCCCGCATGGCTGCCATGGCCCCGTCCTTCAAGTTCTCCTTGGACTCATCCGTGCGCAGATCCGTGGCGGCCAAGAGATCCTTCTCCAAGTTCGCCACTTCGTCCTGGACGCTGTCGACGCTGTCAGCGAAGCGAAAATATGGCGATTTCTTAGTGGCGATTTGTTCAGCGAAAAACACGTATGTATACATCTACCCTCTGGTAAACGTTTACATAGCTATTGAAAATGGCCATAGAAATAGTTGATTTACCAATTAAAAAAAGGTGATTTTCCATAGTTATGTTAGTTTACCAGAGGGTATACATCTATAGTTATATATATACTGGTTGGTGGTTGACCTCCCATTGTGGTTAATATACTGTTAATATTAATGGTTATTAATATGGTTTATGATGGTTAATAATAATCTGGTTGGTGGTTGACCTACCCCTCTGAAAAATATGAGTTCGTCAGTTGGGATGATGACATTCCCAATATATGGAACAATAAAAGCCATGTTCCAAAGCACCAACCAGTTGCTATATGATGAATTCTTAAACAAAAACTAAAACCGCAGCAGCATCTGATGATTTTGCTATTTTCTGTACTGCTATATAAATTATATATGATGATTTGATAAACAAAATCTATTGTTTCTATATGACAACTAGATGATTGACAATAGAAAATACGATTGTATTTATTGATATGTTTTATTGAAGGAGCGCCAATCACATTAACAATCTATTGTGATGCTTTCTATATATCTGCTAAGATGATGATATAATTAAAAAATATATATGATAAACAATATCATCATCTTAGCATCAAAATCTATATGGGTATGGGTCAATACCTATTAATACCATTTTTAATGGGATGAACATCCATTTACCAGCTATTTTGATGTTCACCAGGTACCAGGGTTATGACTCATAGCCATATGACACTGCTATTGTGATGCAGATGGATGCTATTTGCCAACTCGATATATGCGTCCTTCAAGAGCTCGTTCTCCTCCAACAGCTCAGATCTCTGGGAATGTAACGAGCCCAGCTTGGCGCTCCTTGGGTCAGATGGGTGAGTCATGGCTTTGTCATGGTTTGGAAATAGGGTACCCCAAAAATTGGATGGTGAATATTATATTAATATTGGGAGGTTAATTAGACCAATAATATTGTATTTTATGGTACCCCAATAATGTTTATTAATATTGGTTAATGACCATAAAATGACCATTCTTGGGAGGTAAAGCCTATTCTTAGACACACCCCATCTGGGGATTGAGCCTGCAAGAAATGCTCAATTAAAATGGAATCTGGTAAACGTTTACATAGCTATTGAAAATGGCCATAGAAATAGTTGATTTACCAATTAAAAAAAGGTGATTTTCCATAGTTATGTTAGTTTACCAGATATACCCAATTGAAATGTCATTTTCATGGACATAGTTCCCCCCCACCCGGATTCCGACCCCGATCAAAATACTTCCCGGAAGGTATGGCTGGACCCATGGGGAAGCTTGTTTTCCATCTGATACCCTCTGGTAAACTAACATAGCTATGGAAAATCACCATCTTTAATAGGTAAATCAACTATTTCTATGGCCATTTTCAATAGCTATGTTAAATTACCAGAGGGTATCTGAGTGATTATTCACTTTGCAATATTTTGCTATGATATGTGAATGATATGTGAATGGGTAGCTGATTATTCTGATTGGCTGACGACAATTCACCCAGATGAATGGTCATAAATGGTTCTATGAACGTCGTTTGACTGTCTTCAAAAGTGGTTCTAATGGCTACATGCCTGGTATTTACAATTTTAGTGATGACTATTGTCCGGTATCAATTATCTGATTATAATTCCAGCCAAATATTGCCAGCATTCACGATTACCTACTGGCTACATTGCCTATGAAAATCATCTTGTTAGTATCCACATCCATATATCCCAATGATATCCCAAGAAGATGGTTCAACCAACGCCAGAGTTGCTGAGTGCTCTGGCGTTGATGTCCTGATGAAAGGGTGAAACTCCTCGGGTGAGTCCTTTCTTGATGATCTGCCAATTGGTTACAAAATGCCGTTCATCATTTTGCTATTTGATAGATCCATATAGAATATACACGCATGTATACATCTACCCTCTGGTAAACTAACATAGCTATTAAAAATGGCCATTTATAGTTGATTTACCATAGTTATGTTAGTTTACCAGAGGGTATACATCTATAGTTATATATATATACTGGTTGGTGGTTGACCTACCTCTCTGAAAAATATGACTTCGTCAGTTGGGATGATGAAATTCCCAATATATGGAAAAATAAAATTCATGTTCCAAACCAGCAACATGTATATGTATGTTTCCCTTATATCCCCATGATATTACATAAAATTCTAATTCTCATCCAACGCGAAGTGTTATATTCCATGTTCACTTTCACTTCCAAATTCAAATGCAATCATGTGTAATCATCCGCCAACAGATTATCATTGGTAATTCTGCAAAAAAAACTAATCTGTTGTTTCCTATACATAATACAATATATATATATACATAGTAATAGCTGTTATGGTATCAATAATACTATAAGCAAAACTTGTTGTATTATGTATCATTACAGTTGTCATAATCCGTTGGTTGTTGAATTCTGATGACGATATTAGGGTTGGAACAAAAAATGATTGCATTGACAGCAATCTGGCCAAATCACAAAATAATACAAAATACTCTCTGGTAAACTAACATAACTATGGAAAATCACCATTTTTAATAGGAAAATCCACTATAAATAGCCATTTTCAATAGCTATGTCAGTTTACCAGAGGGTACATGGCATATTATTGTACCGCCATTTTTTTCGCTTCTTCCCTCGGGGCGCTTGCGCCACGTTTCAGCTTCTTGGCTTCGCGCAGGCGTCGCTCGCGCTCCATGGTGGCCTTGCCCATGGCCGAGTCGCAGAAGCCTCCGTGACGTGAAAGCAGCGCTAAACACAGTGATTTCGGCAAAAAGGCGCATTTTATGGTCATTTAATCAACAACGGTGGTGATTTAACGAACAACAATGGTCACTTCATCAACCAAAAAATGGAATGTTACCAACAAACATGGGCAAAACTAGTCAGAAACATGGTGATTTTACCAACAATGAATGATGATTTTAAGGGTGGTTTCATGGTGACTTAACAGAAAAGGCGAAATCAATAATATGTGTGTTTGTTCGCATTTGTTTTCACGTGTCTTTCATGTTCTCGTCCCTGCATTGTGGTTGAAGTTTGTTAGATGTGGTTCATGCAAAGTTTTACAAATACACCCAACGGAACCAATCTATTTAGACATAGTTCCATAAAAACGTATCTTAAATATCCAGAAAATGCCTCAAACAAATGCTTTTGATCGCCATGGATCTCATGTTTGTTTCACGTGTTGCATGAAAGGGATCGATGTGGGCTATCTTGGGGAGCACATTAATTGAATAATTTCATACGGAATAAAAGTACCTCACTGTGTGGCTTTTTCGAATACTCTGAGAATAGTTTTCGCCTAAAAATAGGGAACCCAAAAATCGCAGAATCTATTTTTTTTATGGAAATTTCCAGAAATATACATGTTTATACAAATATAATTCTAGCAAAACCTTACCCATATTCCAAGGCTGTTCATATTCCATGCCAAAATAGCTCCGGAAATTTGGAAAATAATTAACGACCTTTGATGATGAGAATAAGGTTGTGTGACCCTTGTCAGGCGCTCCCTTGTCACGTGCTGTCATGTCCAATCGCACATGTTTAACCCCGCTGAGAACCTTCTCAAGCAATGATTTCTTGAATAAACATAATCATAAAGTCTTGTTTCTCTCATCAATCATCAACTTCTCTCTAGGATCTTTTCAGACCATTGGATAAGCTGTTCAGCTTATTTTTTGACGTGTGTGGCTGGCGGCTCAGCTTCCGCATCTGTAAACGGGGCCAAGTCTGGATTACGCTGTTCTTCCTCGAACCCAAATGGTACCATATTTCCACTTAATACAGTTACATTGAGTAGGATGCCACCCCTGGAGTACGATGCCCCCCCCGTATGCGTTGCCGTTCCTGCATGTGGGCTTCTCAGGCATATGTTAATATCATTTTTGACCAAATCGAGGCTGCAAATTCCATTCCACATACCCACAAGGCATCACACTCTATCGCGCACGACTAAGACAACAATCGAGAATTTCCATAGCCTCCACAGGTCAAAAGTATCAAAATTTCATGGAATGCGATTGTATGCGCGACTGCTCAAAACGCTGGAAAAACAACAATTTCCCCCATATTCCATATTATCAGATTCCAGAGCATTTTACCTCCGAAGAGGAAAAAAAAATAAAAAAAACTCTTCAGGTCAATTTTTCGAAAAAAAAATGTTTTTGGCTGTCTGCGCAAGTTTTTCTGGTGTACGATCCCTTTTGTGGAGTACGATGATCTGTGAGTAGGTGTGTGGAGTGCGATGGGGTCCTCTGTGGTGCGATGACACCCCTCGAGTGCGATGCGACATGAGTATGCGCGGCCGGAAATCCCCTGAGAGAAGGATTCTGGGCCACAATTCCCCAAATTCAACAGAGCGAGCGGATGCTGGTTGTTGTAATTTAACAGGATTTCAGCCCACTCAACAAACAAGTCAAACAATATTTTGAAACCCTCTCCTTCTTCAGTCTCCAAAATGGGAAACTCACTTATCAGGACACGCTTTAGCTCATCCAGGCTCCATAGCATTTCAGGAACAACACAAGGCATCGACATGGTGCCAAACAATTTCCAAATTGAGCTTAAGGTCTTCCCATCGCAACCAGTCATTTCACAGGTGTAAAACATGTCACACACAGGGAAACAGGTTGGGAAAACAGTGGGTCCAAAGAGACAGGTCTGGAGCACGATGGATTCATAGTATATGTACATTTTCTGAATTTGGGTAACTTGGAGCTAGAATAATCAAATATATAATTATACAACTATTCCATGGAAATTGCATGTTTATGGGGGCCATCCATTTTCATCTGTGACTTGGTGCATGTTCAACCACGACCTAGATAGTTCCTATTGATTCTAGGTATTATTCTCCAAAGACCTAAGGTCCAAACATGGATCCAGATTGTCCCATCAACCTATATACATACCACTGGTAAACATACAAAAAACTATGGAAAATCACCATCTTTAATAGGTAAAACAACTATCAATGGTCCATTTTCAATAGCTATTTGACATAAACAGATGGTATATTCTAATCACACCCAAATTATGTCCCAACTCCATGAAATCACCGTTGTTGTTGGTTGAATCACCAGCGTTGTTCATTTAATCACTGTTGTTGGTTAGATAGTGTTAATTCACCTTTGTTGTTGGTTATAGGAATCCGAAATATACTCCATTACATCACCATACATCACCATTGTTGTTGCTGAAAAATCCCAATCATACATAGTATAGGTATTGGTCAAAATTGGGTACCCCAACAATTGGATGCTGAATAATAAACTAGACTAAAATCTGTGGTCCCCCAGGTTCTTTATTTTGATCTCAGTTACTTTGGAACTGGCTAGAAACTGCTATACATCAACCACAAAAGAAAACAATATGAAGAATATACACTTATATACCTATAATATCCCAATCATATATATATAATGTAATATATATAACTATTTGTATCATATATCTCAATCATATATATATACATATTATATATGTATGATAATTGGGATGTTATAGACATATGATTGTTGACCATATTACAATATAAGATACCTGTGTATTTATATATACATATATCCCAATCATATATCCTCCAGTAAATCAACATAGACCCTGGCAGATAGGGCTTGGAAGATTAGTGAAACCGCCAAAAAGGCCTTATTTTCTGGGGCAAACTTTTAATTTACCAGATGGTGTATATATATATAATTATCTATATATACCAGAGGGTATACTTTCAATTTACCACAGGGTGTGTATATATATATAACTTATATAACTATTATATAATAGTTAATTATATTATATATATACACCCTCTGGTAAATTTAATGTATACATATATATATAATGATAGCCAGACGGTATACTGTTAATTTACCAGATGGTATTTATATATATAATATAATTATCTATTATAGAATCATTAAAGAGTTATATATATAATATACCCTCTGGTAAATTAAATATATATATATAATGGTAACCAGAGGGTATACTGTTAATTTACCAGAGAGTACATATAGATTATACATATCTATTATATAATAGCTACTTATATTATATATATACATACCATCTGGTAAATTAAATATACTGGTTGGTGGTTTTAACCATCTTTTAACCAACCAGTTATAGATGATCTACGAGGGATTACCTCGTAAACATGGTGATTTTCCATAGCTATGTTCCATTGATTTCCCATCTATTCCCATCTATTACTGGTAAATTAAACAACATATATATAAACCATGATTAACATTTATTAACCATGATTAACCATCATTACCCCATACTAAACACCCCATTATTAACATATTAAGAACCATCTGGTAAATTAAACAATATATATATATAATGATATATCATGAATCATTATTAACATTTATTAACCATGATTAACCATCATTACCCCATACTAAACACCCCATCATTTACATATTAATAACCATCTTCCCGGGACATTGGTTTATAATGATAGTACATATCTCTGAGGCACCTTTCTGCGTGGCTTGCTTTGCTGCTTCCTCTAGGAGCTGATTTACGAGGCCCTGAACCATGTCCTGGCACCGAGGTCCGTTAAAAGACAGCCATCAGTTCGGAAAAAGATGGAAAAAAAGTGGGAAACCTCCATGAAAGCCTACATTTATCGTGGATTTACCATGAAAACCTACGTTTATAGTGGATGTTCCCATGAAAACCTACATTTATAGTGGATGTTCCCGTTAAATATACATTTATAGTGGATTGTCCCATTAAAACCTACATTTAGAGACTATAAATGGAGGTTTTAATCAGAAGAAAACACTTGAGATCTTACCATCTGCTGAACCATGTAATCATCTTGGTTGTCAAGAAAGTTTTGCACAACTGACCAATGTCCATCTTTTGCAAATTGGTGACCAATGAAGCGTATCAGGACTCTTTAGTTTTGTGATGTCTGAGTCTGTCAACAAAACTGTTCTCTCAAGAATGAACCTGTCTTCATGAGCGTCACTATCACCATGCAAGCCCGCAACCTTCTCAACCGCAGCTAAGTGCATTGCATGTCACAAATTCTACATTTGCCGTGGCTGTCACTGTCACATCATCATGTTGCCACCTGATCCTATCCGCCAGCATTGAAGTTGGCATCCACCGTTTGAGCTGCAGCCGAACGAAAAAGCGATTCGAAACACCCACAAGCGGCGAACGTGTCATTGCAATCATAGCCGCGCTCAGTGATCACAGTAGAGCCTGGGCTTTCCAACTCCTAAAAAATATCGATCGTTTTGCACAATCAGGCGTTTCATCCTATTTCTGGTCGTATTGAGCGTTTCCCCAAAAAAGTTAGGCGTGGTGTGAGTGTTTCCCATCCGCAGGGCCCTCCTCCCAGTCTTCTCCGCATCTATTACTTTCAAAAAGCCCATCGCTGCACGTCCAAGTTGGTTTGTGTTTTATTGCGCGCTCCCAAAATTGTACAAATTTACCAGATTCTTGGATTTGCAGGCGTTTGCGGGTTTTTGCGGGCGCAGTTATGTACGCTTAACCCATGCGTTGGTGCTTGAGATATGGGAATGGCTTGGCCTGCCCCTGGGATGCAGCCAAGAATGCAAGCATGCTCAATCATATTATCATATTCAAAATTCCAATTTCGGTGATAGGAAGAAAAACCGGGCAAACTAGTAGAATTAGATGAGATGCTGAAGAACTAGGTCATTTTAGGTCATACTCCGAAACTACTAAAAATAATTGATCGAAGGAATGTTCAGAAGAGGTTGAGGTGTTACATTTCTGTTCTGAGCCTGTTCCATCTTCAATGGTGGTTGTTTCTCCTGTCTGCAATCGTGTATATCCTCTGAATTTTCCTTGAGAAATTCTGATCATCGTTCCTTTGACCGCAGTTCTCGATGCAGCATGGGACAACAGCCTCCCATTGTTGAATGTGCCCTCAGTGATCAAAGCACTCACGATGTTATGGTCACTGTACTTCGTTGACAGTGGCAATTGGGCATAATAATAGGTGTGTCATCAATGCCATCCACAAGTCCAAACTCAGCATCGATCGCAGAACCCTTGTTGTTGCCAACAACATCGAAAAATGGAGGCTATAAATGTTGAATATCCACAACTATCGAGGAAAAGGATGGAAAGAACTGGGTTTGTCGCTTTGTCTGAAAACTGAGGGGAAATCCCTTAATTCCAATCGATTATCATCAGTTTCCCTATTAAAATTGTTATTTGTTGATATCCCCTATTTTTAGACAAACCCAAATGGACTTTCTCCATGGAATTTATAGGGACCGCAATGATGATACTCCTATTCGCCCACTGATGGAGTAGTATGGGAGTTTTGTGGGAATAGGGGTGCCATCAAAGCTAATAAATTCAAATTTTCTAGTCATCAAAGCTGAGTTCATCTCAAACACTTAGCTTATATTTACCCGTTTACCAGCCATTTACAGTTAATATTTGTAACCATTACCATATTTCACATCTTGCACAGGGAATTATGAGGGTCTCAACTTACAATCAAATTTCGTGGAGTTGGTCCCATAATTTTCAGACAAAACCACTTACAAGCTGGTGCCCCCTAAGTATAGATATTTCATGTTATTTCATATCATATATTCATTATTGTCGAGATGATACATCGAATCGTGTCCCAACACTATAGATTTGCATATTATATATTATATCATATATATTATATATTATATCATATATATTATATATTATATATATATATTATATAATATATATATATTATATTATATATATATTATATATATAATATATATATAATATATATTATATAATATATAATATATAATATATAATATATATATATACATCCCAATGAACTCATATGTCACAACAGCATAAGCCCGGAAACTCCTTTACGGCTTGCAAGGGGTTCACCGCCACGCTGTCCGGTTCCCGTTGCATGCGCAGCGCCAGCCCCGCGAGGCGTCGGCTCTGCAGCTCCGCCGCCCGGCGCTGCAGCGCCGCCGCCGCGGCGCCGCGCAGCGCCGTGCTGGCCGAGGTGCCTGACGCGGCACGCCGCGCCGTGGCCTGGCGCGGCCACGAACTTCGGCCGGGGAAATCATGAGTTTTTCACATCGGGGAAACCATGAGTTTTTCACATCGGAGAACCCTTTAAAGGGTGATTTTTCCATAGGGATTTTCAAGGAGGTTTTTCAGAAGAGATGTTTCAGTTTGCAAGATTTTTTTTGAATGTTCAAGTTGAAATGATGTGTGAAATTCGAAGACACATGGGTGAAATTTTCATCTTTCAGGTTTCTCATTCACATGCCTCAAAGTGCTGGCGCTCGTGGCTCTCATGGCTCTCGGTCTGAAGGAAGGATGCGGCCTCATCGGTCATAGCCTGGAACCACAGAGGTCCAGAGGATGATGGTCCGGTCATGGTCTAAGGAATTCACCAAGGAAAATCTTGGTGACTGAAACAACAAAAGAGGTGATTTAAACAAACATATGGCGATTTAATGCACAATCTAGATTTGGGGTTTAAACCAGCATCAATGCAGAGTTAACCAACCCAAAATATGGATTTAAGCAGCAAAAAAATGGATTTCTTCAGCCAGCAAAACATCTTGGTGGATTTATCTGAGTTCACTTAGCTAATCTTAGACACTGCAAAACCATGAAATCAAAGGTTGCCCCAGCAAAAGCTATGCAGATTTAGACTCATCCAACCCGTCCCAAACCAAAAAATGTACAGATCAGTATGGCTCAAATCCATATAGTCAATCGCCATTATTTGCATGATAGCTATTTTTTTTGGATAGCCACAAAGTTGGCACTTGATCAGTGAAAGGTCCTGAATAGTGGCCAGATTTGGCCAGATTTATGCTCAAATTATCATGGAAATCATCCAAGCCATAGGTTAACCTAGTTAAATATGGGATAAATTCAGTGTTTATCCTCCAGGATGCACCGGGATCCTGTAGGAAAATCACTGTTGCTTGTATAATTTATATCATTGGCCCATGAAAATCACCAAAGTGATGCAAAAAATCCCTATTCTATCCCCATCCATAGGAAATCCCATGAAAAAAATCTAGTGTTTTTGGGTTCCAATCACATCCAAAAACCAGTGTGTTGACTTTAAAATACCATCCAAAAACTAGATTATTGGATCTATAGGGCTGATTTTGGCCGGATGACTTCTCCCCATTTCTCTACCTCCATCTAAGTCTAATTGTGTCAGCACTATCAACTAAACTCTAAACGGTTATTCTATTTCTGGTTGGTGGTTGACCTACCCCTCTGAAAAATATGAGTTCGTCAGTTGGGATGATGACATTCCCAATATATGGAAAGTCATAAAATTCCTGTTCCAAACCACCAGCCAGATTTAATATATGTCCACTAATTGCGATTTCATTGGAGCACCAGCCGTTCTTCAGTGGATACACCCCCAATTTTTGATGCTTCGGTTCCACAAGTCTGGCGAAATCATGCGAAATCCCAATGGGCACCACCAGCTGCAACCTTGTCCACAGATGTTCAGCTGCTTAAATACCTTCTTCCTTATTTTCCCACCCCCCAACCCCCTGGAAACACACCGTTTAGATGGGCAATGGGATTAGTTAACTGGTCGGTAACTGGGACACAACATGATATAACATTATATATTTTTGTATATACCTAATGATTTATAACCCAATTACAAACCAGTTAACTTATGGCCCATCTAAGCATCTCAAGTTCAATAACATCTTAATTAAAAAGTAAGCCATGAATCACTGGGCTTTCAAGCTTACACAAAACCATGACCCCAGCTCAACCCACCAGGCCCAGGGCCGCCTTCTCCTTCATCACTTGGATCGCCTGTTCGATGGCCTTCGTCTCGTCGCTTCGCATCTTGCTGCGCTGCTGGAAGTCGCTGTCACGGCTGCTGCAGCTGGTCTTCAGCTCGGCAAGGTAGGCGCCTCGGGTGCCAGCGAAAGCGCGACAGGTTGATGCACAGTTCACTTAAGGTTTAGTGGGGTTTATAGGGTATGTAACATTATATATAACTATAGATACTTAATTGAATTTATAAGGACTTAGACGGGCCATGGAATTTGATAACTGGTTAGTAACTGGGATACAAGTGGTATTTTGATGTTTTCATGAGGTATAACCTAGTTACTGAGCACTTAACTAATCCCATTGCCCATCAAAGCAACACCGTGGGATTTATATAAGCAACAGAAGTGCGAAGTTGACGATGAAAATTTGGGAAATGATCAGAAAAAATGGTGAAGTAAGATGAAATAGTTGGAGTTGAAGCAGCAAACATGGCGAGTGTGTATGTGTTACAGTATCTGTAACTGTCAAAAAAATTGGGATTTGACTATCACAAAGTGGGGGTTTGGTATCAGAGATTGCGTTTCACCCAGTTTTAAGCAGCAAAAAGAGGGAAGGCAACCCAAAATCGGCATGGAGAGAGTATCCAAGAGCAGCCAAGATTTCTCCATTTACAGATGATTTTCCCAGCTATCGCCACAGTTGCCGGAGATCATGCTAGATCTGACCAAGCACCACTTCACAGACGTCCATTGCTTTGGAGCACCCCGCGGCACCACTGCTTTTCTACAATGCACAAGAAATGACCACTGATTCTGGTTGGTGGTTGACCTACCCCCCTGAAAAATATATGTTCGTCAGTTGGGATGATGACATTCCCATGGAAAGTCATAAAAAATGCTCCAAACTCCAAACCACCAAACAGGATTGTTTGGCATGTCAGATTCTTGTCCACGTATTTGCTTGGTGTTCTGTCCAAAAATTCTCGTGAAATGTCCTGGAATCCACCAACGATCAACGACCATCAGCCAATGTTGGGTGGTACAATGACTACACATTCTTGTCCCAAGAAAAGTCACCAACCATTACAGGACGGCCTTGCCAGTTGTAAACGGGTTTCGTTATTTTTGTTTCACCCATCCAACTCTAGATTTAGGGGATCCTCCTTGGAGTCAAGACCCTTTTATTGAATTATGAAGTCCCGATTCGTTGCTGCTGAAATCATCCACATATCCATATATGCCCATGATTTCTGTTCATGCCCTCTTTTCTACTTGTTAGTATTCCCATATCTGTTGATGACAAGATCACCAATTTGTCACTTAGATCACCAGTGATTTTTTTGCGCCTGGTAGGTGTCACTTAATCCCATCTTAGTACCAAATGTTCCACCATCAAGTCCATTTGACCTGAAGTATCCTACATTTTATATTTCTCTAATATCAGTTGATACCCACTAAAAAAAAAACATTAAATACCCTTTTAAGATAGCTGCAGCTATTGAATATCTTATAATATCTTCAATTTTAATATGTCAATCATCGAACTATATGGCAACCATTGGTGATGAAGTATCTTATATGAATGTCTCAAACAAAAATCGTTGATACCCACCAAAAATAACATGAAATAATCCCCCAAACCATTCTTGGTTGGTGGTTTTAACAATCTTGAAAAATATGAAAGTCAATGGGAAGGATTATCATCCCATATATTATGGAAAAAAAAGTTTGAAACCACCAGCCAGATTCATAGATGTTTCACCATGTTTTCACCCAGCAACGGTCATCCTTCAGGCTGTTCTGCGTCTCCAGCAGCAGTTGCTTCACATCCGCCACGTCGCCCTTCAACGTGGCCGCCGTCGTCTCCGCGGCGCTAATGGCGGCGCTGTTGTCGGAGATCTCTTTGCTGCGCGAGGTTTCGAAATCGGAACATGCCTGCCGTGGGCCATGGGCCAAGGGTTTTTCTGGTTTTTTCCAATGGTTTTTTGGTTTTCTGGTTAGTACCTTAGGGGAACTGAAATGTGGAAAACCCCTAAAGGGAAAACCGAACTCCGAAAATGATCTACATTCGTGGGTAAACACTATAGAAACATCTATGATAGTTTACCTTCGGGTAAGTGGGGTATAATTGGGTATTTTCCACTTGGTTAGAAGCCAGTGACTAACCAATGAACTAATTCCATTCTAAGTGGAACCTGTTCCGCAAAGAATGATGTTAGAAAGCTGATGTTGCCTGCATATAATTTTCAGATGTTCAACTTTTCAGCATCTTTTGGGGTCCTTAGTTTATCAATGGCCATTTCAGGAACCCAAATTGGAGGTACCTACCATATATAAGGCCTATGTAAGGCCTATGTAAGGCCTATGTAAGGGGATATACCCCAAAAATCCCCAAAATATAGCCTTTCTGGTACAGTACCTCCATTTTAAATCCTGGAATTCCCATTGAATTTATGTTAATTTTGGAATTCATGATCCCATTTTCAAGTAATGACCATAGTCCATAGTGGCATAGATAGACTGCCTCAAACTGTCGACACATAGGTGCAATGATTGCTTAGAGTTGCTTGTATTCCCTTTATTTCTGATCGCATTCCTCACAAAGGTCCCAAAAAGTAAACACATAGCAAAAACTGGTCCCAGTTTTTTGGGGGGCATCCATCACCATCCATACCATCTGCACAAATCCCAAGCCCCAAGGCACCTGTTTGGTCTTCTTCCACTCTTCCTGGCCCTTACTCCTCTCTTCCCGGAACTCTTTCAAGAGATCTTGCAAGGTCGAGACGACCCCGGCAGACTGGAAGGCGTAATCCTTCTTGTTGTACTCGGCTCCCGCCTGTCGCAACAGAAACCGCCCAAAGATAATCAAAGATATATGGATGTTACGGTATAGACCTTGACTTTCAAAAGTACCTCCAACTACAAGTGCACAGAACTTTCTAACAGTCAAAAAAAGAAGACACCTAAAAAGAAAGACCCTATCATCGCCATATTCTTTTTTCATTTTCACTTCTTCTCTTCTCTTCATCCAAAACATCCTCTCCATCCCCATCTGGCGGTGCCTCTTCCAACCAGGGCGCAGCTTGCAGCAGCGACAGGGTTTGCGCTTTCTTCTGGCTCTGCAAAAAGCCCAGCGCCTCCGCCAGGTCCAAACTCTTCTGCAGATGGCCAAGCTGGACCAATGACTCGCTCTGAACGGCCGCAACGGCGGGGCACGGTTGGCGTTCAGAGTTCACGGCCAAGGTGGGGGTTACTTCATGGATATGAAGAATTCCAGTTGGATGGGTTGAAACATGGTGAAACTAGTTCAACTCAAAACTTGGGGGGGTGTGGGGGCCTTCCTGTAGTGAGGAAATCACCACAGACTTTTAAGCGTCTGAAATTAAGAAAAAACATGGAAGATGCTTCAAATTCTGGATACAAGTCCTCAAAAAGAAGACTAAACGCTGCGATCTGCTGAACTGATACTAGATAAAAGCATCAACGTGCTAACCATTTGCACAGCCAACATCAGTGTCTATACAAGGTAATGCCCCAGGTCGTTAGCTAAGTTGGTTCATAACTTCAATAATTAGGGTTTATGGGAGATATATCTACGTATAGTTACTATGGTTTATAAACTAAGTTGTAAGTGGGCAGGGCACCACCTTGTACTATAATTGAAGGCCAATGTATTTTCAATCCCCGCGATTCACCATAAAGCAAGCCCCTCAGCAACGCAATGTGTATATATAGAGGATCCATGGCGAATATCTCTAACCAATCGGAGTGGCATCTCTTGCTATTCATTTTGAAGAATGTTTGAATGCTCAAGGCACCGTGGATCCAGAAACGACATAACTTTGTCCAAAGCTAAGGTACCTCAAACAGCATGAGGTTTAAACCATGTCCAGACTTCCCCTAGCAAAATCCCATGGTGTTCTAATCATCGCCCATCAAAATGGCCATCAAATTGATCAGGGCCATCTACTTCATCTATGTTCAAATAGACCCTCACCAAATCTCCCGTCTTTGACTCATGTATCAACCCGTATGACTTGATTCCACTCTTTCATTAAAAAAAATGTAAAAATCATTGGATTTTCATATTTTCACACACAGAGATAGACAGATATGATATATCATATGACATACCATACACAATACCATAGATATTTAACTATTTATATATATATACATATATATCATTCAATTAATAGATAGATTCTATAGATGATATATTTCTAATGTTTCCAAATGGCAGACTATATCAACATAGAATAAAATAGATATACCCTCTGGTTATGACTAACATAGCCATGGAAGCCATAGCCCATAGAAATAGATGATTTTCCCAGCGAACTAAACCTCCATTGAAAAATTTGAAAAGAGATGTTCCATGGCTATGTTCAATAACCAGAGGGTATATTTTCCATTTTCCCAGTATTATCCCATCATTCTCCCATTATCATCCTTATAAAACCATATTAATCCATATTAATCCATATTAATCCACTATAAATGTGCCATTTTATCATCAGATCCATCTCCCATCCCCGGATCCCCCGAAAAAACCGCCGCCGTCTTGCTGGTGACCTTGGAGACGGCCGACTCCAAGCCCACCACCGCGGCGGCCAGGTCCGCCTCGGAACTTTCGAAGCTCTCCTGGTCGTCTTTGCACTGCGCCACGCTGGCCTAAAAAACGGACAAGATGGACAAGTCATTGAAGTGTTTCAGCAAAAAGAAGGGAGATGTTAGCATGAAAATGAGGATGCAGGATTGATTTAGGATTGATTTCCAGTAGGGTTATGGGTTTATCTAAGAAAGAATTGGATTTGAACCAACCTTTTATGTGTGCATTGATATGTGATGCTCAATGAATAAATTTCACTAGGCTATAGGATGAAGTGGGGTTACTGTACAAACCAACTTATAAATGGTAGCGCCCTTTCTGTATGGTAGGATGGACATTTCAAGACCATAAAAAAGGGGATTTGACCATTGAGAAATGGGGATTTCACCACTTACCCGGCCTGGTTATGACTAAGAGTTCGCCATGGAAGCCATGGCCCATAGAAATAGATGGTTTACCTATTACAAATGGTGATTTTCCATGGCAAACTGTTAATAACCAGATGGTAAGTAACAAATATGCTCGATTTAACCAACCGAATGGGAAGTTCACCAACCAGAAGGGGGGCTGACCCTCTGGAAATCAAACATGTCAATGGGAACCCCTCGGCATTCGATGGGGGCCAACCTATTCCCATGTTCAGACAAATCCACATCACTTGAGTCATTTGAAAATGCCCCGACCGCATCCTATGAAATACTATAGTTCATATGTATCCCTATAAATTATAAGCTGTAACGTAACAGCTGTGATGTTGTAATCCCATGTGAGCAGTGTTCAAAATCACTCATTCCATTGAATCCTGGTTGGTTAAGAACGGGATTCCCCGTTCTTGGATTATTATAATCACCGATATATAAAGGGTAGATTTGGGAAGTAGAATCCCCTATATTATGTATATATATATATATAATCATCAACCAACAAGGGTAGATCGCAGCCACTGAGCCACTGCTCATATTCCCCACTTTACTAACCTCACTGCCACGTGGTGAACCTCTTTCTCCGAGCTCAACGTCTCCCCTTTGGTCTTCCTTTCCTCGATTTCCGCCAGCGTCTCCTCGCAGCGAGATGATGGGGGGTGCCAGTCAACACAAACAGACATAGGATATGACAACATTTCATGATGTGTATATCTGTATGGTGAGGATATGATATTTTCTTGTAGGATATTTCATGTGTGTATATATATATATCATAGACTCGCATATGAACAGGATTTTCTACGGTTTCAACCACAAAGATATGTGTTTTTTTCGAATTTTAGACCCAACAGAAATGGAAAGCGTAAAATGAACAATAGCCCAGTTCGCCACTTTGCGAAGTTCAGGATACATTTACCATCTGGTTATTTAACAGTTTGCCATGGAAAATCCACCAATTTTGAAAACGGTAAACCATCTATTTCTATGGGTGATGGTTTCCATGGCGAACTGTTGGTCATAACCAGGCCGGGTACATACATTTACGGCCTCATTTTGAGCCTTAGTCATGGTCTTGGGGCGCCAAAAAAGAGGACCCCAGTGGAATGTCCTGAGCCAAAAAGAATCCCAGCACTCCACCAACACCTAGTGGTTGGTGATTAGCAGAAGTCTGGTTGGTGTGCTGAAAATGGTGATTTAACGGCTGAAAATTGTGATTTAACTGCTGAAAATGCTGATTTAATGAGGGGAAATGGTGATTTAATGGGATTTTATGGGATATACCCAACAAACATAAAATGTGGGTTTTCCCATGAAACATGGTGATTTTCCATAGCTATGTAAACGGCAAAACCAGAGGGTATATGATGGTGATCTGGTTGATTGTTGACCTACCCCTCTGAAAAATGATGGAGTGAAAGTCAGTTGGGATGATGACATGAACCCAATATGATGGGAAAGTAATTGGAAAGTCATAAAAGCCATGTTTGAAACCACCAACCAGCTAATATTTCTTGAAGGAATCTTGGTGAAGTGATGCCTGAGACATAGCCGAGTCCTGGATATCCCGTCCTCATAGCTGCTGGTCTTTTGGGTGATGCCCGCCGTATGCTCCTCTGACTTATCTTCACCCAATTTCACAGCATCCTTCGGCAGCTACGCTCGGTGGTGCCCGGCCACATGGTGCTTCGTGTAGAAACTTTGGCCGAGTGTTGTGACTGGATGATTTTAGAATCTTTGACCATGAAGTAGCTTACACTCTGTGGCAATTTTGAGGAAACCTGGGATCATGGTTTGTGAAATCTTCAGTTTTTTTTCCATTACATTACCATGGGATTAATGGGATATATAATTTGATTATCTTCAGTATATACCCATTATATTACACTATATTACCATTATAGATACCCATGATATTACCTGAAATCCCCACGTATCTTGTTGCGTCTTGTTGCTAATATCATTGATAATCTGGAATATGACTCGATTCTATAGCCATATATATTCTCGTTTGTTTATGGATGATCTTCAGTATATGTTCCCATCATATACTGAAGATCATGACCATTATATACTGAAGATAATAATTGTACTGAAGTGTGTGTGTGTATATATATATATACACTGAAGAATGGTCATCATTGTGATATCACCATTACCATGGTGGATGTAGGCTGAATGGGGGGGCAATATGGATTGTCTTCAGCCTATATTCCCATTATACTACCATTATATTCCCCAAGATTATGTATATGATATTACCATATATTACCATTATATTACCATATATTATACCCATTATTATATTACCATTATATTACCCATTTGTATATGGGGGTTATCCAAAATTATGGTACCCGAAGACTGCCCTTACGCCGCGCTTTCGCGAACCTTTCGCACCCTTTCACGTCCCAGCAGAATCGGGACACGGGATTATGATCAGGTTTTCGTCTGCAAATTCGCCACAAAGATTTGCAGGAGGATTGTATTTAAAAACATTACTTATTGAAGATCCGTTTTCAAAGCTGCTCTAGTCATGTTATGACCATAGATAACTCACCATAGGTGAAATCCCCAAGTGTCTCTCCCCCATCGCAACTGTCGCCACCTCCTTGGCCTTCTGAGTGCTGCTGCAAAAGTCCGAAAACCTCGGCCGAGAAAGAAACTGGGTTTGGACCTCAATTTTTGTTCGTGGAAAAACAGTAGAAAAACAGCCAACAAATGCATGAATATGTGTGTATATATAAAATATATGATCATTTGTCGGTATGAACCTGAAAAAAAATAGGGGAGCATAGCCCAAATCCATCCAAATCCTACGATTATTGAATCATCGTTCTTATGAAAATGATCATGTGACGATGCGGAAACAGTAACGCGCCATTCACGGGTCCTGAAACGAGCCATTGACCGAGAGCAGGAGTCACTAAGTTTGACACACATCCGAGAGTCATTGGGGTCATCATCCCATTTCCCTCCATTTCCATGGTTGAACATTAAAAGAATATGTGAACCCGCCAACTAGCAGCATTATTGGTTATATTATCCATGATATCACCATTTTAGATGGCTAAATGCACATTTAAATCCATTCATAAGTAGGGCCATTAACCAATTTTTGTTGCAGAATGAGAACCAGATGTTTTACATGACCGTAACCACATGACAACCACAACGGTCTAAATTTACCCAGATTGTTGGTTATTTTTCATGATATATAATGATATAACTTATTATATCCCCATGAAATTCCCATGATATGAGTGACCCCCGTCTCCTGCCGCCCAGAAACTTCTTGTAGTTGGTTTCCTCCGTCGTCCCTTCTGCAACGACTTCTGCCTTTAGATCTTCCAACATGGTCACAACCTGCGGACGGAGAACACGGGGTGAATCTGGGAGATATGCTGATTATACTGGGATAATGATCAGAAAAACCATGTCAAAGGCCCACAAAAAAAAAAAAACGAAATGCAGCCCACCAACTCGAATGCTCACACGTATGTTAATGGTACATATGCCGAAACACATGGATATGCAGTCACGCAGAACACTTTTCTGCAATAGTTTATTTGAACAGTCTTGTACATATTTCCCCTGTTGCCAGTCTGCAGTGTGGAGTGGAAAGTCTAGAGTGTGGAGTATGGAGTGGAAAGTGTAGAGTGTGGAGTGTGGAGTGTAAAGTGTGGAGTGTAAAGTGTGGAGTGGGGAGTGTAGAGTGTGTAAAGTGTAGAGTGCGGAGTGTGGAGTGTAGAGTGTAAAGTGTAGAGTGTAAAGTGTGGAGTGTGGAGTGTAAAGTGTGGAGTGTAAAGTGTGGAGTGTGGAGTGTAGAGTGCAGAGTGTGGAGTCAGGAGTGTAAAGTGTGGAGTGAGGAGTGTAGAGTGTAAAGTGTAAAGTGTAAAGTGTGGAGTGTAGATGTGGAGTGTGAAGTGTAAAGTGTGGAGTGTAAAGTGTAAAGTGTAGAGTGGAAAGTGTAGAGTGGAAAGTGTAGAGTGTGGAGTGAAGGTGGGAAGTGTGGAGTGTGGGGTGCAAAGTGTGGAGTGAGGAGTGTAAAATGTAAAATGTGGAGTGAAGAGTGTAAAATGTAAAGTGTATAGTGTAGAGTATGCAATGTGGAGTGTAAAGTGTAGAGTGCGGAGTGTGGAGTGGAAAGTGTAGAGTGTGGAGTGTGGAGTGTAAAGTAAGGAGTGTGGAGTGTAAATTGTGGAGTGGGGAGTGTAGACTGTGTAAAGTGTAGAGTGTGGAGTGAAGAGTGTAAAGTGTAGAGTGTGCAGTGTGGGGTGTAAAGTGTAGCGTGTGGAGTGTGTGGAGTGTGAAGTGGAAAGTGTAGAGTGTGGAGTGTGGAGTGCGCAGTGTAAAGTAAGGAGTGTGGAGTGTAAAGTGTGGAGTGTGGAGTGTAAAGTGTGGAGTGTGGAGTGTGGAGTGAGGAGTGTTGTGTGTGTAGAGTGTAGAGTGTAGAGTGTGGAGTGTGGAGTGTGGAGTGTAGTGTGTGGAGTGTGTGGAGTGTGGAGTGAGGAGTGAGGAGTGTGGAGTGTAAAGTGTGGAGTGTGGAGTGTGCAGTTGGTAAAGTGTCGAGTGTGGAGTGTAGAATGTGGAGTGTGGAGTATAAAGTGTAGAGCGTGGAGTGTGGAGTGTAAAGTGCAGAGTGTAAAGTGTAGTGTGTGGAGTGTAAAGTGAGGAGTGTAAAGTGTGGAGTGTAGAGTGTGGAGCGTAGAGTGTGGAGTGAAGAGTGTAAAGAGTGGAGTGTGGAGTGTAAAGTGTGGAGTGTAAAGTGCGGAGTGAGGAGTGCAAAGTGTAAAGAGTAAAGTGTGGAGTGTAAAGTGTAGAATGTGGAGTGAGGAATGTAAAGTGTAAAGTGTGGAGCGTGGAGTGTAAAGTGTAGAGTGTGGAGTGTAAAGTGTTGAGTGTGGAGTGTGGAGTGAGGAGTGTGGTGTGTAAAGTGTAGAGTGCAAAGTGTAGAGTGTAAAGTGCAAAGTGTAGATTGTAAAGTGTAGAGTGCGGAGTTTGGAGTGTAAAGTGTGGAGTGTGGAGTGTAGAGTTTAGAGTGTGGAGTGTGAAGTGTGGAGTGTAAAGTGTAGAGTGTGGAGTGTAGAGTGTAGAGTGTAAAGTGCAAAGTGTAGGGTGTAAAGTGTAGAGTGCGGAGTGTGGAGTGTAAAGTGTGGAGTGTAAAGTGTGGAGTGAGGAGTGTGGAGTGTGTAAAGTGTAGAGCGCGGTGGAGTGTGGAGTGTGGATTGTCGAGTGTGGAGTGTGGAGTGTAGAGTGTGGAGTGTAGAGTGTGGAGTGTAAAGTGTAGAGTGTAAAGTGTAAAGTGTGAAGTGTGAAGTGCATTGTTGCGCCAGCCACACAAAGGAAATTTCGACACGGTATAAAACAGGTTGGAATGTCACAAAGTGCCTCGCCCGCCACGCAAAACGACATGACAACCTGATTGAAAACATTCGAAAAGGAGAGCTTTTGCAGCTTCCCCCATAGACACGGCGAGGCCACAGGAAAACCAGCGACTCCAGAGGAGACATGTGGGCGCAGCAAAAGGAGCATGTCGTGCGAGACATCCTCCAATTTTCACAGTTGGAAAGGAGATGTTTTGCAGCTTCCCTCATAGACACGGCGATGCCACAGGAAAACCAGCGACTCGAGACGAGACACGTGGGAGCATCAAAACGAGCATTTCGTGCGAGACATCCTCCAATTTTGACACTTTGTAGCCTCAGAATCGACGTTTCCTACGAGTTTTCTTAGGAACTTCTAATTTTGCTACCTCAAAATCGATGTTTCGTGCGAGGCTTCCGTCAATTCTCAGCACATCTCACAAAATGCCACGCCTGCCACGGAATTTGCACCTTGTCGCCACTTGACGCAGCCCTGCCAATGCGATTCGCAAAAAACACGCAACACCACGCGTCTAAAGTGCTGCGCCTGCCACGCAAAATGACGCTGGACACGTCCAAAGTGCTGCGCCTGCCACGAAAACTGCAACGCATCTTCTGAAAACGTCGCAAAAGTATTGCGCCTGCCACACAAAACGACTTTCGACGCGTTACAAAACACGTCTGAATGTCACGAAGTGCCACGCCTGCCCCGCGAAACGAAGCAACGAGAAGTTTGAAACCTCCAAAACTGACCACCTCTGCAGAACTTACCATAGGCACGGCCATACGGCCCTCACGCGAACGGTTGCGAACGGTTGCGGACGGTTGCGGCCACAAACGCAACGTCGAGCGAACACACCCTCAGCCCCCAGACCCCCAGAGTGAAACGGGAACCCTTGCTACGCATTCGGGAAAAAGGGAAAATGATCATCAAAACCGAACATCATCAAATTCCAGGGGATCACCTATTTTATTCTATTTCCAGAAGTCTTATCCAGTTGCAACTGGCACCTTTCCAGTTTGGAACTGGGTCGTTTTGTTTGGGTGTATTTCTGTTCATGTGATCACCATGTCTTTCTTTTTGTCTTCCCAGATGGTGACTAAGGTGGATTCTGAAGAATGGTGTGGCTGTGGTGAAACCGCACGCTCATCGCTGCTCCTTTTTTCTTTCCCCAGCCAAGCTCATCGCTGGTCAACAATGCTCAGTGGCCACCGCAAAGATCAAAAATCTAATGCACTCATTTTAGTTGATCAACCATGTTTCATCCAAAAAGGGCCGTTGAGCAACACCCCAAGAATTTGGACTTTAGTCCATCATATCAATGTGACAGGTAACGTCGGGCAGCCGGGTGGTCAGACACACCATTCTTCAGAATCCACCTTAGTCACCATCTTGGTTTGCTTGGTATAAGCCCCATATGTTTGAAGTTGGCATTTGAAAGATAAACATTTATGATCCATTGGGTCATAGTTTGGAGTCATCAATGTGGAGCCACAACCAAAATGTGATATCTGCTGGGGCGCTCCCGGCGTGCATCATGGGCCATCTTCTTGGCATCCTCCTTCGACATCTTTGCAACTTTGGATGCATGTGAGTGGGCACAGGAGTAAACCTTAGTTCAAAAGATGTTGAGTGGGAAACCACCCAAAAAATGTTCAAGATTGGAAAAGTTCTTTTTTGACTGATTTGAGCTATCTTTGAGCCTAATCACACTGTGCAGCTTCCGTTCGATCTCGTCTTTCTTTTTCATGTTCCCCTTGGGCTTTGCAGGTCCTCCAGGGGCCTTTTTCGCTTTACCCTTCCCTTGACCCTTCGCCTTCGCCTTCGCCTTTGCTTTTGACTGCGTTTTTGCCTTGGCCTTGGGGGCCTTTCTCTTGTGAGCCGACCCTCCACTTTCACACTTTTTCTTTTCCACTCGTTCAGGGGAAACAACAGCAGGAGTCTCCTGAGGACTTTCCAAGCCCTGTGTGGGGTCAACAGGCTTAGGAGAATCTTCAACCTCCAAAGACTCAACAGGACTGGGCGGACTGGCTGCCACCGAAGGTTCAGTCACCCCATGATCAGGCACCTCTGGAGTAGCATCATATGCTGCGGAGGCATAGGCATCTTCAGGGATAGGAGAACCCTTCTCGGCCAAAAAAAGAGTCTCCATCTCCTGTAGGAAAATGGAAAAACACAATGGGTAAAGCAAAACAGCGGTGATTGTTTAACAATCTTTTTGTCGATAAACCCCTGTGCCCAAACATGTGTTGCCTATTTGTTTGACAAGGTATGCAGCTTACAGTCCTCACAGTCATCCATGGCACACTCTTCAAGGACGGGACTCAGGTCTTCGTGGGCAAACCCACGGTGGAGTTCGGGGTTGGAGTCATCCTGCATTCACAAATTGCCATGTTTCCCCAAAGGCATAATTAACTAAACTAACATGATGATAGAGCAGTATTGAATTTTCTACCCAGATGTTTGATTTATTCACTCTCGGGTAGTCCTGGGGCAAGGCATCTGAATCTGCATCCATCTGGGTGTCGGCCACGTAGTCCTTGCACAAGGGCGCATCTCTTAGTTCAAAACAAATCATATGCCTGGTGCCTAAGGGTTAGACCTACATTCATACAGATATTTTTGTACTTGTATAAATGCATCCAACAGTTACAGTAAATACAAACATAGACTGACAGATAATGCATCCAACAGTTACAGTAGAAATAGAAACACAACAGTAGACGGAAAGAGAGGGTTGGTTTTTGGAGTTCTGCATACTTGGTGACAAACCAGTCCCCAATACTATGGAATTAGCCATTGCAAGTAAGTGTTGGCGACTATGTGTGCAAATGATGCATGTCATTGTATGCTGACATGGTGTGTTAAGATGCAAAAATAACATTTCTCCTACTGTGTTTTTCCCTTCTTTTATTATCGTTCTTTCCCTATCTCTCTCTCTCTCTCTCTCCCTCTCTACCTCTCTCTTCTTCCCACTCCCAGTCCATCTTCGGCGGGGACTCGAGAAGGCCAAGCTGGTTGTCTGGGTAATACGATTCAGGAGGGTACCTCAGATAAATATGCGATCTGGTGTTTGAATATTAGAGAAGTTATGCCTGAAACCTTTCAAATTTCATCACTTGGACCCAGCCACACCGAATCGTGGATCTCAAAGGTCTGTGACCTGTAACAAGTCGCCAGTGTTGGGCAGTAAGGATGGCTAACCACAAGCTACACATACAATGGGACATGTGGCACCTGTAAGAAGCGTAGCTGTCACCTTCAATCAGGTACTGGAATGGTGCCGCCTTCGAACAGAACTCTTAGTTAGCTGTTGGCAGTTGGGGAAAAATCATGGAACATCAATGAAATCTTGACTTTCAAGAAACAACTGTTTGCCTCCATATCTTTGCCAGCAGCTTTCTTAGAAGGTTTCTTCTTGGGACCACCTCCCCTACTGGCAGGCTTCTTTTTGACCGGCTTGCTATCATCATCCATCAGTTCATTTAGACCTTCTAGGCCACCGACATCCCCATCCATATCGTCAGCATCATCATCATCATCACCTTCACCTCTCAAAGCTCGGTGTGTTGCATCAGGGTCTTCATCATCATCATCTTCTTCCTCCTCATCCTTCTTATTCTTTTTTTTGCCAGATTTCTTGGGCTTTTTTTTATCTTTCTTTTCCTTCTTCTCTTTTTTGCCCTTGGTGGTCGAAGACTCTTTTTTTGGCCCAGCTTCCTTCTGCGAGGAATCATCGGAAGAGTGGACGGGTTCAGGCATCAAGTCTGCCCTGGTGGTCGAGGCCGCGCCTTGGGTCGGACGTGCGGTGGGAAGACAAAATGAAGGGCAAATCTATAACTGTTTTAGTAGGTTGCTATGCTCTGTTCAGTATCAAATTTCAAACTTAGCTTCTCCTTGCACTCGTCCCAGTTCTGGCAATCCCCGAAGGCATGGTAGGGGTTCTGGTCGTTGACGCAGGGGGCCCACCAGAAGACATCATGCTAGCCAAGTTGAAGGCCTAAGTGACTAACCAGAAAAATGAGATGAACAATAATTATATGTCCTTGTGGCTTCCAATCTGTTTACTGTCAAAAAATCACATGACGACATTCACCCATTGCAACTAAAGGGCTGGGGCTTGGAAAGACCGCGAGGCTCTGTTTGGAACGAATTGCACATCAGAATCATCACTCGGGGTAGGTTTCAGTTCCCTCTTTGGCGCCATGGTCACTGCAGGCTCCTACACCCCACAACACTAAGTCACTATCTTTCCTGAAAAGCCAGCGGGTTCTGAATTTCATTTGATAACATTGGTGAGCAACTGCAACGTTGCAGGTGAGAAGACAGCCAACTTCGCTAAGCAAGCAGGACTTTTGCTGGTTCTGGATGGGTGGTCCAAAAGACACGCTAGCTAGCGGAAAGCATCATCAACGTTCAAACATCAAAATTCAGCTTTGTAGCTGACAAGGGGCCCTACGCTGGGAGACCGACATGGCCTACACCAAGCATGACTAGCTCATACAGGCTTTTCCTGCTAGAACAGTCACATGTGGCATCATTGCGGTGTTTTGACTGAAAATGATAGAAGTATGACATGTTAAAGATTGATACATGTTAAAATTCTCTTTGGGGGACATCCATTTAAAGATATGTTACATGGTACACTGGTACAAATTCCGGTGTTTGAGAATTTCATGGTGCACCGCATTTGATACTCCCCTGCTCCCATTGCCCAATCAGGAGCTAGAACAGCTTCACGACGGTTGTGCCGAGGTCCAATGTCCCGGTGAGGCATGCAATGGGACGGATGGGGACGAGCGTCTTGACACCAGAAGTGTCGGTGGTGTCCAACCTGCAGGGAAAAATCAAGGACAAAGATCCAGGGAAACCTTTACGCCTTTCTTAAACATTGAAACCTATATTAATATTCATATTCCATCATATATGGATTGCTTGATGTCGAAGTTGTGTTCTTGGATATTAGTAGTCTTTTGCATTCTTGATGTTTCTATTTTTAGGGGGTGCCTCATACGCCACCCCAGTGTCAGCAGCTTTGCTTTCTTGAACTGGGCAATGTCCACCACCGAGCCAAAGTTCTTATCTGTCAATCCCCCCGATTTCTTCTGCTTCTTCCTTGATGATTTACCACTCTCTTCCCGATTTTTGGGAGGATCCAACAAGAACACCAGCGGCTTCGTGCACTCCAGAGTCTCGCCAGTAAGCGCGTGGTGTGTCACCGCCAGCTTCACCTTACAAGGGGCCAGCCAGGGACAGGTGGCATGTAAGATGTGTAATGGCATGTATGAAATAAACTTGGAACATGCATGTGTTACATTTGTTCTTTTAATTTGTTGTCAACCAAATACCTCACCTCCCCTGCATCTTCCAATTCCCTCATCACAGCAGATAGTGGGCAAGGTGAGTTGACAGAGGGCAAAGAAGACACATGGTCCGGTAAGTTTTTCCGCTCCAGCAGGACCACGGTCTGAGGCCCCACAGAAAAACTGAACCACCGTCCGCAGCTCTCGGACATCAGTTCTTGAGCGTCCTCAGCATGTCTGAAGATTTGGGGATCCCTATTCTTGTAAATTTTGGCATTGTGGAAACCAACAAAATTTTCATTGCATCATTATTTAGAAGTTGTCATCGTAGATATTTATGTATGCTAGAATATATTTGATCAGCTATAAATACTATGATCAGTATATTTACAAGTAACAAATAAACAAATAAATGCATGAAAACAATAGCCGATATGTATTACATCTTATACTTTGATCTGACATGGATATTAGTTATGTGTGTTGATGTTCATAACGTACATACACATATACACACATATATATATATAATACGCACTAAGTTAAGAATCCAAGGATCGTGCCCAGTGCGCCAGTCTCCACTTCCGAAGCTGAACCTGGGATTTGATTTTTCACTCACCAGATGAACCTTTTTATGGCTATCCCCACTTGGAAATTTCATTGGGGCCCCAACTGGAAATTCCCACAAATGCCCATGACCATCCTTGAGTATGATTGCATTTATGATTTAAATACTTTGCAAATCCTCTTTTAACTGGGGCAACCCACATCAGATCACCATGATACTGTTTTTTATGGCACGGATTGCAAACGAGAAACAATTCGCGGCCAACAATAAATTGGTTCTTGTTGCGGGACACCAGGAAAACAGGGGTTCCTTCCTGGCTGCAAACCATCTCTGCGCAGTTGTTGATCTGAAAGGTGTGCCTCAGGGATACCATGGTTGTTTCAGAAGGGTTTCATAGATATTGGATATGTGACCACAACATAATATTATGATTACCAAGTGATGTGACCTCACGCCCACTCAGGACCTTTTGAATCTTGTGAAGCTTCACAAGGCTGCTCGTTGGGGATAACTGGAGAAGTCAATTTCAGCAGCTACAATGTTGGATAATTAAACAAAACGCACATCGATAATCAATATCAAACTATGTGATGTCCGATTCCGATCTTCTTGCTAAATTGCTAATTTACTTGTTTCAGTCACAAGGTACGGATTTGGCAGGTTGACCACATCAGCCTCCTTGGCCATCTCTGACTCTTCCAGTCGGATCCGCTTGAGAGGTCTGCCCCCCTCATCATTGGTCCTGGCAACAGACTCTTCCACTTCATGCCAGGCGAAGTGGATTATTGGGCATGGGTAGGGCTGGGGATGGGTAAACAGTGTTCATTTCTACATAGTATGAAACATTCACAATGGGGATAAAGGATGGATGGTAGACATAACTTAACGAAGAAACCCAATATTTCTCAACACTCAGACTGGCCTTTGTTCTTCCTGATGCCAGTACTCACCACCCTGGTTGAACTTTTCATTGTGGGACTCGATTTCTGCAGTAGTTGCATCCTTGAACTCTGTTGAAAGCCATTTCTCTGACAAGCTCTGGAGTACGACTAGGCAGTCATGTTTCTTCACTGTCACCTGGTACTCCTGAGCATTGGAAGTTGCCTGCACATTCTGTAGAGCGGCAATCACTGGAGCAAACTGAGGGAATCCAGTCACCTTCAGGGTTCCTGCACGGCAAGACTCATAGACTCGGTTGGCCAACCTTTGCTCCAATGTGCCAGGATCCTTGTCCAAGACGATGTTGGCACAAAGGACGCGACGGTTCTCTGTGCATGCCTGCGGGGTGTGGAGGATATGGCATCCAAGGGTTGCCTTTTCTTTTTGATGATGATACCATAATGTATGGTTTAATAGTTTCTTGTTATATCAACTGATGATGCTGGGGATATACATATATAGGATATGTGTCATCATAATACTTGCTTTCATCATACCCGCCAATCCACAAGACTTCAAGATATTCAAAGAGATGCCATCCCCCAAAGTGTCAAGACATTAATTTTCGGTTTTAGGAGTTAAAGGTTTGAAGTTACATAAATTCCTGAATAGGTTCCAATCACCAATACATATAGTCTGTCCTCGAGTGCCGCCATTGCCGGCCAACAATCGTAGCAGTGCAAATCAACCATGAGGCATGTGCTGACACTTTCTGGTAGGAATGCACTCAGGGTCTTGTGGATAATATCCGTGCCACCACCCACCTTGCACTGGACAAGTAACTTGAAAGTTTCAACACCAAGCGCTACTTGGGTAGGCCATTGGGGGAAACTGCTAGTGCAAACACCAAACATGGGGAAACACCTATTAAGTGGCACCAAGAAACCTGCCGCAGCTCTTGGGCGCATGTGAAAGATCGCCCCAAATGTGGCACCGCAGAAGTTGCCTCAGGGGGATCACTATGGGTTGTAATAGTTTTTTTTGTTTGGTGAGTTGTTGCATTGCACAGTTTTCTTTCACTGGACTTTGCTTTGCATAGTGTACTATGCCTATGCCCTTTGGAAACTTCCACCCCTGGCTCGACAGAAACTCTTAGATATACATCATATTAACATTAGTTTTATATATACATATTTACCTGTATCTCTCTCTCTCTCTGTCTATCTCTCTGGAAACTTCCACCCTTGGCTCGAAAAGGACGGTCAGATATACATATATGTGTATATTTAAACACTATATACATAATTTTGGAAACTTCCACCCTTAAAGACCATCACACATACGTCATGTATGTAGTATGGATATGTTGCATATCTTTGGAAACTTCCAGCCCTATATAGATAAGATATAATAGCATGTGTATAATATATATGATGGAAACTTCCCCCCGGCTCTGGACTAATATTTTTATGATATATGTACATACTTATTGTATATGCATACTTATATGTACATACATGTGTACATATATGCACTCCCAAATCCAGTATTATAATCCTACATATTAGGCAGTCCAGGCACTTCCGGTTTGTACATTTGCGACCGGGCCAGCATCATGCAATCGCGAATCAAGCCATGCTTCCACGCAGCACTGTTCTTGAAGATATTCAACTTGTCCCGATGAATGATCACCAGTCCATGAAGGCAGGCATCCCGCTTCCCATAGACGGATGCCTGATAGCAATGGGGTTGCGGCTATGGGCAACACGGCAACACCGCCACCCCCCACACACAAACAATTAGGAGGTTGAGTATGTTAGTATGTTGTTTTTATGTATCCTTTTTCATCCTTTTGGGGTCCCAAAGTCCAAAAAGTGGCACCTGTTTTCATTGAATAACCCCTTTACATATCAGGAGTCTTTTATCTTACTTGTTTTGGTCTTGTTGCAATATACTTGAATTATTGCCGTAAACCTGATCACTAGCCCAACCCTATAGAAGCATATTATCATCTGAATCCTAAATGATATTTTTTAAAGGGGTTTACCAGATTAAACTCAATGATTTTTTGGGGTTTTCACTTAGCAGCCTTGTCGAAGACCCAAGTCAAATCCTTGACACAAAGGTTGCGCGAGGTTGCTGCCAGAGCTTTCCTGGGAAGTAAGGGGCACCACAATCAGGCACACTATTGTAAATAGGTGTCACCAATCTCAAAAAACAGAGGTCCTTAGGCTATTGCTTCCCTCCCCATCTTTGTTTGATACACAAAATGCTGGGAATAATTGTAAATATGTAAAGGGTCCATGTTGGTGGAGCGCTAGAGTATCAAAAATTAACACGTATTCACAGGCTAGGTTTCTCAAGCTTGTGTCGCATATCCCGGATATCTGCCTCTTCGGGGTTTTCCTTGTCTATGTCGTCCTCCTCCTCGTGGTCTTCGTCCTCGTCCTTCTCCTGGTCTTCCTCCTTCACGTCGTCGTCCTCATCTTTCTCGATCTTCTCCTTTTTCTCAGCCCTCCTCTCATGGCTGGAGTCGGTGGCCATTGGTTATAAGACAACCAGACATTTTAGTAATGGTTATAATAAGTAGTCAGCAGTAGACCCTGTGGAACAAATTCCAACAAAGACATTGCATTCAAAATGAATGACAACCAACCAGTTCAAATCTGACATGATATTTTTGAAGATTGCTGTCCTCCCCGTGTCCGATGCCCGATTGCAATGGAGCACTATCCCAACTGCATTCCGTTTGTGGGATGCAAGCAGATTGCTCAAGCTGGTGAGAAACCAATCGTACTTGGAACCAGGCATCACCCCCACCGTTGTCATGTTGGCCCATGCAACTATGCAGTGGTCTGAAGTAGCCCGAACTTCCTTGACCCACACTGCAAGCCACTGGGAAAAAAGGTGAACTTTCTCCAAGGTTGGGGGATATAGAAGTAAGCCACCAATTTAAACAAAAACATGAAACTGGCGTGAATATGAATGCAAAGTTTCGGGGATGTCCTGGAGAGTGTCATGCAGCCATCCCGACAGTGACGGAAGCACGGTGCTCTCTGCCTCGATTGCTCGTCCTGCAAAAAAGTTCATGTTCGTCTTGATGTACTCACTGACAAGGCCCCAAGCTTTGTGGTGCATCTCCTGTCATTTGTCGTCAAAGTACTAAACCCTTTGTTTTATCACATACCCTCAGAGCATACCTAGATGCCCCAAATAAATACAACACTGTTCCAGCCTAAATTGAAACCTGGTCGTTCAATTGAGAGCGCATTGGTTGTGCAAAAAAACAATGTTTTTGTTCTGGAATCGGTTTGATTGATGCTCCCCATTGATGAGCGAAGTAAGACTGTCAGCTGAAAGGCTAGAAATATGAAACAAGAGCCTTGCACCAAGTATGATAGGTTTTGAACATTGAGTCAGCACCGCTGGAAAACCCGATTACTCCGACATGGTTGCATGTAACTCAAGAAATTTTCATAGACTATAACCCAGTTTTGTGCAAACAATTCTGGGGATACTGTGTGTTGGGCAACATTGGTGGGAAACCTCCCAAAACAACAGCCCCTCCTCAAGCTGGCCGATCAATTTCCCACGGCGCTTGGCTTCCTCCTTCTCACTCCTGGCCCAGGAGACTTGTGTGGCAAACCGATCTCCATGGAAGTGCAGGCGGGGGGGGGCAAGTTTCATGGTAGAACATACCCAACTGAAAAAGTATTAGCCTTGGTATGTTGGTGTATAATGGTTTTAGTAGGATGGGAACCTAAGTGTGATTTGGCAACACTGCCCATGTTTACGAGGGGTAGTATAACATCCACGTTTTGATTTGGGCCATCAAAATGGGAGTGACAGGATGGGAAACATGTGGCTTCTACAGATCAGTCAGGCAGTAATCCCAATAACAACCTCCAAAGTTGGTGTTTAGGGTTTTTCTGCTTTTGTGATTTTTTTGAATTCACCCCAAATGGTTTTCTTGGCTAGCTAGTATTATTGCATAAATGGAATTGGTTTCTCATCAATCGGATAAAACCCTTATATTGCTTCTGATTTTGCTGAAATATGCATTTACCAGTGGGTTCCCAATGAAATTTGATTGCAGGATATTTGACTACTTCCTGTGCTGGATCCACAGACAAACAAAGGAACTCAGTGGGCCTAGGAGCGTTCTTTGCTCTTTGATTTTGAAAGATTGCCGCCAAAAAAAACTTCATGATTCTCAGAATTATTTTATCATTTGTCCTCTGCCACTATCTTTATCACCAAACTGGCACCACCATAACTTATACCTACCATCAACAATGACTAACAATGATCACCACATATGCACCAACCATGGTTTTCCTTCCCCAAGAAGAAACCGATTTCTTGCAGACATGGGTCGAGATCCGCTCGCTCTGGAAGGCGATCTGGTCGCTCTGGAGCATTTCTTTCCACACGTTCCAAGCTGCTTGCAAGCTTTTTTTGTGGGCGTTGCGTGTTCTGTCTTGGGCTTGGGATATGAAATCATCCACGGATTCCCCACGAATCTGCAGGGTGTGTTGCCGGATCTTTTTAAACAATCAAATGGCATGTAATGGGAATTCCTTACTTTGGTGAAAAACACATACCGTAACCATGCAGAAACATAAAATGGATTTGTTAGTTGGGAACTTCCCAGCCTCCAGAATGAATGGGATTCTTTCCCACTCAAACTCCTGGGCGGCCTTCATGATTGAAGACAAATCCGTGTCCAAAGCCCTGGGCTCGATAATTGGGGTCCAAATGAAAAAATCATGGGAAATCTGGGAAAATCGGGAAAACCCATGAAACTTTCAACTTGAATTCCAGCTCTGACTTGTTACGTGATCTCCCAGAATCCCTTGATGTTTTCATATTCTGTGGGAAAGCCCATGATTTTTTTTTTGGGTTTCAAGATAGGGCATGTGACGTGTTTCCCCGTCAACAACAAATTTGTTACGTGATTCTGGGGATTCCAGTAACAATTCTGAAGTTAAGTTGAGACACTGGGAATCAAGTGTTTTTTGGGTTTTTTTGAATCCCCCAAAAAAAAATCAAAATTCGAGTTGGCGCCGGCCAAGTCCACCCGAAGAAGTTTCACGTGATTTCTGGAAATCCCACGACAAAAATTGAAAAGTAGTTGGCGCCAGCCAAGTCCACCCGAAGAAGTTTCACGTGATTTCTGGAAATCCCACGACAAAAATTGAAAAGTAGTTGGCGCCAGCCAACTCCGTTTCAATGTTTATCACGCGTTGGCCCCAGCCAACTCCGTTTCAATGTTTATCACGCGTTGGCCCCAGCCAACTCCGTTTCAATGATTATCATGTGTTGGCCCCTACCAACTCCGTTTCATTGTTTGTAAATAATTGTTAGATTCGTTATCCCAATTGGAAAAAGCAGCCAAGGTTCCCTCGCATGAACAGCTCTGTATGTCTCTGGATGATTGGGGCAGCAAATGCACTTTCCAAGCGTGGGATCAGCCAAATCCACAAGCAGCACACATCATGTAGTAGGATATGGTTCTCTTCATCGAGCTGCGCATTTTTCTGAAGCAGGGTTGGTGGTAACCAATTTATGCAATAATCCAGACCCAGTTGATGTAAGGGTTCCGCCCAAACATGACCCGATCATTCACAACCAGATTCCCAAAAATGTCACCAAAAAATCAAACATCGAATCATTGATCTCATCTTTTTTGCATACCACCCAGAGACCACAAATTTGATTTTTGAACACAGCCCTCCTTGGCTTTGATCGATGCATCTGCTGTCACCCGACGCTTGAAATCCTCCAGGGATGGGACACATAGAGTTGGTGAGTGAAAATATGTTTTGTTTGAAGACTTTTTTTTTGAAAAATAAACAGAATAAAAATTGGGTCCTCTGTAGATCGGTTGACCCACAACAGGCAGGTTTCCACGCTGGGTGTAAGAATTTCTCGGAACAAACCCTTGCCCTGAAACTTGCTGCTCTCGCAACGCGACGTGCTGCCAGGTACCCAAAAGTCTTGCTGCAAAATGTCGAGCGGCAAGGCTGGCAGGGCAAAAGGGATGGTAACCGGGCGGGGTTGCTTCTGGATATTCAAATAAGTTGATCAAACACCTAAGTGAGATGTGTGAAGAACCCACGATAACAATTGGACCATTTCCCAACCGACCAGCCTGACACGGAATGGGGATAAACATCGTAATGTTTGTGGATCTTGCCCTGGATCTCGTCATTGGTCCGTAGCCTTACTGAAACAAACCCAAGAGGGGCTTAGTGATGAAAGATTCGATGAGGAAGGGTAATCTGAAGTCACAAATGTCATTATAGAATAACCTTGGTGCAAAGGAAACCACTTGAACTTGTACCCGCTGAATAACAGCTGAAAGGCAAATTCATGATCATGTTCTTGATTCCAGTTTCGATTCGGTGGCTCTTCTTCGTCACCATTCGGTTGTACTCACCCACACATCTACTGACAACGTCCTTCAACGCACCTGATGTCCCAGCCCGGGCCATGCGGCGCTCAATCCCCACAGCCTCCTTGATCGCCCCCAGGAAGTCTATGGCAGAGGGCGCTTGTTTCTGGGCTGAAACATGCTGGATGCCTGGGAATGGTTGGGCAAAGCGGTGGATGATAAAGTTAAAGGAAACTTAGGGAAACACCCAGGGTCCAGCAAATGTAGCAAAAAAATCAATAATGTGGTAAACCCAATAATTAATAACCCTACCATGTATGCTGATTGATATTATCCTTTTACACAACCACTGGGTTAGTATGTTTGAATTGAGTTTACCACATTGAGTACTTTATCCAAACAAGGGTCGGAGAGCATGCAAGTAATGATGAGCTGGGTTATCGAAGTGGCCGTAAGCACACCGAACCCAACGGAAACTTTCAATCATCTTCTTCACCCCAGGGAGTGCCATTTGGTCACGTGTAAGTTCCTTAGAGGTAGCAGATTTAACAGATCCCCCTTCAGACCATTATCATAAGCATACTAGGTGGGTGTCCAGATTGTCCCAAAAAAAATGCAACAAAAAAATACATACCAGTCGTGTTTCCAAGTGGTCGCAAATCACGCAAATCCCGACCATTATCAAGACTTTGGTGAAGCCATCGCAAATTCCTACCGATCCCTCATAGATGCGACGGGTCATGTCGCCCTTGGCAAATTTGGTCAGTATAGCTTCGCATTCCGAACGGTACCCATCTTTCAAGAACTCCCGGAAATGGGCTCCGATCTGGGTGTTCTGCGGGAAGTCTGCCAGGGGTAGTGCGGGTAACAAACCAACTGGTCAGAGTTTAGCTGGATTAACATGTTTTCAATCACCACTAGTTTCCACTATATACTAAGTAATTCTTTTGTCACCCCCCACATCCGGATTTGCTTTGGGCCGTCACATCAAAGGCGTGTAGGGGAAGCCAGAACTCCTTCATGGTTGAATTTGGGATCAAGTTCAGGATTGGGTAGCTGCACTCCGGCCCATTGTCCAGCAGAGCATGCAACACCTGACGGATTGATATATAGTATGTTCTATATGTATATATAGTATAGCTCGCATATAAATATATATATATATATATCATATGTATACAGTATGTATACTCATACAAAGGGGGGCCCAAGTTGAATCTAGAATTGGGGTAGAAACAGTTCAAAACATAAACAAAACTCGTTCAAAAAAGACGCCTGATCCAGAGTACCACGGTCGATCTTGTTGACAAAGTCTCCAAAGTTTTGCTCTTGAATGACCTTGAATTTAAGTTGGTTAACCATAATGGTTGGACATGCAGTATGATGCATTTTTTGTGATCATTTTGATTTGGAATCAAATTAGCCCCGAACTGTGTCAAAACACGTTGCGATCTTCTTCAAAATTTCATCGCTGGCTGCATCATCAGACAGCCCCCCCATTGTGCAGCGGGAGCGGCTACCCTATGGATTCCCTTTGGGAAAAAATCTCAGCGGCAACAGGGATTTCTGATAGGAAAATGTTCCATCATGTTTTTTTTGATGAACAAACAAAGCTCCAGCAGATCTTTTGCAAAGCCAAGTTGATCATAGTAAACCGTAAGGCAACCTCACTGTGGGATTGCTTGTAAACCCTGCAACCTGTTTTAAAGTTGCGGCCAAATCCCCAAATCAGAAAATTAAATCACATTAATTGGCCAGCGCATGCCGGTAGACAACCTGAAGCTTGTATGGCTTGGGGGGCAGGACACGGTTGCCCAATCGGAACTCATGCAAATTGCTAGAGGCTGATGGCCCTGCTTCAATGAAATTCAAAACAGGGAAAGGCTGTCGTGCCCTCTCAGAATTTACCAACGACCTCAGGTAGTTGGCTCCACGCTGCAGGTGCGGGAAGTCCTGCTCGATGTTGTTGGCCAAATCAGACAGCTCTTCGGAGCGGGATTCATCTAGCGATGCATTCATCGTCAAGGTGGTGCTATTGATGCGGTTCACGAAGGACTGTGTCGCAGGAAGGTAGCTGTGTGGATAAACCAGGATAGGTGGCTGTGACAAGACTTGGTCTGACATTGCAGCTTTCACCATAGCAAACACATCTTTGCTACGCCCCTCTGAGCGCAGCCTACGCGGAACATTGTCATCCATCTCGATTCCAACACCACCCCCTGGCATTCCTGAGGGACCACCATAAGAATCATGCAAAAACATAATAATTTGTAAGCTGCATGACCTACTTTTGAACATATGCATTCTAAGTTCTTTTATACTGAACCCCACCTTCCCGGACCATGAAGGTGAAGCTTTGGGGCACAGCGTAACTGTCATTCCCTTCACCATCGCCTTTGCGAGCCCTGTAGCAGTTCTTCAAAGTAGCCCCAGCTGGCATCAAAGTACACCAATCCCGGATCTTAGTGAAATGCACCGTCTTGGTTTGAGAAAAGTATTGTCTCATTGAAGCTTAATTCCAATGTTTTGGTACAGGAACTATAAATAGTACCCATAAAATATGATTTTGAACACACTACCTGCCAGCTCCCCCTGCCCCGGGCAAAGGTATGGACCAAGTCACTGTGTCCACGATCTCGCAGTCAAAGACCAAGTTGGACCGGGCAAACAAGGGTCGCATCCGGTTGACCAGAGTCCTGCAAGAATGGCCAAGTAGAGCAGCGAAGGGATGTGGGGCACAGGACCACTCAATGTTTTCAACATGAAAGATGGTTGATCAACTAAATGATGATCCTTTGCACATCTCGTGGGGTCTGCAAGTCCATCATGGCATTCAAGGCCGAGGTGACAATGGAAAACACTCCATCTCAGGGCCGGGTGGTCTCCAAAGGGTGTTTAAAAAGTTTTGGGTGAGTTTTTGAATGGAAACATTTTTCAAGAACTGTCCCTTGCCTATGTCTTCATGGGTGTGTCCCACCATCAAATGATGGTGGGACACACCCATGAAAAAGCCTGCTTGGCACATCAAAGAAGCCCAACGTCCAGTATAGCTGTTTCTGACTTCCTTAACCGCGTTGTCCCCCTGAATCCAGCACCTGACAAACCAGGTTTAGTAAACATTAAAATGTGTAGTGGGGAGCCCTTACTTCTAGTAAAGAAATGTGTGATGCATAGAATGCTGCATTGAGATATAATTATATATACACACTATCACACTATAATTTTAACTCATATACATATATACATGTATACTCATATATATTATATATGTATATGTATATTTTCCCCACCTACTTTTACCAAGAAACTCGGCTGGAAACGGGGCGTTTTTGGCCTGCAAAATGCCATAGGCCCGATCAATCGACCGCATTGCCTCAGAGAAGGCAGGGATTTGGTCTTGGGAACCTGGTTGCAGGTAGAAAGTTGGGGCACCTGGTGTTTGTTTTTTTTAAACTTGGTTGGGATCAAGTGCAACAAGGATACAACTTCCAAGGTCCAGTTCGCCCCTGTTCCCATCCCTTCATCTGCCAAGTATAAGAACACACCAACTCCATGAACGATGCATCCAGTCAAGGTCATCGTGGTGCCTTAGATTATGCAGGGGGGGTGACCCTAACCACTGATTGATATTTGCTAGTTTGTTCCGTTGGCACATATGTAGTTACCTAAATGCAAACAATGTTCGGCGAATGCGATCGTAAATGGGTTTCTTTGGAGTGCGCTGGAATGGAAACCTGGGCAGGCATACCTTCGCCTTGTCATAAGAGTCGATGATCAAGACCAAAATGTCCCCATGAAGCCGCGCACGGTCACGTGCACACCAGTAAATTTGCCGATCTTGGAGAGTCTGGGAGTAATGCGTCAAGAGTCTGTCACTGTACTCGGCATGGGACTTCAGATCCTTATCATGCCCAGAAAACGAAGTCAATGGTTGTGGGATGCCCCATATAATCCAGACTTTGGAGTATCTCTAGGGATTAAGGTGACAGTGATGGGGTTTTGAGCTTACTATCAGAAACATAATAATAACATAAAACATGTTTTTTTCTTGGAATCAAATCTGAAAAGACTCCTTCGAATTTCTGATCAGCATTTTCAACCGACTGCACACAGCACAAAGGGAATGTTGGGTCTTCTTGTGGAATCTTAAGCAGCACCGCCAGGCCAAAGACACAGAGAAAAAGGTCGACTTGGAGGCTGGACATTCCTGTTTTGCCCGGCAATGGGCTGCGTACAACAAGTAAACATTGGACCAGCACCCATGGGGTAACTCACGAAGCGCTAGACGACTTGGAGATTGATTGAAGGCTATTTGGGTGGTAGCCACCATGAGCTTACAATCAATCAACCTCTGGAGCAACTCTTCTCGCAGGGCATCATCGCTTGTCTTGTCAGTGGTCTTTGACAGGATCCTGAGATTGCTGTGTTATTTTCATCAAATCATGGTGTCAATCCCCAATCAAACATAGCTTGAATTGGCACACTCCCAGTCTTCAAGATGAATATACCAAGAAACGCTGTTGGCATGGACTCTGCTGCCGTCCAGTAAAGGTGGATCAAAAAGTTGGTCACACTGGCTGATTTCACGCTAGGCGGCGCAGCTGGTCCTGAGCCATCTGAAGGGCAAGTCTGATGGGCAGTGAATGGTCGTGGCTCAAAGAAAGAGCAAATAGAGTAGGGTGAAGTACCCAATCAGTGTAATGTGGTATACAATTGATGGATATTTAGCTTTATTTCATAGAGATGATTTGTTACTGGGTTATCACACTAGTCTTGTGTTCAGACCTATGGGCCATGACCATGCTGTGCGGCTTTGCCTCATAAACCTCTATCACTGCAATGAAGCCATGCGATTAAATCAGACAGGTTTCCACCACGGCATGTCAGGGATCTACCATCTCTCCCTTGAAACGTGTGGCGACAACGGCTCAAGCGATGCTTTCCCACTCCAAGCATGAACGCCCAGGAATCACGACAGACGGGATATCCTGCAAATTGGGCTAGTGCAGGCTGTTTGAAGGGTAAGATTGGTCGAATTGGACTGGGCATGTTTAAAATAACTTTCAACCAAAACCAGTCCTGCCATGTACCACTGTTTTTTTTTGATGTTGCCACCAGATTCATTCTGAATACTCCACAGGCATGAGTCTTGTGACTGCTTTGTCAAACTCCAGAATGCCACACATAGCTGGTACAAGATCTTTACAGGAAGCTTGCACATGCAAGTGCAGCATGGCTTAGTCACTGCAGCTTTGACGCGTTTCGCTGACATGCCTTTCTTTGCATATTTTGTGAAGTCCTTTCTGGGTACTGTGCCATGAGCATGCAAAGATTGGAGCCTTTCATATACCAAGTCCACGTAGCCAGTCCCTCCCTGACCATCGCTCCCAGATTCAGAACCAGAATCCGACATGCTCGTGTAGGTATCAGAGGTCTCGGCACTTGACTCCGAAGACCTCGGTTATGATAATGATACAAGTAGCAGGAAATGACCTGGACAAAAAATTACCGTTGGGTGAAACACATGACAAAAACTCACAACCCTGATAAAGGAATTATGCTGCTGGGCTGCTCATTTGACCCATAGTCAGAGTCTGAAGTGGAATCGTATCTCTTCACCCCACCACCCTCTGAACAAGAGTCTGCATCATCATCATCCCAGCGTCGGAGCGACATGCGCACAGCTGGTAGGGTCACATTTGAAAACCCCAGAAACTCCAAGACCCCACCTTGAGAAGGCAAGTCAGGGTATAGGATGTAATCAATAGGATGTAATCAATACATGTGAATGATTGCGTTCAAAAAACGCTTGAAGCAAAAAATGGACAATAAATCCCAGCAACAATTTTTGCACACATGCTTCAGGCACCCAGTACAGCTCAGGAATTAATTTGGTTCATCGAATTTGATACAAATTTCTTCCTAGATTTGTTCAGGCCCTGGAAAATTTCTCAGGGCAACATGCAGACAACGCTGCGCAAAGGCAAGGTAAAATAGCTCTGATGGCAATGGAATTGCCACCCAAAGAATGCAATACCTAGGGGAGAAACACACACTGTTTAGAGTTGATGTGTCCAATGTGCCATTGTTTCACAACAAGCTCACATATCCAATACATGTAGGCAAGGAACATTTTCACTGCAGCCTTTCAAGTTGAGACGGTGCACGGGCAGTCCCATGAGCAACATAGTTTCACGCCCCAGCAAGTAGCGACCCCGGCCCGTCGCCAAAAATTTGCCTTGTGGCCTCAGATCCCATAAAGTTAGAAACATGTTTACTAACACCAGGCGAGACACCCCAAGCCATTCCCTGGATCCAGCCGAGTGGCGTAAGGCAAAAGAGCTCCTCCGATGTACACTCCAACACTGAGATGTGCCCCAAGTTCTGGCTCGTGTTGATCATGGCGAGACTTGAATGTTTTGCAGCCAGAAGGTTGCACGCCTGTGGGGGAAAACTATGGGGAAAAACCATAGAACATTAAGGGTAGGTGTAAGGTAACTACAGCTCAGCAGTATTAGCAAACTAGCCTCCAGCTCCCGATAGGACGTAATTTGTTTGGCAGCGGAAGGGTGCTTTTTGGCAAATAATTTCTCCTTGTTGACCTTCTGGACATCAACCTGCCCCAAAAAGTCAACCAGGACTATGAGGTGCACATACGTCTTTTACAGGCTAGACCCACATGAATATGAATATATACATATGTATGTGTGTGTGTTGTATGTGTGTAAATAAAGTATACATCGATGTATTTACAGTAACAATTATACAAATATCCCACCTGGTGCTGCTTTGCCCACTCACGGTGTCTCTTCACCCACTTTGCTTTCTTGTTGACTGGCCTCAAAGAAAATCCCACATGATAATGAGTTGATAATGATAATGTTTTTCTCTCAAAAAATTGCTTCGAATATAGTATCTATGATTCCTTGGTATCCAAGGGACATGGACATTGCCTTGAGCCGCCGCTGATTCCGTTTCGAAACATCTGCTCGCACAGCCGGATGCTCTGAAGGAAGCAATAGGTCATTCCTGTGGCCAAAGGTGTGTAGAGTTAAAAGGCTCTATTTTTTTGACGTCTTTGAGAAAATTGGTTTCTGGTGTTCCCCAACTTGCATTTGTTAGAAATTTAGCAAAGGTTCCAACCTACTTTGGAGGCAGGAAGCTTCATGCCATCTAACTTCCCCTGAATAAAGTCACCGAAATCATAGTTCTGAACATCGCTGGCCAAGCAATCTTCCCGAACCATGATCAAAAAGATACGCTTGCGACTGATAGGTGCGCCATATCTTCGCCTAAGACCCCAACAAAAAAGCATGTTTTTTCAAAAATCCAGCTGAAGTTTGTGCATGCATTCAACAAAATTTGAGATTCCAAGAAAGGCACGGATTGAGTGCGACATAAACCATTCGGTACCTTAGAAGGTAGCAGGACAATGGGTTAGGTTACACATCGGCAAAGTCAGCTAAAATTGCCAAAATGCAAATTAGTATTTCCTGCCAAAGCACCCTGGGCAGTTGACCATTATGAAGGTTGCAACTTTGTCAGCTATAATTTTGAAACCCATCACGTTCTCCAATAGACAAACCTGAATGGCAATCTACAACGCATTCAAGGAAACAAAACAGAGGTCAAACAGAGCAAACAAACGCCAATCACCAATGAGGAATATACAAACCACATATTTGACTGAGGGGCTTTGGGTCTGCACTTTTTTATCCTTTTCATGCAAGCTAAAAGCTGGCGTGAGTTTGGGTCACTTAGCCTGAGAAGGCTTCCCAGGGAACTGTAAGGTGTACAAGGAAACCCTGCGGCATACACGTCCATCTCCTGAGGCAGCAGAGGGGTAAAATGCGGTAAACAAGTATGCGTTCAAAACTGGGACAAATATGAAAGACAAAAATAGTGGCAGTCCCAGCAGCGCCATTTGAGAGAAGCGTGTTGTCTTGCTTCAACACTGACTCTGTGAGCCTTTGTTTTCCAACTAGCCAATGAAAAGAACAAACTGTGTAGCCAAACAACAGCAAAGTACTATTGCTACTGCGTTCTCATACTACCATGCAATATAGCCAGGCAGCTGCTGAACATTGAAGTTCTGTTTGAGGAACTGCCGCTTGCTGGGGTGGATTTCAGATGCCGACCTTATGCCAGAACCCATGCAAGATAATGTTTTTTTTTCCAAATGCATTTTTTTGCAAACCAGCTGTTACAGTAAGATCTTTCTAATATAAAACCAGAACCAATCCACCAGCGCCGCCCGGAATTGAATACCAAGTTGCAAGTGAACCAGGCTGTGGCCCTGATTGGCAGCTTCAAAGAGGTACCGCAAAGCTAGAAAGGGCGCATCTGCTCCACTGCCTTGCTGCGTTGTGCTGGCTGGAATGCAAGCCCTGGTTACCCTGGCTACCTTGACTCCCCATTAGACCCACCAGCACCTGGCCCTTCCGATATAGTAGCCCAGGTACAGTCCGACGAGAAGCAACATTTTCCATGACGGCGTTGAAACCATTCTGCTAGTCCTTGGAAAAAACAAAGAGCAATCTTCTTGAAACCTTTCAAGAATCAACACGCCCCCCAAAACAACAAATGCCAATCCGTGACCACATGCATTAATCCCCCTTACTACCTCCAAAGTTTCATTCCAGAGGGCAACCCTGAGAATGCTAGTCAGCGAAATGCATCTTTAAGCGTGGCATAGCGCGGCTGAGACTCCTGATGAGCCAAGAAAAAGGTCCCCGACCTCGTCCAAGTATTTCACCGCAGCTGCAGGAAGGGGGGGTTCCTGCGGTTGCTGTGGTTGCTATGGGGTTCATTGGGTTGAAAGAAGGAAATATATAAATGGCATTTTTGCCAAAATCCCCCAAGAGTAATTTGATCTTCAAGAACATCATGGATGAGGAATTTTAGGGGTTCATCTTGGTTTCAGTAATGTCCTCCTCACTTTCATCCGAACTTGATGATGAACCGGACGAGCTTGAGTCCGATGAAGAGCCCATGGCCCCACGGCAAGGATGGGATGGCTGGAATGTCAATGTGCCCATTTCCCACATTAAGGTCAGAACTATCAATAGGATGTGTTTGGGTTGTTCAATGGATTCCCACAGAAAGTTGAAAATTTGTTGACGTGTCTCTGGCACACATTGCTTTGCAACATGCCCCCTTGAACCATACACACAGAGCCACTTACCAATTGGAGAAGAGCCACTTTCAATCGAACAAGACTCAGAGAAAAAATGACAAATGCACATGGCCGATCTTAGTTAAACAAACTGCTTGTATGATTCCTCCGGCTCCATTGGCTCACCAAAAAAAACGGCAGTTTGTCAATTCCCTTGCGGTTGACCGGATCATCAAGATCATCTCTCACCACACCTTCTCCAACGAACTGATGCGGCTGCCATGCGCAGCCACCATTGCGAGAAGGGCGAGCCAACGTGCCATGGCTGACGACGTCGCACGTCAGGTCGTTCGACCTGGACGGCACCGTCGACGACTACGTTGTTTCGTGGGGGGTCAGATGGAAAGGTTCGACCTCCACCTGAGCCAATATACAGAGCAACGGCACGTCAGATCATTTTGCAAACATGGGCATCATGGGGTTATGATTATGATGTCATCGGGGGACTGTCTTCTTGGACGCCCATGTCGGCCTTTCATGTCATTGGATTGGCTGGGGACAGGGCAAGCACCTGTATGTAATGGTAAAAACCGCGGCTTCCGGTTACGACTAAGATTTTACCTTCAACCATTCCAGTGATTATGGATTGACTATGGTATGTTGTATGTGGCTTTGAGGTTTTTAGAATATTCCCAGCACTAGAGAAACCAGCCCTGGGTTTGTTTGAATAGCCTGGGCAACCCCTAAAATTCCATGCTTACACTTATCATCATCTTTTCATATCTAATCTAGTCCATATTGAGAAATATGGCAATGAATTAAAGCATATACAACATATGTAAAAAAAATCCTATGTCGTGGCTACATTTCGCGACATTTCTTGTAGGACACCCCGCAGCGAAAAAACCCGGCTTTTTCCTCCGCGTCTTCGATGGAGCTATTCCTCCGCGAAGTTGTAGAGATAGACCGCGTTGTCGCGGCCGTCGGTCACGAGTAGATCCTGCTCCTCCGAGAGGCACATGGAACCGAGCCAGACCTTGTGATTCCTCGGAGACGACAGGAGGAATTTCTGGTAGAGGAAATCTATGGACATCTCCGAAGCAAAACTGGGAGGTTGGGAAAATCATTGGATGAAATTGTGAAGCATACTTTTTTGGCACTTGAGGGTGCAGTTGCTATGGTTGGGCCGAAAGTTTTGGAAATAAGTTTTACTGCCATAAGTTAGGACATAAGCCCGAAAAACTAATATCGTGAAATATGCTGGCACGAGTTTCTTGCTGGAACATGCTGGAACTGCAACCAAAAAGCAGGGGACACCTCCAGAGTTCACTTGAAACATCGAAATCTAGGAGATGATGAGCAGAATTCTGGTTGGTGGTTTCAACCTACCCCTCTGAGAAATGAGTGCGTCGTGCGTCAGTTGGGATTCGAGATGATGACATCCCCAATATGATGGGAAAGTCATAAAATTCCATGGTTCCAAACCACCAGGATTGGGTTTTTGCCTGGGAAAGCACTTCTGGGATGATTTGAGTACTGTTTGGTCTGGTATTGTTTCTGACGTCAGTATTCAAAACAAGCACTTTTTTTAAAAACGAACAACATTTACCGATAGTTAAAGAACATGATATATGTAATATATTGACCTGGCTTAAGCTATCAAAAAGACATCTATTAAGAGCATTTAACAGCTTTATCAATGTATAGTCATATCCTAATCTATGATGAGTAAGCTATCAACAAAAAAGAAACAAAAAAACAAAACGCAAACTGGTTGATGGTTTTAACCATCTTGAAAAATATTAGTCAGTGGGAAGGATTATCCCATGCATTATGGAAAATAAAAAATGTTTGAAACCACCAACCAGCAAAGAAGTGGATTGCATCCTAAGCAAATCTCTGGGTTTCGGGATGTTGAACACAAACTCTCCGGTCTCTGCATCCCACGCAATGATTCTTCCGTCCAACGCTGCCGTCAGAACGGATCCACCGCCACCACGTTGGATGGCCACGATGCGTCCTTTGTGGTCCGAACGGGTCCACCTCGGCAAAGAACAAGTGGAAGAAAAACGGCCAGGACGCCATACCCAGATGCGAACCATGGTGCTGGTATATAAAGACCTACAAAACTGGGTGATGTTGTTCGGGTAAATGTTGGGATTCATATTCCAGCACCATGGAGCATCTGGGATATTTGATTGTCAAAGGATAAAGGGAATGTCATTTGATGTCCTTCACATGACAGTCTTTTCAAATGACAGTGTGTCGCTTGCATTTTGTGAAACAAATGGGTGTGCTCCAAGAACAGGGGTCGCACTTTCCCTATTATGGTAAAGAGTTCCCGTCACCCGGTTCCCAACGTTGTTCACAAACAAATCACACAATTGATACAACTTAGGTCAGTCTGAAAATTGGGAACAACAAAATCTGATTGTGAATCACCGTTTTCCCTACTAAAATGGCAAACCCCATGTCCAGACAGTTTTTTTTGAGGTTATCCGAACTGGTGGAAGCACCCAACTTGTCAACGCCAAGAATTGCACCCCAGGATTTTACAGCTTAAATCACGCCAAAAAACTGAACAATGATTTTTAGGATCTTTCAAACCAAAGTAATATATATATATACATATATAAACATGCACAATAGTCATTAGTTTTGAAAAAAAAGCAGAAATTCACATCCACGCAAATGTCCACTGTTTGATTTTGAAGCTTCCATGGTTTCCTTCCTTCCCCACATCCCAACCTCAAAGTCCAATCTTCCCCCGGCATCTTCTCATTCCTTGTGCTTGAGAGGTCGCCAGAAAAGTTGGACTTCCCAATAGATCTGTGGGCAAAGCAGTGAATCAAAATAGAATCACACTACAGAATCAGAAAGTCCAGCTAAAATGTCGGGTTTTGTTTTGCATTGAAAACAAACCTAAATCTCCAAATCAAGACTTAAACTATATAATTGTGGTAACTACAGCTTGTTTCTCGTAAAACCCAAGTCAAAAATTCACCCACATTGGGAGAACATAACATGGTTATTTTCCAATAAAACCAAAACATTGCAAGATCATCCCTAATTGTTTGAAAAGACACACCCCAAAAGAAATAAAAACACTACCTTAAACCACAAAGACAAAAAAAACATTAAAACATCATAAAGCATGATTTATTCCAATAAAATCATATCCTATGGATCCAAACACCTCCTGAGAAGGTACTTAACCCCCAAATCATACCCCGAACACTTCCTAAGAAGGTATTTGGATCCATAGGGATATAGAATCACATCTAAAATCAAAATTCATAAACCATGATTTTTTCAAATAAACACATAGAATCACATGGGGATGGGTCAAAACCCTGGTACCGTGCTGTGAACCCCAAGTCATAGCTGGGATTTATGGATGTTCATCCCACTATAGTCATGTATCTATAGGTATTGACCCATACCCACATCTAAAATTCAACATTTCAATGGGATTTTAATGGGATTTCAATGGTTAATATATGGTTAATAATGGTTAATATATGGTTAATGATGGTTAATAATAATCTGGTTCAAGCTTCATCTCCCAGCACTTCACGCGTCCGGCATCGTCCCCCGTCACCAGCCGCCCCGGTCCCGTGGCATCGACCGCGGCCGCCGAGACCGGGGCGCCGTGCGCCGCGGCGCGGCGCGCGGAGAGCGACAGGCGCCGCAGCTGGCGGAGCTCCACGGAACCGTCTGCGAGGCCCAGGATGATGCTGTCCTGGTTAATATGTAGTTAATATACTGTTAATAATGGTTAATATATGGTTAATATATGAATTATTATATGGTTATTATATGGTTATTATATGGTTATTATATGGTTAATATATGAATTATTATATGGTTATTATATGGTTATTATATGGTTATTATATGGTTAATAATGGTTATTATATGGTTAATATATGAATTATTATATGGTTATTATATGGTTATTATATGGTTAATAATGGTTATTATATGGTTAATATATGAAATATTATATGGTTATTATATGGTTAATAATGGTTATTATATGGTTAACATATGAATTATTATATGGTTATTATATGGTTATTATATGGTTATTATATGGTTGTTATATGGTTAATGATGGTTAGTAATAATCTGATTGGTGGTTGAGCCCTAGCCCTCTGAAAAATATTAGTCAATTACCATCTGGTTATGTTAACATGGTGGAATGATAGTGATGTTACCATCTGGTTATTTAACAGTTTGCCATGGAAAGATCCACCATTTTTAATAGGTAAACCATCTATTTGTATGGGCCATGGCTTCCATGGCTATGTTAAATAGCCAGAGGGTAAGTATTATAGCATATAACCATGATCTATATATATACCATCATGATCCTCAGTTACCCTCTGGTTATGTCCAAATATCTATTGAAAATGGCCATAGAAATAGTTGAATTTCCCATTGAAAATGGTGATTTTCCATAGTTATGTTAGTTTACCAGAGGGTCTATGATGGTAATATAGTGATATCAAGTACTATAGTAGTGGTCAATGATAATGATATGAATTACTATATATACGTATAGTGCATTAATAGTGATGTTATGGTATAAGATAGTGATATGATAGTGATCATGGGTATATGATGGTGGAATAGATATGATAGTGGTGATACAATAATAGTGATATTATAGCATGTGATAAAGTATATGATGGTTATATAGTAGTAGTATATATCAATAATGGTACAGTAATAGTGATATCAATTACTATATAATGATGGTAATAGTAATAGTAGTGCAATAATATAGTGATGCTATAGTATATGATAGTGGTAACTAATCGTCCAACCCCTATCATATATAATTGTGATTTGATGCTTATATATTAATAGGTATATGTTACTATAATTGGTATGCTATAGATATAATATATGATCATTTACTCATCCTATGATAGTATGTTATATCATATACCACTAGTACGTCTATGAATTGGTATGTGATGGTTATATATAGTGCAATAATATAGTGATGCTATATAGTATATGATAGTGATATGATGGTGTATGTTGGTGGCATATAATTAGTATCATATAGTGATATCAATTACTATAATTGTAATAGATCAATGATCAATATCCCACATGATGGGAATATACACGTATATGTATATATTATTTCAATAATAAAAGCAATAGTAGTGCAATAATATAGTGTTGTGATAGTATGTGATATTGATGATAGTACTGATGGTGAAATAGTACTATATCAATAATAGTGACATCACTTACTATAGTAGTGGCAAAATTCATAGTATTGTAATGATAGTAGTGATATAATGGTCATTGATGATAATAATAACAATAGTAATACAATAATAGTGATATTGTAGCATACGATAAAGTGATAATATGATATTAATAGTGATAATAACAGTGACAATCGTTACGGAATATTACTAATAGTAGTGCATGCTAGTGGCATGCAATGATAGTGATATCATTACTGCAGTGATTTGTATTAAGTGATAGTGACATCAGCATGTGATATCAATATCAACTGTGATAGATGTTAACTATGATATGAGTTGATAGTGATATCAGTTTTTGTAGTAGTGGTATGATTCAATTCAGTAGTAATGATGATAATGATGGTGATATTGATATGGAAGATAATAATTGAATGCAGTAATACAGTTTAGTGATGATAGTGGTAGATTCTAGCACAATACTACCAATAATTGATCATTAGTAGTAACAATAACATAATCAGGAATTACTCATGTTTAGACTTGACATTTGGATACATTTGGTACACCATGTCTTACCATGTCTTAACATGTCCTAACATGTGATACACCATGTCTTAAGCATATCATGTTTAACATTCTGTTTTCCGGCGTGAGGGGAAAATGCAAATTTGACCCATGCACAAATCCAGCATGTTTTGCTTGCCAAAGACGATCAGTTTCTGTTACCAAGATCCACGTGAGTTCCGCCACACCCGCTTGTTTAAAAGGCTCCCGCATCGGATCAGTTCATAACGCGAATTGTAAACATGACTTGTCTAGCCCTACTATCGACTATCAACCAAGCAACAGTTGCGGACATCGTCGGATCCCAGCTATTCATGGCACTACCCAGTTTTGTTGGATCAAACTGATCAAACATCTTTGGTACATGCCTCGAATCTAAACCAACGCCTAAAAGCCAACTGAATCATCCCATGTTACGCAACCGCTTATCCATTGGGCCCATGCTGATCCCCCAATGAATCAGCGAAAAATCTCAACATCCCCATGGAAAATCTCGGAACATCGATGTTCAGCCATTTTTGTGACCCATCGCGAAAGCGACCAAAAATGTAGCCATTCTTCACCCGGCACATTTTTTTTGTTTCCTCAAAGGCCGGAGCCAGGCAATGCACTCGGCATGAGGCCTGAGCCGTGGCGACATGCTTTTAATACGGAGTCGACTGGTGGTAGATTCACCCCAATGTTTGAAGTGGAGAAAGAAGGGTAAGATAGGGTAAGCTAATGTACAACCAGTCTGCTTTAGATATCTTTAGATTGTTTACTGGTTTACTGATTGTCTGTAAAGCATTAGTAAACCATCCCCGAATTTACCGTTCATGGTTCATGGGTGCTATAAGTCTTGGAATGGGAACAGCTGGCGATGGTGCATCATCTTGATCCATGACTGACAATTTGGGATTTGATTTGTGAGTTGAGCTACAAAAAATCAGGTGTTTCCCAAACATCTGAGATATTCCATGATATTCTCAAGAAAATGGATCCAGTTGTCAACCGCAATCCTAATATGCATCTGTCCGGAAGAAATTAGGTCATTTTTCCGGTGTGAAATCAACATAAATCAACTTGTGCCTTAGTTCATTAGCTAAGACGGGTTGGTTTACAAATCTGTTCACTGCCGCTGATTCTCAGGCCTGAATCTTGCAGAGCGGAAGATCTTCCAAATTCTTCACATCCCAACCTTGGCTGGGTCTGGATCCCCAGAGTTTTCTGAGTGAACAGCAAAACAAGTGGATGGCGAGATTTTATGCCTGAGAAATGCCATGGCAGGTACCTTGCACAACCCTGAAAACCAATAGTTCTAAACACTATTAATTATGGCCATGATCAAAAGGAGAATCAGAAAATATATGCCAACTTTCAACAAAAAACATCAAAAAATGACTTTACTTCGTATGATCCCCACCGTGGCATATATCTTGACATATATTGTATGACGCTTTATCTGACATAAATTCGGACATTTTATCTGACATGTTATCATATTTTTTATCTGACATTCTATCTTGACATACGGTATTGCATTCTATCTGACATGTCTAGCATAAGGTTCGGGTCCAGCAGGGCCCAGCTGGCGAGCTGGTAGAGTGGTGCAGGTAGTTTTTCGCTTGATTTCAGTATCAAGGGACCGGAAGCTTTAACCATGTTTGATATGGTTTGATAGCATCATTGCCAATCTTAGATTAGATACCCTGCAAAAAATTAAATTCTTTGCTGGTTAGCAAATATTCCCATTAAAGTATCCATGTAAGATTGACCTAGGCATAGGGCATGCAGTTTCTCACCTTCGGCGAGCAACACATCACCGAATCACCTGCCGCGGCCACCAACACGTCATCGTGGACGCACACATAGCAGGGTCGTGTATCCACGCTGCGATCCAAGATCAACCAGGCCTCCTCGTTCCAAACCTGTAGACGTCCACCTGCAGATCCCCCGTTCAATGGGTCCATGTCCAACCTCAAAGCTGTAGGATTTAAGTCTTTAGTTACCCTCTGGTAATTTAACATAGCTATGGAAAATCCATTATAAATGAAGGTTTTATTGGGAAAATCATCTGTAAATGGTCCATTTTCCATAGCTATGTTAAATTACCAGAGGGTATTTTTTTTTTGGATTCGAAGAGTTCCCAAAGATTTCTCAGATCTTCCCACTTCCATGGATCCATGGATCCATTATGGATTCATTATATCAAGTTGGTGAATTATATCCTTAGTATTTTCCCCAGAATATCTAATTACTTAGCTATAATTCCCCCATTCATAGATGATTTTTCCAGATCTAAACCTCCATTTATAGACGATTTTCCCACTGTATCCCCATATACAAATGATTTTCGCATTATATTCCCATGACATAAAGCCTGTTGAAGCCCATTCATCCCCTGTTGTTCAAATCCCTATGTTCAGACAGGTTACTCATTTTTTAAGGGTTAAATCCCAATAACTAACTCTATAATCATTGTTGTTTGGTAAGTCCCATTTACTTATCACAAAATGGTTCAATCGGGTTAAATCCCAAATAAATTATGCAGTTACAGTGGATTTTTTCAATGATGAAATTTATCCCCTGATCCCATCCAAACCAGATAATAGTAATTCAACTTCCATCTTGATCATCTTGGCTAGATATGGCTAGATCAGCACCATCTTGAGGTTGGCTAGATCACCATAACTCTGTTGGTTGTTGAGGGCTGGATATGGCTAGATCACCATAACTCTGTTGGTTGACCTTCCATACAAACCCCATTGACTAGTTCGTTATTTGCGTATCATAAAGAGTGAAATAACGGAGCTAAACGTCAACCCCAACATGTCGCGATCTCGTTTTGGCCACGGCCCCGCTTTGGAGCATTCACATTGTATCCCCATAAATTCTATACTATATTCCCATGGAAGGTCAACCAACAGAAAATCCCATCATGTTGGTAAAACAATAATAAACCATCCTCAATTTCACCATTTTTATAGGTGGTTGTATAAACCATTCCCAGTCATGGGTGGTCTATGGCATTGTTAAAGACCCACATTAATATGATAATAGGTGGTATAAACCATTAGCCAGTTTATAAACTCCATTCACATCCATTAACATCCATGTTTTTTCCATCATAGACCATCCAGCCATTGGGTACCAGTTACCTCCAGAATGATCATATTTCACTAACCTGAAAGTTTCGGCCGGTTATTCTTCCCAGGGCTCGGTCGCAGTGAGGTCGTTATAATTTAATGTGGTTAAAACAATAATAAACCACCACATGTTTGATGGTTTATACCACCCATGTTTGGTGATTTTGGGGATGGTGTACTATTGTTTTACCCACATTACCCAGAGTTATGGAAACCCATGAATATCATCATGATCCTCTCAAGAAACAGATATTCCTCCACAATTCTTGGCTGTGTTCCCATGTTTTTCCACGAAACAATGAAACCAGAGGTGGTTTCGAATTTCCGCCCAACAAAAAACAACTTCAACTGTTCAACCATAAAAAAATATTCATGGAAATTTTCTCCAAAGCTCCCTTGGAAACAAAAAAAATCGGGGAGCTTTCCATCAAGAAATTCCTCACCTGCCAGGCCAGCGCAGAGATATCTGCCGTTCCAGGCCATGGACGTTATCGAGGTCTCGGGATCTGCCTGTGCCTGGTGGTCCGCGGGGACCATGCGCGAAGGGCTGCCTGAGGGGATGCCCCGGTTGCAGGTGCGGATGGGAAAACATTGGGAAAACATTGGGAAAACATTAGAAAACATTAGAAAATTGGAAAAACATTGGAAAAATAGTGGGGATTTGAAGCGGGTCGTGGTGAGATCATTGGGATATCATTGGAAAAAGTCATTGGGATAGACTTGGGATATGTATAAGTCGGCTTTTCTGGAATTTAGCCATCATCTCTGGGAATACCATGGCAGATACTACAGCCATACAAACCAACAGTTTCTGGAAAAAGGTAGCTGGATAGCGAGGGATACCTGGACTCCAGTTCGGAATCACCAAGTTGCGACTGTGACACTGTTGGGTCGTGACAAATACTAGACATATAACTCATACTATGGTAATGGTAATGGTTATATGTAATTGATAATGATGGTAAATGATGGCAATAAGTAGTGGTTAATGATTATTAATGTGGTTAAAACAATGTCATAAACCATCCCATTTTTGATGCTCTATACATCTCTATACCACCCATTTATGGTGGATTTTGGGGATGATCCCTGAGTGATCACCAGGCCCAAGAAAACTGGCCTTTTTTGAGAGTTCTGAGGGATGCCAGGAATGCCATGTTGATTTTGGATGGCATGTTTTAAGGGTTTTTTTGATAGTTAGGACCTTGGAAACTCTGGTGGTTTTAAGTGCTTTAACCATTTTGAACCATTCATTCGTGGGGTCACTTGTTGGCATTGATTCTCAGGAGCCGTTTCGTAACTTTTTCGCTACCTCCAGGATGATACGGGACCGTTGGGGGACCTGCTGGCAGGATTTTGCGATGTGGATTGGTGAGTAAAAATCTGCCAGTTATGAACGACAGAGGTGGATGTGCAGCGGAATGTGATCCCTGCAAAACATCAACGATCTCTACTAATTGGTGGTTTCAACCCCCCTGAAAAATATGAAAGTCAGATTGGATAATCATCCCAACTATTGGGGAAAATAAAAGCCATGTTCCAAACCACCAACCAGTATATTATCTCAAGACAAGAAATGTGTCAAGTCAACAAAGTGGGTATCTGATGTAATCCCAGGAGGTACACTGGCAAATTACTGATGCTTGGTGCCAGTTTCGTTAGCTGGACACCTGTTATTTTCGCCAAGTTGCCTTGCCATTGCCACCCATCAAATCACTGATGCCATTATTATCAGTAGCGTTATGAAACTCACTTACCCTCTGGTAAACATACAAAAAGCTATTGAAAATGGCCATAGACATGTTTGATTTTCCCATTAAAAATTGTAATTTTCCATAGTTATGTAAACGTTTACCAGAGGGTATCAATATCATTCATTATCACTATCATGGTCGATCCCACCCTCCTGCTCCTAGCTGTCCTAGCTTTCGCACGCGACAGGTTGGTCAACAGTTCACTCAGATTTCACGGCTTTATGGGACGAAACTATAGCTAGATGGCACATTCTCCACCCATCAGTTTGGCTCAGCAAACCCATGGTATAGACGTTTTCGTTGGTCATATCAATATGATATCCCCATGTTTGTTTCCCTGTTTTAAGTGGTAAAATCATCAATGCCAGGGCATCGTCAATCCCAACGAACAATCGTTGTTTCATCACCGAGCAAACCCTCGCGAAATTTGAGAACTAAAAAACAATACTTCAACAAACTAATGATAATGATGATGATTATCACAACTTGATACGTAGTTTTATATAAGCAACTAATGACCAAATATGACAAAAGTGGGATTCACCCAATGCCACTATAACCATCCCATCCCATCAACCATTCATCCCAGTCACAGGGGGAAGTTCCCAAGTTCGTAAACCCAAATCGCTACGGTTTTATAGGATTTTTATGGCGTAAAACACCACCATGATTTTTGAGAATGTTTGGTTTTTTTGGCTACCCATCATCCAACAATCATCCAATCCCTATCATCAGTTCAATGGGTTTACCATCTGGTTATTGACCATAGCTCTGGTGGGCCATTTTCCATAGCTATGTTAAATAACCAGCGGGTATATTTTTAACGACAATAAAGCAATCATAGATAGTGTCTTATGGCATTAAGTTTTTTCATCACAATAAACCAATTTGCCAACTCCAATCTCAAAAACCCACGGTGGTCTACTATTAAGTTTACCACCATAATAACCAATTCAAAATCTCATAAGTGCCGCTTTATTCTTAACCACCATAAACCGACCCATGAATGGTGCTTTACTCTTAATTATGGCCTTACCACAATCAGAACCAACAACAATTCAATCCCAATCCAATAAATGGTGTTCTATTTTCAGCTTTACCACCTTTCATTACCGACTGTGGTGCTTTATGTCTAACCAACTTGCCAACTCATCAATGGCTGCTATTTATGTTTATCGCTTTACCACAACAATAGACCACCATAAACCAACCCTGATTCCACCCCACAATCACCGCCTTGCACGAACCACTTATTTTCCGCCTCTTTTAATTTTGAGTTTTGCCATGTTTTACCAACAGAATTACCACCTGAAAGCCCCCTTTAAAATCACCAAAATCGCCGCCGGGGCCGGGTACCCCGGGGGTGCCTTGCACTCGAAAGACCTGCCGCGCTTCCACGGCGCCGAGCACATGGCGTCGTATGCCACTGGAGGCCGTGCCGACGAAGACCTCGTCGCCGCTGAGCGCCACGCGCCGCACCCAGTCGTCCTGGGAGGTTTTTAAATTTGGGTAAAAATGTGGAAAACTCATGGGGAAACCCTAGAAATGATGGGTTTTCCATGTCCATGTCAGTTTAGAGGATGATATATATATAATATATAATATAATATAATATCATATCATATAATATAATATAATATAGTATAATATCATATAATATAATATCATATAATATAATATAATATAGTATAATATCATATAATATAATATCATATAATATAATATAATATAATATAGTATAATATAATATAATATCATATAATATAATATAATATCATATAATATCATATAATATAATATAATATAATATAATATATAATATAATATATATATAATATATATAATATATAATATATAATATATAATATATAATATAATATTTATAATATATAATATATAATATATAACATATAATATATAATATATAATATATAATATATAATATATAATATATAATATAAAATATATAATATATAATATATAATATATAAATATAAATAATATATATATATATATAATATGTGGAAAGCCCAATAGTAAACCTGCCATGACTGGGGATGGTTGGAAAACCAGCCACAAAAAATGGTGATGACCTGGGGATAGTGTATGAAATTGAGTGCACCACATTCGGGAAATCTATATGAAACTTCATATAACTCAATGGAGATGTAATGGAAACTTAATGAAGATTTAAACGAAACTCAAATGGAAATTTAAATGAAACTTAATGGCTTGGTCTGAAAATAGGCTATCCCCAATTCCAATGGATTGCTGGGGTATGCAACATTTTCTCACAAACCCTAATGGAGATTTAAAAGAGATTTCATTGGGATTTGACGGGGATTTCATGGGAATGAGGATGTAGCCGTGGGTCTTAATGGGTGTCAATAGGTGTCAATGGGTGTTAATGGGCACCAATTAATGGCTTACACAGATCCAATCTATCATTCCAAAATGACGAAGGACATTTTACGGATTGTTTTTTCTGAATGCTGTTGAGCAAGCAATGATCCTCGTTGCAGGGCCTTCTCTATTTCCGTCAATGACCGGGAGGAGTCGGGAAAAGAATTGCAAGCATCTTCATACCCTGACCCATAGGATCCATGTATGGTATATATGCTAACATGACTGGGGTATATTGATGGTAAATGTTACCATATATAGCAGCACCATGGATCCTATGGGTGAGGCAATCAAACATGCTTTGCTGGGAAAACCCCAATTTACTTCGACTATAAAATGCCAGCGAACTAAACCTCCATGAATGCTTCGGGGATTTCCATGCCGCACGATGCTACCAGATGGTGTTTTGGATAGTATCATAATGCCCATGAAAAATTGCCCATACAATCAATATCAACCAATGATGAGTACAAGATCATCTCCTTTCTTTTGGACTTTGGGGTGGGCCAAAAAAAAAATCAGAATGCATGGAGTCCAGGTAACTTATAGAATTTCACTGACCTCATTCCAGTGGCGGCGCACCAGTGGTCCTTCGGTCCTTATCTCATGTAGCCAGATATAATATGAGATAGTACATTCCCGATAGATTAACAACATGGTGCATTTCTAGTCATACAATGTCACACATATATATATATATCTATAGACAAATAATGGTAGTGATGATCATACCAGCCACTCTTGGGTCCGCTCACCTTAAAAATAGATTCACTTACCCTCCAGAAAATTAACATAGACCCTGCCAGTTGTCGGGTTTGGAAGATTAATTTCTAGTAAAAAATTGGTTCTTTTCAGGGTCCAACTGTTAATTTACCAGAGGGTACATCGTTTTTTTAAAACATAAATCCAGGTCATGTTTTGCCATGCAACACAGCGAGGCGGGGATCTGGTGATCCCAATCTTACGCATGAGAACCTTGTGATGCTGCCCCCTTAGCTACAAGTTGGTTTATAAGCCCATCTAGCTATAGTTGCAATCACCATAAACCAGCTTATAACGAACTGAATAAACTTGGCCAACAAAAATCTGGAGCACCAGCTTGATTTTCTCATTGTTGATTTTTTCCGCATTCTATTCCCATAAGCCTAGAAAATTACTCTATCCAATCAAGCAAAAACAAAAAGGTTGTATACACCATGTAAAAAAAAAAGCCACGTATTGAGAATTCTCTCCATTCCTGGCTAGGATCTCCATATATTGATGGTATACCTACCCCCCTGAAAAATATGAGTGCGTCAAATGGGATGATGACATTCCCAACTGAATGGAAATTCATAGAATTCCATGGTTCCAGTCACCACCAACCAGTTTGGGATATAAACCTACTCATTGAGAATACTTGGGGCTATGGGCTATGGGTATCACATGGTATCCATTCCAATCCCTGGAAGTCATGATTCAACCGTTCTGAACTTTGTTCTGAACCCATTTTTTAATCGCCAAATTTTTCATCTCACCATCAAATCTCATGAAATCTCAGTGCAAAAAATCCCAAAAATCCCATGAAATCCCAAATAATAAGCTCCTGAATGGGATTTTTATTTGGGATTTTCATGATAAATATTTAATGATGTTTAATGATTTTTAATGTTCCATAAACCCAATAAATACCCATGGAACACATCAGAAGCTCCTGAATGATCACTGCAGGTTGGGCTTTGGCCCTTCCCCTCCGCCAGTTCCGATCGATCCGCTCTCTGCGCACCTCCAGCTGCGCGTTCACCTCCTGGCGACGTCGGCGAGACATCGGGGCGAATCCCATCCCGACGTTGAATAAAATCATGAATCAACATTAAAGTTACAACATAAGGAATATGCAATGTGGTTAAACAAATTTAATCTGTTAACCACATATGTTCCTTATTGATCAACATTATTCATTCTCGAATCATCATGAATCAACATGAATGTGGTTAAAACAATTAAACCAGGTTATACCCCCTATAAGAATAGTAATAATGATGTTCATTATATTATAGTTAGATATAGTTAGTATATACCATGTTATACCACCTATAAAAATGGTAATAATCTATAGATGAAGCTAACTATACATGGTAATGGCAATGGTTATAATTGATAATGATGGTAAATGATGGCAATAACTAGTGGTTGATGATTATTAATGTGGTTCAAACAATGTCATAAACCACCCATGACTGGGAATGGTAACCATACCACCTATAAAAATGGTGAGGATAAATGAAAAAAATAACTGGTTGGTGGTTTTAACCATCTTGAAAAAATGAAAGTCAATGGGAAGGATTATCCCATCTATTATGGAAAATCAAAAATGTTCCAAATCACCAACCAGTTAATCTACATCATTCTCTGAAATCATCTGAAATCATCATTCTGAATCGAATCATATATTAATCAACACTGCAACACTAATGATGGTAATATATGGTCATGACCTTAGTAATTAATTGAAAAACATCATGTCTAAAATCATCCAAACCTTCTAGAAACGAATTCAACTTAAATAACCAATGTTTGACTTGACATTAATATACATTAATGATGGTAATCCATTCCTAGTGATGGTAATCCTTCTTCCCAACATTAATCTACATACCTTTCCTATATTTTTTGGAGGGATTATAAGGTGAGGCTTCCGTTGCACAAGAAGCGAGCTCGGTGAACTATGGCAACTGTGGGGGATATAACATGATATAACTATATCTGGTTGGTGGTATACCTACCCCTCTGAAAAATATGACTGCGTCAGTTGGGATGATGACATTCCCAATATATGGAAAAATAAAAATCATGTTCCAAACCACCAACCAGGTGATATAACATGATATAAAGTATAATATTCATGGGGTTTATAAACCTACTGACCTAACTTTTGGGAGGGCCCGTCTCAAAGAATCCAAACGGAAAATCGTTCAATTTGGGATTCATTATGTTAGGCCAAATCAACAATGATAGGCTATCACCAGAGTTGATGCGCCTATCCGTGAGGAGCCAACAACAATGACCCACAAAGAAAGAGATTTGACAAACATGGGGGTGTACCAAATGCAAATGGAAACGCAATTGCCCCCAATAGGAAGTATACAGTATATAGGTCGTTTATCTAGAAATTGTATGGAGGCTGATTTTCAGGAACTTCAGCATCAATAGATTTAGGGACCAAGAAATCAAATCCAAGGGTGTCCAACAAAATGTGGCCAAACTTTCCATAGACGTATAGACCTCATCTAAAACTGCAGGTCAGATTACCACTGCAACAACTACAGGCCCCACCTGAACACGTTTCTGCAGTTCAGCCAGGAATTTGGCATCGTCGCCAACGGTGGCGGCCTCATTGCTGGGCTTCCATTCCAAATCCTCTCATTTTAAGGGCAAAATAGTACTTCCCTCTAAAACATCTTTGACTCCTGGTGTTTCCAAAACCTCAAACTACAGACTAGTAAAAACATCTAAAAAGAACTCAGCACTTGGGCAAAGCCCAAGTGACTTTTCCCCACTATCTCCGAGGCCAGCGAGCCCAAAACGCCGATGCCGCCCAGCTGCTGACTCCGACTCCGCCGCTTTCACCCTGGAGGCCCTGGACCTGGATGACCTCAGCACTTTCCGCCCCACCAGGGGCCCCAGGGCCACCGCCCAGGCGCTTGCCGACGCCGGAACGGTGGCGAAGGACGCAGGAACGGCACCGGGCGGCTGGGCGCTGCAAAGGCGCAACAAGGGCGAGGTGCGGGGGCCGGGCGCGGCTAGGAGGAACATGGGCAGCAAAAAGGCTGGCGTCAGATTTGGTCTGAAAATGTTGGGGTAAACACATGTAAGCACCCCAAAAATCCCAAGTTTTGATGTGTTTTTTTCAGAAAATCATGTTCCCTAATTCAATGGGGCATTTGTGGGGAACTCCAGGTGATTTTCAGGCGCTGGTGGTTGAAAAAACCACCTGAAAAATGGGAATCTGTATCTGAACTGTGGGATTGATGAAGTTTGGGGTTGCAGGATGCTACACCTGTGATAGAGCAAACAAATTGGAGTGAAAGTCATAATTCGTTTTCCTCAGCAGCCTTGGCCTGACACTTTTTGACCCACAATGGCAGACATGCCGGAAAATTTGATGCTCCTCCAATGGAATGGATTTCTACGGAACCGAAAAAAACATGGAAATCGATGTGTTTGTTGTCCCATACACCAGTTGTTGTGCATTTCTTCAAGGCCGGTGACGACTTGTATCCAGCCATGGCTGGTGGTCTCACCGGTTGACCCCACTGGACCCCACTGGACTGGATGATATCAGACGATACGTCCCAATCACCATAAACTATCCATAAACTCATATAGTCACCAAAGTCACCAAGCATTCATCACTTCACAATCATTCCATTTCTCGCTCATGGACCAAGCGGATCAGCTACAGAACATGTTCTCCATAGATCTTCCATAGGTTTTCCTCATGGGATTTCTCCATCCCCCAGGCCCCATCCCCGGCCCTTGGCCCGCGGTGGCGTCGATGTTTTTTTTCACATCGGAGCTTTGAAGAGCTGTGGGTCCAAATCTTCTAGCCTTTTCAGCGCTGGGGATATCAGCTTGATAGGCTCGAACTTGGGAAGCTATGGGTAAATCCAAAAATCAATGGATTGGTTTAAGGGAAAATCTACGGGAGAGCATGGTTTTTACCATCAAATATAGGGGTTTCCTGTAAATTTTCCCATCATCCAATTCTATGGAAAAAAAACGACTAACTGGATCTATACAACTGGTAATTTAATGTCGCCATGAACAAAAACACGCCTTTTTCCATAGGTACATCATCATTTTTATCGATTTCTATGGGCCATCTATAGCATAGCAAACTGTTTTCTATGACCATAAATGGTTGCCATGGGAACCACCCCAAATCGCCAGCATGTTTTTTCAGGTGCAGGGAACTATCCAGCCAGAACCTTGAAATTCGGATGATTTCACGTTCCATTGCCAAAAGGGATTGTCTGAAAATAGGCTACCACAAAATTTCATGGTTCATCATTTTATACTGGTTGGTGGTGCAATGTGCCCATCTTGGAAAATATGAGTTCGTCAATGGGAAGGATGACATCCCATATATGAAATGGAAAATAAAAGCCATGTTTGAAACCACCAAGCAGTATATCATTTTCATCATGGTTGGACAAACCCCAAATACATCATTTCATGCCCCTAAATGCTTTGGTGATCTACTGTATCGCATCATATCCCCATAAACTTGTTAGCTGTTGATCCGATGTTTGATGCTTAAGACACCAACTGTGAATTTTTGGTTCTGTGATGTTATGTGTATATATACAGTATATATATATATACACCATCCTTATATCATCTTATCTCCCAATAAACATGTTGATCACTATCTTGCTTCTTGTGGGCTAAATCATCTTGTTTGATGGTTATAGTGGTTGATCATGGTTGTACATCCCATTCATTCATGACATCCCCCAAAGAAATCTTTAAAACTATCACCAGAAAACGGTTTTCAAATCACCAGTTTTACTGGCGATCAACCAGGCTCAACTGGTGCTCAAATGGTGATTTTTTTTACTGAGACAGGCCATGGGTTGTGAGGCAGTTCACTGGTCATGGGTTCCCAGTAACAAATGCACCAGCCACTGGAATTGCCCGTATTTTTTGGTAGTTAAAATCCAACTGCTGATGGTTGTATCCCAGTATATATATATATCCCTAAGGTATATGTATATATATATAACAGTATATGTAGAGACTATATGAGACTATCATATATCCCTTCAAATCTCTAAAATCCCTACTTGGTGGCTCATCCCAGTCAGCAAGTGGGTTATAACCGCAGTTACAACTGGACTAAACCTAACCTTATTTACCCTTCTTACAACTGGGATCACAAACCACTTACTGACTGAGAAGAGCCACCTAAACCAGATCAGTTCGGCTATTTGGGAATGATTTCCCAAATCCCAACTGTCATATATGGGGTTTGGTCAAATGGGGTACTATTATTCACCCAATAATCAAGTCCCTTCAAAATATCTACAGATATAGTTTTATGTAAATGTATCCCTTCAAATCTCTAAAATATGTATACTACCCACAGTTATTGGGGACTACTATTTATAACACATACAAGAGAAACCTATCAGCCAATATAATGAAGCGGGAAACCGATGTACTTTTAATGGCTCCAGTATACACACACACCCATATATATATATATGTGTATATATATATATATTTCAATCCTGCCATTAAAGCTCAGCTGCAGGTTTTTCTGCACATGCAGCCGTGCAAGTAATCTAGATTGGGTGCCACAGCCAAACGCTGGCTAATGTGACACAGAAACGGCTGACTAGCTTTGCAGTTCAGCCAGCCTACCTTGCCCACAGGCAGGCAAGCTTGCCCTCAGGCAGTGCTAAAAAACCCTGCCGCAGCAGATGAGCCAAGCACCCAGACACCCTCAGGGGGAGGGAGGGATCGGGAGCAGCAATGGCTAAGAGCAGTCCAGGATAGAAACCAACGTCCCCACAACACTCCGTGTTATTTGGACTGGGTTCATTCAATCCTGCCATTAAAGCTCAGCTGCAGGTTTTTCTGCACATGCAGCCGTGCAAGTAATCTAGATTGGGTGCCACAGCCAAACGCTGGCTAATGTGACACAGAAACGGCTGACTAGCTTTGCAGTTCAGCCAGCCTACCTTGCCCACAGGCAGGCAAGCTTGCCCTCAGGCAGTGCTAAAAAACCCTGCCGCAGCAGATGAGCCAAGCACCCAGACACCCAATCCCAATCGTGCCCAAACGATGCCCTTTGGCAACGCTACTTGAAAGGAGTCCAAACGGCGGCAGCCCGTTGAAGGTGGTGGGCAATGGGAGGGTGAATGCCTAATTTGACTAGGGTGGCTCGCGCATCATCGAGGTAGATTCTAGCAGTGCGAACATCCCGCCAGCGCCCCTGCAAGGTGACATAGTGCAGGTCTCTGGTGACGGTATAGAAGTGGGTCGCACCACCCCGCCTGATGCTATATAAAGAAAAATCAAATTGCTCCAGGGCAAAATGCCGCAGGAGTGAAATGAAACATTGTCGAAAAACCCGGGGCGAAGCACGCCAAATAGGACCCCTCACGGGGAGTAAAGGTTTGGCCGTGGAGAGAATACGGGCCAAACCCCTGTGCCGCAGCACCAGAGATTGTTGAAATTGTTTTGACGTTTTCGTCTTGTCCAGGGTGATAACTACCTGTGAGGTGTGTAGATCCACCACCAGATTTTCGACAGGCAACGTAAGGAATTCCATAGTTCGGAGGAAAAAGCAAAATCCGACCAAAAGCAAAACTCCCAGGTCATGATGACCTGCTTTCCATGCGGCCCCAGCCAAAGCCTTTGCAACCAGCCAGGGCATAGGAACTGCTCTCAGAGGAACATGGTCTCGCAACCAATTATTGTAGTACTGCTGAGCAGTGGGAAGGCGGAACCTCACTCGCGGAATGAACCGCTTTAAGCCACTAAGCAGCCAACCGGCTTGAGTGAGGCTGTCACCCTCCTGATACAAAACATTGATGTATTCGGAAACCAAAAAGTCTAGGTCAGACATTCCAGCGGGCAGCTCCTCCTCCTCAGAGGCAAGATACTCAAAGAAACGACGGATCTCTTTTCGGTAGGCTCTTGAAGTCTTTGGTGCTATCCCTTTGAATTTCAAATGCAATGTTCTACGCGGCATTCACTCAAACCGCCGCGAGGCGGCATCTGCATAGTTCCATTTGCTGAGCGTCCAAAGGGATATAAGCACCGACTTGCTGGCCAGATTGAGGGCCATGATCCGTCTAAGGGTTCGGTTGAGCCTTTTGCTGCCTGACCTTCCTTTTGTCACTGCAAAATAGGTCACGAGGGAGTCCACCACATTCAGGATGCGCTTGTTGATGTGATCTGTGTCACGAAGCCGGCGCCTGAACTCTGTCAAAACTGCTGTGAGCTCAAGCACATTAATGTGCTGATGTGTTGACCATTTGTAGCTCATCACCGTGCGCCACAACCAGCGGAACGCTGGATAGGGGTGGACAACCTCCTTGGAGATCTGCTCTTCAGGGACTGTGAGCCTGACATCTGTGCCCCGAAGCCCTACCTGGCGGAGGAGCCACTTCAAATGCTCATCCTCGTTGCCTTCTGTCATGTTTTCCAGGGTGTCGCAAACCGCGTCCACCACCTTGTTGACGTGGCCTTCATTCTGAAGCCCCTTGGTAGCACCTCGCACTTGGGTGTACACCAGGGACTCAAGGGTGTGTGGGTAGGAACCCACAGGTGCTGGCGTCACAGCCCGAAGGTGCTCTGCCAATGCGTGAGCATAGGTCACGCAAAAGCCCCATGGATACTCGGCCTCAACCGATGTGTCAAAATTGAGCTGCCCGTTCGAGTTCCACCTCACCTGATACCCTTTGAGGCCAACATGCCCTGGGCAGTCCGGCTTGTGCAGGGCCCTGTGCAAGTAGGGTGAGTTGTGCAGCAGATGTGTCCACTTCACCCTCTGGCCTCCAAAACAGCAGTGGCTGTAAACTGTCAGGAACCAATCACCTGTCAGGCGCAACTCCTCAATCTCATCTGTATCCCACACAAAACTGTTGTAGGGGTGTTCAAGCGAGGCCACACCACCTGCTTTGTGCCTGTTCTGCAACCCCTTTATGGAACGCTTCATGTAGGAGTTTCCTTGCCTCACAGCAATTGCGTCCCCTCGACTGAGCTCCTCGAAACCCCACGGTTCGTCTGAACTGCGCACTTGTCGGGGGCCTTGTATCCAGGTTCCATCTGGGAGTTGGATCCATCTTCCTCTCGCGCGCGAGAAAGTGCGACACTCCGGCCCCCAGTGTTCGGCCTTGAGTGCCTCATCTGCCTCTACAGCAGCGAGTCGTTCTTTCCCAGCCTCCGTCAAGAAGTCCCAAGCATCACCCGGTACCAGCTTATCGAGCGGTTTCTGGATCGCAATCCCCGCCAGCCCGCAGGCCTTTGTAAGTGGATACCGTGGCCCGCTGAAGCGTTCTCCAAACTTGGGAGCAAAGAAGTCGGATCGCACACAAGCTTCAGATGTGTGGTCCGAAACACAAAGGGCTGAGCAGAAGCGCTCACCGCATTTTCTGGGGCAGACGTAGATTCTGCGCATTGGATCCATCTCCCTGAAATCTGTGCCGCAGCACCCGCATTGCTCCTTCTTCTCCAACTCCTCCGGGACCACCAAACTCTTGTTCTTGAACTTTGTGGCAATGGCGGCTCCCCCGCCGGAGGGTGATGCATCGGTGCAGGAGATGATGGGCGAAACCTCCGACCTAAGCTCGCTCTGCGCTTGTGTGGCCAACCCCATGAAGCACAGGATCTCGTCGACCACTTCGCGGCTCAAGGCCTGGCCTCTTGTTCTGCACTTCTCCATCAGGACAAAGACCTCCTGAAGCACCGCAAAAAGAGGGCGTCTGAAAGCGGCCGTAAACGCTGCCTTCCCAATCCAGTGCCTGATCTGAAACTCCGACACCACGGGGGAAGTGACCAGCGCCAAGCTGATGGCAATGAAATTGTGCAGCTTATCCCTGCTTACCTTGATGATTCCCTGCTTTCCATCAAGTTCTCCACCTTGGATTCCGCCGCTCATTGCCTTGATCAGCTGCTTAGCACTGTTTCTGGCCAAGCCCAATTCGTCACAGGCAGCATTGAAGCGAGCATGAGTGTCAGTTGGCTCTGAACCGACCTTCTCAAGTTCCTCGCTGAGCCGCTTGACAATGCGGATCTCGTCCATGTTGTCCAGGTAGACCACCGTCAGGTGATTGCCCTCTGGGATGGGCAGACCTTTTTCCAGGGAGGTGGAGCGCGGGATTTTGGCAAGCCCAAACACCAGTTGCCGCACGGCGAACTGAACCAGCGTCACTGCGGACTTCCACCCCATTGGCACTACACAGAGTGCTGGTCTGACCTTGTCCAAGTCTGGGCGGCCAAAAGCTCGACCATGCACCTTACGGGCATAGGCGAAAAAGGGGCTCCAGCAGGGCGGCACCCTGAACAAGTTGAAGGCGCTCTGCAGGTTCTCCGACTCCAAATATAAATCCTCATCAGGGGCAAGGTGCAACGCAGTGAGTTGACCGACATAGGGCAGGGTGTCCTGTGCCCCCGGGAGTTCCATCATCATTTCATTCGTGGGAATAAGCACTGAGATAAATCTCTGGAGGGTCACTTCCTTTCCATTGATAACCTTGACCTTCGTGACACCTCCGGCCCCGTTGACCACCAGGTGCCCTGAACGATCTTTCGGGACATCTGCATCATCCACCATACAGAAGAGGCCCCTCTTGTACCCCTCTGTGCAGATCTTTTCCCATTCACTGTCAGTTGCCCTGACAATGGAACGCTTCGAGGTGAGGGGCTGCTTGTCCCAAGGCAACACCCACTGATGAGGGTCCATCATCGCCTCCTTCACCTCTCCTTCCAGTAGGTCTGTTATGCATCTGACCCCTGCTTCACCTGGCCGCGGCCATGTAGGGAAAACCTTCTCTGCCTTCAATTCTTGCATATATTCCACAGGGTTTCCCGCATAGTCATACTTTTTGCTCTGCAAGGAGGCCCTGGCTTCTCCCAGAGTTGGCACCTCATCTGCACTGATGATGTTGGAGTCAACCGTGCGAGCTACTTCAGCCACTGCCAGGGCCTGATTGGGTGACAACTTGCTGTCCATTGGAACGCAGATGGGCTTGGTCCAAGCTGTACAGTAGTTGTAATCGATGAGGGTGAACATCAACTGCGTCCACTCCAAGTTGGCATCCGTGACTCCATTTTCCCCCACTTTGATGCACGTTGGATGTACCGGTAGTAGATCCCCCTTTCTGGCGTATGGGACCTCGTCGGTCGGTGGCGGCTGCATGTGATGACAAAAACGCCTGGTGAAGTCGCCCAATGGCGTATCCAGCGTGCTAAGGCTGTGGAGGATCAGGGCCCCAAAATCCGCGAAGGTTTTCCTGCCTGACTTGAAAGCCTCTGACAATGACTTCTGCCAGTCAACCAGTGCCACAGGGCCGTCACGCGTGACTGTGATCCTGCTCCGCAGAGCTGACTCCAGAACTTCCTCCCCAGAGTCCACATCTGCAATCACGTCAACCTGATCATCGCCAAACATAGTAGGCTCAGCTATGCGACTGGCGTCTTCTCCTTGGTGTCCTGCTCGGGGCTCGTCCACTTGCCGCGTTTGCCCCCTTTCTTTCCTCGACCCTTTCCGACGCCTTCGCCTTTGCCTTTCCCCTCTGCTGTCCACGGGGTTCTTGGTCTTGACTGCAGCTGCATCTTGGCTTCCAGAGCTTGCTCGCGGGCTGCCATCCGCTGTTCGTCCTGCTCGGCTAAGCCTGCCCCCTCCGGAGCTATCAGCTCGAGGTACTGAGCCCGATGCCAGCCGTTGTCGTTCAGCTGGAGCTCCAATGCCTTGAGACGCTGACTCAGGATGTCCGCCGCGACGGCTCCTTGCCCTGCTGCTATGTTGTCCAGGGCGGCAGTCACCGTCCGAAGCTCTCGAAGGAGCCTTACTCCCAACTTCTCCTTGTAGGTTGGGATCATGACCGTCAGCAGGTAGCTTGTCGATGTTGAGGGAGTCATGTCTGGGTTCGAGGCGAAGTTGATGGCGGACCCGGCGTCCCTCGCGAGCAGCTGTCGCATCTTCGTCAACAGCCGGCTCGTCAAGCGACCTGGCCTCCTCTGGGAGTACTCTACCAGCCGCAGCTGGTGGCTCCTCCGGTCCGAGCCCGCCCTCTGAAAACCCTCTTCCCCGGACATTGAATCCGACTCCTCCTCCTGTTCACGGTCGAAGTCAATTGCGGCCCCACAGCCATAGGGACCACGGTCACGCTCCTTCTTTCTTCTCCTCTTGCGGCCACGGTCATGTGAATCACCAGAACTGCTCCTGGAACGCTTCCTGTCCTTCTGTCGCTTTCTGGACCGTGACCTCCTCGACGAAGAGGAATCTCTCCTGACGGGCTTCACCTTCTGCCCAAACCAAATCCTCTCTTTGGCGCCTGCTGTCTTGTCCTTCTTCTCCTTGCTCCTTGACACAGTCCTTGATCTGCGAGGCTTCTTTGCTGGGAGCTTGGCCTCCGTTCCCTTGCCTCTCCGCGGAGATCTTTGGCGTGCAACCCTCGTATCCTTTTTCCGGTCTTGGTTCACGTCCCTTCTGAGCCGATCAAGCTCATCTCTCACATCTTCATCGCGACCTCCAAGACCTTCGCGATCGGCAGCGCCACCCTCTGGCTCTGGGACCTCTAAATCAAAAACTTCACCATCGTCCACAGGGCTACCAGGGCGCACCCCCTTTTTGTTGGCATCAAGCAGGGTCTTTCTGAAACCCTCAAAGTCCTTCTTTGCAACTCCAGACTGCCACCAAGCGGCCCGACGATTTTGTATGTCAGAAATCTCCAACAGCCGACCACAATCAGTGTGGAATGAGAAGGGGTCCTTGGCATGAATGCCCTTGCAGCTCTTGACCTCCCCATTGCAGATGTGCAGGAAAAACTCCCTGCGTTGGGTGCTCCCCGGTCCTGTGTCCAGCCACCATTTGAGGTGCTCATCCTCGACCGCCACCAGGGTAGCTGTCAACCATTGGCCATGGGCCTTCTCACCTCGGGCTATGGTCTCCCAGATTGCCTTGCCTTGCGGCTGCAAGGAGCTGTCGTACATGTGACACTCCAGCAGCTCCTTGGAGGTCCAATCACGACCAGCTAGGAACCCTGGATTTTCAGCGCCGCTTATCCATGGCCCTGGCATCTACACCTGGGCCTCAGCCCGGCGCCTTCCCCTCGGGGAGACCCAAGCCCGCAGGCTCGATGAATTTGGGGCAGCCCAGCTGCCCTAAGATCAGCCCCTCAGGGCACTTCTGTCCCGCAGGACTCAAACAGCCGTGCTTTTGAGCAGCAATGGCTAAGAGCAGTCCAGGATAGAAACCAACGTCCCCACAACACTCCGTGTTATTTGGACTGGGTTCAATGTATATAATTATATATACTGCATACAATATACACATAGATATAGATACTGATATAGATAGAAATATAGATAGATCTTCATACATTCCCTCAAAAAATGAAAACCCATGTAAATCCATATTAAATCCATCTTAAATCCCTCTAAAATCCTGAAATCCCCATGAAATCCCCATGAAGTCCCTATAAAAACTCCCTATAAAAACTCCCTATAAAACTCCCATCAATCCGCAACGCAGGTACTGGGCCGTTTTCGCCAAGGCGTGTAGCTCTTGGCGCTTCAGGGCCGCTTCCTGAAGCAGAACGAGCCCGACGCTTCTGGTGATGGGATACCATACTACTTGGAGGATACCTATGTTAGTTATATCCATAGTAACCTAACATAGCTATTGAAAATGGTCGTTTATAGTGGATTTACCCATTGAAAATGGTAATTTCCATAGTTATGTTTGTTTACCAGAGGGTAACTATGATAAGTTTACCTATGTTGTTTTTCCATATATTGGGAATTGGGAATTTCATCATCCCAACTGACTTTCAGAGGGATGGTACATGTCTTAGTTATATCCATATAGTATTGTATCCGTAATATTATGATGAATGGTACAGTAAGATATGGATATAACTATAGCTATCATTAGTAGCAGGTTTGGTTATTTTCCATAGCTAGAATAGTTTACAAGAGAATAGCTATAGCTATCATTAGTAACAGGTTTGGTTATTTTCCATAGCTATATTACTTTACCAGAGAATAGCCTATGATGAATGGTAACTATGGTAACTATATGATTGCATAATGTTACATAACTGTATTGGCCATATCACATACTGTGGATAGAAGAAATCCTGCACCAGTTGGTAACCATTGAGTTACTATGAAACACTGTAAATTTCATAGGATTATAATGGGATTGCCCTCTGGTAAATTGAAAAAAAATGCTAGTGAAAATGGCGAAAATTACATAGTTGATTTACCTATTAAGGATTGTGATTGTCCAGTTCAGTTCGCTATCTTAGCTTACCAGAGGGTAGCATAGTACTTGGATATCATACAGTTACTAGTTGATGTTTTAAAGAAAGAAAACTACCATACTACCTATTATCATTCCAAAAAGTGAGGTTTTATGATACCCCCAAGTTAGGATAGAAAAGTGATTTATCACCATTTCGGAATCGGAATTTACCAATTTCTAAGTGGGATAATCCTCCAAGTATTGTTATTGTTATGTTTCATTAATAGGGAACATAGTAGTTGGGGAGAATATAGTTGCCATATTGTTTGTCATCAGTGTTGCTACTATTACTACCTATTGCTATTATACTTGTAATGTGGATATCCCCGCGATATCTAGTGCGTCCCAATATAATCACATATGATACAGTATCATACACAAACACAAAATTGGAATAGTTGAGCCATAGCTATGTACTGACCAAACATACGGATTTAACCACCAAAAACAGGCATATATGGCACATATATGCATGTTCATAATACCAATGATTTTGTAGTAGCAATTATTATGATAGCAATAACACAATTAAATAATAATACATAATAATACTATGATTAGTCGTGCTATTAATTAGAAGGAAAATAACAGTACTTATATATTCATGTTGGAAGTTATAATTGGAAATCATAATGAAATAGGAATGAACCTCCAAAGTTCGTTGTTCAAGTAATCATCCCAGCCCCCCAGTAAGGCCATAGTCTGGGACCGGGTTTCCCGAGTGGGTTCGCTACACTCAACCAGGATGGAGCAAGATGTTTCTGGTGGTTTCTATGGTTTTGATGGTTACTCTTCAACCAAGGAATCCTGTGAAATTATATACATAGACCTTAAAGTGGAGATTTCATAGGAGTATAACCAACAGAAATGGCAAAAAAGAATCACCCTTTTTCCATATGGTAATGTCAGATGATCTCTTCAGCATTCTTCAGCAACCCACAACCAACAGACTATTTTATTTCCCTCTGGTTATGACTAACATAGCCATGGAAAAATACCATTTTTAATAGGTAAACCATCTATAAATGGGCAATGTTCCGTGGCTATGTTAAATAACCAGATGGTTATTGGTGATAACTTCAATCAGAATGTCCATCATAAACGCAAACCCCCTGTAGGCCGCCATAGTGCTCCAAAGATATTCATATGTCTGAATATTTGTGCGGGACAATTGGGATGGCCCCAAAAAATTGAAGTTTTAACTCCAATTTTCCCAGTACCGTCCACTATCACAGAAACAAAAAAAGAATCAGCAAATCATGTAATGTAAAATCTTCCACAGAAACCCAAAAAAGATCAGCAAGTCCTTTTTCAGAGAATTCAGTTGGAAACTTCGGAAAATGGAGGATACACCACTCACAAGTGGTCGTCATCTGCACACCTGGGAGAACTCGTAGAGCGAGACCAAGTTCTGCAAGAGACAGGGCTTCAGAAAGCGCAGGGCGTCTTGCTTCACAAGCGCCTTGCCATGGCGAAATGGGAAGGAAGTTCCAGTTAGATTTGGGCCATGGGTTGTGAACTGGCGATGCTGGTGTGGAATTGGGTAGTTGATGGTAGTTGTATAATCCAGTTACTAACCAACCAACTAATCCCATGGCCCATCTAAGCATGGTTTTGAAGTTCTTTCAATGAATCGGGGTAAGTTATGATATGTTACTGACCTGAAAGTTTCGGCCATTTGGGGATGATTTCCCTTATTACAGTAACCATTATTCCCAGGGCTCGGTCGCAGTGAGTTCGTTATAATTTACCCAGATAAATTGCAAAATGGTTTGAGTTCACCAACACGAGGACATCACTGGCAGGTACTCATATAATTTGGCATTGTTATCTAAAAATGATATCAAAATGCCTGGAATCCCATAAAGAAATAGTGGTCTCAGTGCGATCAACTAGCTACAAGTGTAGAATTCTAGCCCAAAAAATTTAACAACTTGTGACTAGTGCCCAAAAAATGCAAACTCGGCAAGCCGCGCATTCCAACCATTTGTAGGCAAAAACCATTCGGGAATTTCCAGAATCCCAAGAGATGGAAGAGATGGTGAGATCAAGTTGTCTTGGTTGCCTTTCCGAAGATAGCAATGTTCGAGTTAAAATCGCTATAGGCTATTCATTTGCGGGAAAAAAACTGCTGAATTTTTAGAATGTCCGTCTTCAATACGCATTCTACTGTTAAGCCCGGGGTTTAGGTTTCAGGGACGTTTAGGGTTTCAAAAAACCGAGAAAGAAAAAAAATAGGGTTTTAATTTGAAATTTTGTTAATTGCATATGGGCAAATGAGAAATTTATCGATCTAAAGGTTATGGTCATGGAGTTATGGTTCGCTATTCCGGGCTTTGAAAAATGCAACGTCTATGATATCAGCACCCAGATGCAAAGGCCCGGGGAGAACCCAATGCATGTTGCCTACAAGTAGTGACCTGTACGTGCACCATGTGGCAAACCCTGCCCATGTATGAAACACAATACTCGGAAGTTGCACTAGAAGACGACAATTTCGCATCGCCCAACTCACTATAAAAACCCATCAACCAAGGGTTTTTACCCATTCGATCACCATGAAAATCCCTGTCAAATCCCATCTTAAATCACTATAGAAAACCGTGACATACCATGACATTCCTTTCAAAACCCATGAGATTCCTATAAAATCCCCATGGAAATCCGAAAAAATTGGTGATTCGTGACCCATCATAAAAACCGCCTCGAGCCGCCGGCAAGCTCCCGGCAGGTCCTGGTGGCGTCACCGACACGATGCGTTCAATCAAGAAAACAGTCATAGTTCATAGATGTTCATAGTAGTTAATAGTCAATAGTAGTAACTATAATAGTTAAGAGTTCTATAAGTTCTATATACTAGATTATACTAGTAGTTAATAGTGTTGCGATAATACAAGACATTAGAACACATGTGAATACATGTGAATACTATGATTTGCAAGATGCTGCAACTATTAGGATAATACTATTCTTAGTTTAAATAACTCAAGTATTGAAAAACAAATAGCTACTATGTAGCTGCTTACAAAATTAAGAGTTTGTATTTACTATCATAATGCATACATTGATTACAGTACTGGTTGGCAAAAATTGTACTTCGAGTAAGAACATGACTTTCAATCAGGATGCTTAGCCAATAAAAAAAGCATTGTGTCACCAATGAAACTCTGCCGCAAGGAAGCAATGTGTTTATGTTCTTAGGAAAAAAACTCTTCAAATTTCAACCAACAGTTGGGGGTTTCCATAAATTGAGGTACCCCCAGTTCTCATCCATGGATGGATTTTCCATGAAACCATCCTGCTATTGGGGTACCCATGTTTTAGGCACCCCCTAGTTGTTCTTTCGGTCCATCTTCACGGATGAAAACTTCATAAAACACCAGACGACAACCAAAGAGTTGCATGTTTTAAGAGTAAACTACCGTTTTTCAACTACCGTGTCAACCTAAATCGTCAAACACAGTTTACGAGCTTCATGTTACTGTGGATGGAAGAAACCCATCCAAAATAATGGGATAAACTTCTATCAACTGGTGCATGATTTCTTCCAATCCACCGTAGTATTGTGGTAAACCCAGAATCCCAAGTTTGAAGAAACCTACTGTCCTGCTTTGCACTTCCTGAGACTGTGAACCCTCACGTTTTGCTGAAGTTTGGCGCCCCTGATGAAAAATGGTCCGTCAGAATTTTCCCTATAAAACGTCCAGAAATCGCGGTACATCCCCAAGTTACGGACTTTTTGTTTACCCAAACAAGATTGTTGGTGTTATCTGGTGTTATACCATGTTATACCCATTCTCTGCCACAACTCGACAAACCCCCACACTATGGCTGGTTGGTTGATGTTGGTTGTATACCATTTCTGTTTCGGATGCATACCCTCAGGTCCTTGGTATAGAACTTGCAGACGGCCAGGTTATTTTCAGCCGCCAAGGCCTAGAACGTGATCGGATGCCGTGTTGAAAAACCACTGCTGCTTTGGTGGTTCACCGAAAGTTCACCCCAAGACGTAGGAAGAAATTTAGAAGCGCGGTTGTAAATGGGCAAACCCTTCTACTTGCAAATATTATATATTGCACATGATTATGATTTATTCTAATTTAACCGCATTTTTGCTGGCGAACATTCCCGTGATTACTGCCGGCGACTCCTCAAACAATGCTAAACTGCACCTGGTATGGGATCCCAGACCCTCGAAGTGGATCAAGTTTCCACCAGTCCAAACTACCGTGGAATCATCGAAGCACATCCACCATTGTTCCCGGCCACGCTCCACTCGAACCAAGAAAGATCTTCACGAGAAATTTGACCAGCGGCTGACGGAAACCTTGCCCCATTCTCAGCATTGATTGCACTAGTGAGTTGCAAATGGTATTCAACACCAAATGGTGGATCTACTGAATGACCTTGTTCAGTCTGGTTCACGATCTGTTGCGTCATCAAAATCTGCCTACGGCATGTTCCGGCATGTTCCGGCAGCACTCGATATGCAAAGTGGTGGTGTTGGCAACAACCCATGACGTGCCAAAACCGAAAGAAAACAGTGTTTTGGCTCAAGAAATCCCACATGTTGGCTGCGATCTATGGGGAAATGTGAAATCACATGACATGTGGAAAATGAATCAAATCAAGTCACACTGATAAGAACATCAACTTCACATCACATGAATTTCAAAGTTAAAAGTTGATCGGCCAGCATCTGTCCTACAATATCCTACAATCTTTTATCTGTGATAAGGAGTTATCATTCCGGTTCCCTCCATGAGTACCTACAATGTTTAGTGACTAAACTTACTGTAAAACCACTTAAAACCAATATGTTCACATCATCATGTATCAGTTATATCTCCATTATTTCTGAATTTTAATGCTTAAAACCCCCGTTTCCGTTTCGTTGTTCAACTGACACCTTAGATCCACCAGTCAATCGTCGGCCTCCTCTGGGTCGGACGCCGCAGTGGCGGATTCAAAGAAGCCCCTCGCCGAAAACGGGTGAAACTTCGGAGGTCGGAAATAAGTATCATATGATTATCATACTGTGGATGGGGCCCCCGTTCGATAGCGTTCAGTTGGTTTATAACTCCAATAACTATGGTTTATGGTACTTATAACTATAGTTACTGGGGCCTCACATTGTATGATTATCATACTGTGTATGGAAGAAATCCGAATCACCAGTTGATAGGTGGTAAACATCCCATTATTTTGGATGGGGTTCAACCATCCAAGGTGGTGCAGGATTTTGCAACCATCCACAGTATGTTGAAAATTGATGAAAATATAGGAGTGTGATTGAAAATAAGTACATGTGTTTATATACATGATATAAATAAGTCAGTTGAGAGATGAGATGACAAGCAAAATATGTTGGATGCCCGAAAAGTCCAAAAACATCCAAAAACTCTGTGATAATCAAACCATCAAACCTCCCAAAAGCCAGTGATTTCCCACTTTTCAGCCACTGATTTCGGGGTTTCCCGCGCCTGGCATGGGCGTAATCGCCCTGGGCCATAGCCAACAAGCCTTCATTGAGGAACAAGCTGGCTTCCTGACGTCATGGAACGAATGAAACTGCAACAGAAAGAGTCCCCCCCAAAAAAAAATATGTCACATTATGATATGGAAATATCATATTGGATTTATATATATATATATGATATATATATATATATTGGAATTCTATGAAATATAGTTCTATATAGTTGACATAACTAACATAAAACTCAAATGAAATATATATTGAGATGTGATTCATGGAGTTTTCACATGTTCCGCCCAACCCGGACGCTTCGAACATGGCAAAATTGTTGTGCTTTGTCATACAAACAATATTTTCACAATATGTTTGAATGGGGAAAAACACATCAACGACTGTCTTCATTAGGAATCAAATCTGCCAACCCCTCTGAACAATATGTTGAATCAGGTAAGTCCCATCGTTTCTCATCTTCATGGGTGGGGAATCAACCTGGCTGCCACCCCCTCTTCATAAGGGATGGATATCCATTTCAAAGAAAATCTACCGTTTTTGCAAGGTGTTCACACATCTTCAAAATCCGAGATGGACATGTACAAAAGAGAAAAAACATATATCTTATGACATCTACATATCTATATCTATATAAATATACATGTACATATACATATATGATAAACATTGACCAAGTATACATATACATTTCGAAAGTCCACCAACATAGCTGTTCAAAAATAGGCGACCCTTCCACAATTCCGTGGCGGGCAAACGTCAGGATTGCAGCGAAGATGTTTTAACCAACACAAATGAGGGGGTTCATAATTGATTGATACTTAATATACTAGCTACGTTGGTCTTAATCCCATGTAACTTTCGATATATCCGCCACAAATCCTATATAGTTGGCCTAGTTATAAATCGACTTACATACTGTTACATACCTTAATTTCAAAACAAGATCACTGGCATCACCGGCATCACCGGCATCACTGGCATCACTGGCATCACTGATTGGAAAGCATCAAAATACAAACCAATCAACGATCAACTCACATGGGTTTGTGGCATTGTGGTGAATGTCATGGGTGCAATAAGCCATGGCATCATGAATCAGTGGCTACGGGAAACATACCATCTGTGTATGGAAATGTATCTGATCATTTGCGGATGTATAGCTGCTAATGTTTCTGAAGGTGATGGAATGCTTCATTTTAATTATCTGTTTTACTGGTGGCTTGCTCAGTGGATTTTGGGGTTCCAGATTTTCAGATAGACAATCCCGGAGGTGCAGACCCAGAAATCGATGCTCATCTCGGTCTCGGTGACCCCGGCGAGGTAAGTGCAGCGCCACAAAGGAGTGAGGAAGGCTGGCATGGCCAGCACTTCAAGAGCATCTGGTGGAACTTGAGGATTTAGCTGAAGAACAGGTCTGGTTGGTGGTTTTAACCATCTCGAAAAATATTAGTCAATGGTTAAGGATGACATCCCATATATGAAATGGAAAATAAAATTCATGTTCCAAACCACCAACCAGAGGTACTTTTTACACTCCGGAGGAACTGCACTCCGCACAGCATCGATTGTCATGTCAGCCCATGGGAAGCTTTTTCCAGCCGTTGACCGATTTTCAACGAATGCTGGACCTCGGGAGGGCCGAACTATTGGAACATGGGCAGCGGGTAAGGCGGAAGCATGAGATGATGAGGAAAAAAATCTCTAACAAAATTACCCTCTGGTAATTTAACATAGCTATGGAAAATCACCATTTTTAATGGGTAAAATCAACTATTTCTATGACCATTTTCAATAGCTATGTTAAATTACCAGAGGGTATGTCTGATGAAGTTTACAGATGAAAAAAGGAAAAAGGACATCTGGATGAAATTTTCAGCAAATTGAAATGATAGGAAAGAACCCAATCTGAAACCTTACAAAATTATGTTCAAGGGGTTACACATGAAGAAGCACGTGCGCATGTTGTTGGTTCTGCAGGGTCACAAGATTTATAGTAACAACTCCTACCTGGTTGATGAACCATCTGTATGTCCGAAAAGAGGCGAGAATGGTACCCTCTGTTTATTCAACCCCTATGGAAAATGGCCCATTTATATGATTTATGATGATCTACCTGTTTAAAAATGGTGACTTTCCATGGCTTTTGACCACCAGGGGCACCAGCTGCAGAAGCATCTGCCCAGGTGCTATCTAGGGCCCAGCTGTGGCTGGAACTAAGAACCAGGCCCTGTGGCAGAAAACCCGATTTTAAAACAAACATCTTTCACTAGCCAAGTGTCGATCTGGGTTTAACAGTTCTTCTTGTTTCTTGTTTTTTTTCAAGTTGGATATATTATGATATATTGTTATCATGGGCCTTGAGATAGTAGATATATCTGCTACAGGCTCACGGAATCTCTTAATATACCTAGTTTGGCTTTGATAAGTTTCATAGCGCCTAAAGGCCTAAAAAAAAAAACGGCCACCACACCAAGTCAATGGATTGGTTTAGGGGAAAATTTACAGGAAAACCCAATATTCAATGGTAAAAACCATGGTTTCCTGTAATTGTTCCCTTAAACCAATCCAATGACCAAGGCCAACAAGGCCATCAAACTCCGGTCCTGGGCCGGTCCCAAACTCCGCGCGGTCTCGAAGGCGTCTTTGGCAGCAGTGAGATTGCCCCAGCTCAAGTGGTGTCGACCTCACGCGGAGATTTCCGCATGGCGAACCACGTCCGTTGGTTTTAATAATTGAATTGTGATAATATGAACAAGTTGATAATAATCCAATAATAATAAACAAGTGATAATAACTATAACTATTGATTGAATAATATAAATATCATGAATAATATGATAAGCCAATAAGCTCCGAATCTGGAAAACAAGGACTTCTTGACATGATATCTTGTAAATTCTGTCTCATCAATTAGTATCTACAGCATCAAATCTTCAATTCTTACAAATTCTACACAGATCTATGACAAAAGAACACATTCCCCTGGCACCATGGTATACCATGGTATACCTGTCTGAAATAAGGCATCACTGTCAACTTGTGGCCACAACATTTCACCTTTTTTGAGAACCAGTCCCCCAGTCCGGGAACAGGAGAACATGTCACACCTACTGTCAGGATCCCTAGGATCAGTGGTTCATAATCCAGGTGATCCTAAATCCCCGATTCGTGGATTCTCCCATTTACCCTCTGGTTATGACTAACAGTTTGCCATGGAAAGATCCACCATTTTTAATAGGTAAACCCAGGTAAACCATCTATAAATGGGCCATCTATACCATGGCTATGTTAAATAACCAGAGGGTATAAATGGCTAAACTAAGCCCAGTTACATCCAGTTAACCACTTCAGGGACCGCAGTTCCCGTTCCGGCCTAGCAAGGACCACAGCTGGCGCTTTGCCCCGTCACCTCATACATGTCCAGAACTTTCGAGGTGACCTTGTTTATCCAGGAAACATGGTGGATTCCACATGCAAACATGGGGGCTTCTTAAGTCATGGAGGATCCCCAAGTCGCCATATCAAGGAAAACTTCAGGATCCTAAAGTCTAGGTTCCGTGGCATATATTCACTTTTTGTCGGCTACATAAGCCGTACATATGCCTTACATAAGAAGTTAAGTAAGGCCTATGTAAGGCCTATGGCATAGGTTTCAATACAAAGTCATGGTCCAATGTTGGATGATTTGGGCTAGCCCTATTTTTAGGAAACCACCATGCGGGGTATCTATATGCGGGGTTTCTGGGTTTCTTAAGCCATGGGGTTCCCCAAGGTAAGTCACCATGGAAGATATGGGTCAAAAGCTGCACCATAATTGGGGCAGCGTCCATTAGCGATTTTGATGTTTACCAATGTACTGGGGTTGTGATCAAAACCATTAGTGATATATCCCCAATTACTTATCATACCCAATTTGTGATCCATTAGCGATTTTGATAACCCAACCATCAAAATCCAACCATAAATATGTTATAACCCGTGGGTTTTGATCATAATCCAAATTGCCAAGGCGGTTTTGATTATGATCCATGGATTACTTCAGGGCTTTCCCCATCCAGCGCACCCGGCCGCCCTGGAAGCCATTCCCGGGCCGCCTCCATCCAGCGCCCTTTGGAGAGCTGCCAGGCCCACATGTCCATGGCCTACCTGGAGACTCAGCTGAGAGAAGACCTGCGAGAACATGGAGATGGGACGAGTCAGAAATCTTCATAAATGTTGGACATTTACATGTAAATCTTGGAAATTTGTATGTATATATATATATACATATAAATATATATATATACGTATATATACATATTACATACATGGGTTATAATAGGGGGAAGGGATTTGATGGAGATTTTGATGGCTTATGAACAATCCCATCCCCCTATAATAGCTGTCCCAAATTATGCATAAATCCCCCGCTAAACCATGAGGATTTCAGCAGATTTACCCAGCAAGAAATCTGTGGATTGTGTGGAAAAACATGGCCAACCAACCAGCGGAATATCTGGATTTCGCCTGCAAAATCTGTGCTTCAACTTAAACCATGGAGATTGAAGCAACGTGTGGATTTAAGATCTTGAAGCAACGATTTCGCACGGATGTCGCCGACGATGGATGGACTAACTGCCCGAAGACCGAAGAGTCCTTTGATCGAAAGTGTTTGATGAAAGATATCGAATTTATAAATCAACTGAATATGGCTGTTTTGTTGGTTGATGCCAGTTGATGCATTTTATTTTGCAAATAGCCTAGGAGTGGGTATCATCAACTATGAGGTGAATATCCTTTGCAACATCCTGTTACGTCCATCCAGACTATGGATGATGGTGGACATATTGTGGATGGAGGAAATCCTGCACCAGTTGGTAGATGGTTTATCCCATTGTAATCCCATTATTTACAGTGTTTTATAGTATTTTATAGTTTCCAATAGTTACCAACTGGTGCAGGATTTCGCAACCATCCACAGTATGGGGAACTGCCCCAGTCGTCAACCTATGTCGACCTCAGATGATAAGTCAGCTGAAGCTCGGTCGACCTCTTGATGGATTTCGCTGCTGGTATGACAATCAATTTCGCTGGTGGAAGTTTACCAACCAAAAACGATGTTGGATATTGGATAATTCCATATATGAAATTGGATATAATATTGGATATTGGATATAATTCTATTAGGGAAAAATAGTCTGGTTGGTGATGCAATAACCATCTTGAAAAATGATGGAGTTCGTCGATGGGAAGGATGACATCCCATATATGAAATGGAAAATAAAATCCATGTTCGAAACCACCAACCAGAAATATTTTAGAACTCCTGAAAATTCAAGTGGATCAAGAATTCCCTAAGCCCCGAATAGGACATAAATTTACCGGAACGAATCTCTTAGTTGGATCTTGATAGGATCTGGTTGGGTTCCACATCTATTTCTTGGCGACGATTTGGCGATGGGAGGTTTTCATCTATACATGGGAGAACTATATCTAAGTAATTACCCTCTGGTTATTCAACATAGCCATGGAAAATGGCCCATTTATAGATGATTTCCCATTAAAACCTCCATTTATGAGGGATTTTCCATGGCTATGTTAAATAACCAGATGGTAGATATTCTGGCTGGCTGATGATAATTCACTCACCTGTAAATAGCTGAAGTGATGGGCCAGCTATGGGGATGATTCCCCGCAATCTAATCATACCAGTGACGTCACAGTGAGGTCACTACAGTTTATCCTGATAGAATGGTATACCTTGTTGCTCCATGTATATACTGTACGTATTTACTTCTTACAATATGGTACAAAAATAAAACCGTCTGGGAACTTAGCTATGGAAAACTGGGTGAAATCCAAATGAAGCTAGGTGATATCACCGAGATTCTGCTAGGTGAAGCAATGGAATTTGGGGATTGAAACATAGCCATGGAAAGATCCACCATTTTTAAGGACGGTAAACCAACTATAAATGGGCCATTTTCCATGGCTATGATAAATAACCATAGGGTAAAGCAAAATACCACCCGGACTACAGAACGATATGATCTTTCCAGACGGTACACTACGTATTACCTACCCGATATAAGTAGGGCTTACTTCACTCCTCCGAGCTAGATTTATATACCGACCAAATGTATAACCAAGAACAAGGCCAATCACTGTAGCTAACATTATTAATTACTGGATATTGCGGGTAGCTTGCCGTTGCATTTGATAGGTTTTCCTACCAAGAAAAAGGTGATCGATATAAAGCATAATAGCTATATACATTTATTTATATTTATCTAATATTTATTTAACTACCACTTGTTTTGAGGAAATAGCCTTCAATTGTGGGTAACTCTTGATACCTCAAAACCATTGAAAACCGTTGAGTTGTGACATGGTTCCACCCATTTCCACAAATGGTGTCATATGTAGATGGGTACCACTAGGTTTCAAGGACGCAAAACCGATGACCGAAAAAAACCCAAAGTTTGAAACGCTTCAACGTGTGCAGAGGTGAGGATCACCAATTGAGGTGGTAAAACTAAGATGATGATCGCATTACATACATGGGTGTGTCTGAAAATGATGTAATATCACCCATAAAAAATGTAATAGGGAGAATAGGGATTAACCAATGCATTCAGGGGTACGATATTTTCAGACAAACCCACATCATGGTTCTTGAGTACGTCACCATAGACTCTACGCCTGCAGCAGTTTCAATCGAAGATCCATGCTCTCTGGACCTGTGCGGGTGAGGATTGATGACTGCGAATCACTTCTCTCTTTACAGTAGACATACTGTGGATGGAAGAAATCCTGCACCAGTTGATAGGTGGTTTATCCCATTATTTATTGGGTTTCAACCATCCAAGGTGGTGCAGGATTTCTTCCATCCACAGTACCTCTCAAAAAGCATTTGTGGAATGTGTCCACTCTGTTCATTGATGTGTCCGTTAAAAGGTTGTAGGCGGGATGGGATTCTGAATGGGCGACCCAACGAGAAAACGATGAGAAATGCCGAGCCAAAGCAGAGTACTTAAGAGGTTATCTGAGTTGCCAGTGGATTGCCCATTTGAGATGACTGACTCTCGTCGCCCGCACTCATCTTCCACTATTATGGCTGAGAATCTTCGAAATTTGAAGCCCGACATCTTCGAACAAGTTCCGATTTGTGGAGTTTCATCTACCCATCTGGTTTTTATATACATCAAAGTTGGTGGCAAATGGATGCTCAATTCCGAAACAACATACGCACCATCCATTTCCCATCTATTTTGGTTTTCACCATCCATTTACCAGCAGGGATTCCGAAAAAAAAAAAACATCCATAATTACAATCCCAATAGATGGTTATTCACCATTTCCCATGTATAACCAATGTATAACCATCCATTTCCCATCTATTTTGGTTTTTAGGGATTCACCATCCAAAGCCACTTTGTGTACCCTCTGGTAAACGTTTACATAACTATGGAAAATCACAATTTTTAATGGGAAAACTCACTATTTCAATGGCCATGTTCAATAGCTATTTGACATCACCAGAGGGTATACCCATATTACTATTATTAAAATTATAGCAACTATAGGGGTTATATGGATATAACTTATATAACTATAGAAATATAGCCATTTTCAATAGCTTTGTGTAGATTCTTTTCTAGGTTTCGCCCCTCTTTTCACCGGTGATTCTTGGTGGTGCAGATTCGCCCAAAACACGGCTAAAGAGGCCTGCTATGGCTATGACATGGGAATCCACCCTGATAGGTTAAACGTGGCAATTGAGAAATGGTTACCCTCTGGTGAACTAACATAACTATGGAAAACCACCATTTACAGTGGATTTTCCCATGAAAAACGGTGATTTTCCATAGTTATGTTAGTTTACCAGAGGGTATATTGAGAAATGAGAAATGCTTATAATATCTTATAATTCTCAAAAGCGATCATATATTGATCAATGGCCTGATATGGCAATAACTGAAATCGGTGAAATATGGCCAAAAATACTCATCAAAATGGTGATATCACTAAAAAAAAATCGGTGATATTGATTGAAAAATGGTTGTATCAAAAGCGCTTACTATAGCATCATGACATGTCAATGGGAATTCCAGGATCCTAGAATGGAGGTAATGTACCATATAAGGCCATATTTTGGGGGTATATCCCCTTAAATAGCCCTAAAAAATAGGCCTTATACAATCTTATACATGGTAGGTACCTCCATTTTAGCATCCTGTTGCATGGCATTTTTCACATGGGACTCCACCCTGACCTCCATCAGCTATCGGATCTATCGCTGGTGGTCAGATTTCGCTCGCCTTTCTTCCGCCACGCTTCCGACAACTCCTGGCCACTGGGCAAAATCATTGGAGAATGAAGCCACTACCCCCTGTCCCCATTCATCTTACAAACGGGATATAATATCTTTATATATATATATATATACACACCATATAACATAAACTATGTAGTTATATAATATATGTTGTATAATATGGTATGTGTCCTATAATATGTTCCTATATACATATATACAATATAGCATACCTATAACTATGGTTACTCACCAGTCACAGTACGAGGATCCGACTCATCCGAAAGGCAGAAGAAACTCAGCTTGATGAGAACGTTGGATGATTTGAATATTGAATAACTGGTTGCTGGTATACCTACCCCTCTAAAAGATATATAATTAAGTCAGTTGGGGTCCTTATTCCCAATATATGGAAAAATAAAAAATGTTCCAAACCACCAACCAGAACCAGAAGATTGAATATTGAATAATATGGAACATTATTGATTTAGGGAATAAGCTTGCGAACTTGGATCACGTTCTCTTCCAAGTCATGGAACGCAAACTAATATGGAACACAAACTAATATGGAACACAAACTTGGAGGATTTGGAAGGTTGCGAACATCTGAGAATCATTACCAATTGCAGTTCTATTGGTGCCAGATTTTGCTTCGCGGCCATGGAAATGTCGGGAATCCCCATACGTATGCAATGCGAATGATGCACATCGGGATCATCCTATTGGTCAACGATGAATACGTTGTTTGAATCACAATTCTTTGCACTTGCGATCATGAAAAATTGTTGATATGTATTCCTAAAATTGCAGTGGACAACCATCTTTTCAGGATCATATGGGTTTGTCTGAAAATAGGCTATATTCCCAATGAAATAGCCATTTAATAGGGATAATGATCAGCAAAACCATTGGGTTTAGGGGTACCCTATTTTCAGACACACCCATATGTTCTTTGGGTCGTTCAATCACCATCTTCCATTGCTTCCACCAGGTCCAATCTCAGATTTTCTCCACGTTCGTCGCATAAAACTGGCCATATGCCTTGGATGCCTTGTTTTTTTTTCAGGTGCCGAAAGAAACATGGGGCGCCGGCTCATGGTCGCAAAACGAAATGTCATGTAATATCATATATAATTATACACACATGTGTATGTAGATTTATATATATGCATGTGTGTGTAGTTATATGTATATTTCATAATTATAGTTCCATAATATTCTATAAGTCTATAATTATCCAAAATAACCGTGACATGTCTACCGCTTTGAAGGATATCTAGGCTTGTTTATCTTGCCATTTAGTACAAATATACCGGCCATAAACCCAACACTTGAGTTCTATTGCCAGTTCCACTGGTTCAGTCCCGATTTGTTCTTTGAATGACAATTTTTGTTCCTCAAATCCCAGATATGTTGGTTATGGTGTCCAATTTAGCTATCCGAAATCACACATCAATCATCATGTTTTTTCTTGTTGAGTCCCTTTTTTGTGTTGGTCAAATCCCGTGTTTGTTAAATGATAAAACAACAATGATATATCCCGATTTGTGAGTCCCAATTTATCAATTTTCTGAGTCTTGATGAAATCAACATCTTCAATGTGTAACCCCCAATGTTTGTTGGTTAAATAAAAAAACAAGTTCCTTGATTGAATCACCATTGTTGATTTAAAAAAAAAAAAATCCTTCTTGGTTAAATCCCTTGATGGTGCCCGGATTGATCCTTCCAAGTTTAAAGTGGTGCAAAATCCCAAGATGTGTTGGAAAAATCCCATATGTTGATTGTTGAATCACATGGTTTTGTGGATAAAATACATGTTGTGTATTCATTTCTTTGTTAGATCAAGAGTTGTCATGCTTAAATCCCAAGATATCCCAAGTTTTCAGAGCTAAACTCTGTGAGACCAGCCCAATTTTTCCATGAATTGTTCATGGTTAACCCGTCAAAGCCGCCAGAATTCATAGCTCCTGCAGCTTCCGCAGCGCCCCGAAGCCGTCTGCCCGGAGCAAATATGGCGCCTGTGCCAGGAAGAGCTGCGCCTGCGACAAGGGGATAGATAGAGTTAATGGGGTTTAGGATATACTGATATACTGATATACTTAATGGATGATGGAGTTTATAAACCAACTGGCAAAATGACTAGAGCTCATGTTTTTTTCATGATTCACCGGAATTCACCTTACTTAGTGATTCATCACCAACTAGTAATGGAGTTCTAAGTTAGATTCATCACTAGGTTCAGTTAATGGGGTTTGGAAACCAATTTATAACTGTGGGGTCCCACATTGTGGAGGTTGAAACAGCATGAGAAAGCTGGGAAATTTATCGAATTAGCCATGAGGGTATCATAGGGTATCTAGCTAGTGAATTCTCCTAGTTAACCTTTACTGATATCCAGAGTCTATAGGTTGACTAAGGTATCAAAACCAATGGAATTCCATCAAACTCTGGATGAGTCTATAGATATATGTATATTATATATTATATTATAGTCTATGGTTTGCTGGCAAATCAACAAAAGTTCGTCAATATGTTAGTTCCTAGAACCCCAATATTAACAATGAACCCATGGATTTTGACACCGTTCACTTTGTAAATGGCAGTCATAGTTCTATGCGGGATAAGCCATTTAGAGGACATACCATCAACAGGCTTATTAACCAGCTACTAAGTTGGATGATCCTCCAAGTAGCAAACCAAAATGGGGGTTGGCTTGGGGGGGTCATATGGATATTCCATGGAGATATGTCATGGGGATATTGCCAACAAGATGGGAATATCATTGGCATTTGCAGGGTTTGTAGATTTTAGGGTTACCTAATTCTCTGATTGGTGCATTTAAGAAAACAAAAAAAAAGTATCATATGGGTATATCTCAACCATTGAGTCTGCAAGGTGGTGCCCCAGTTTGTTGGCCAAAGGGTTTATCAAAAAAAACATGGTCATGGCGGTTATCGCGGTTTATTTATCAACCAACAAACAGAACTGGGGGGCACCACATTGTAGTCTTCATCAGAGTAATTCCCAAAAAATGGTAGAAAAAACAAATCCTCTTGGAATAGTGGTAAATCAGGTGTGTATCTTTTGAAAGGGCTGCTATATCATACATATTTTGTTCTCCCTAATCAACACCGTGCAAATGGGCCCTGTATTGTGTGCTGCAAGTTGATAGGAAAAAAATAAGATCCTCGGAAAAAATGGAAAATCGAAACAAATGAAATGCAAAAGGACATTTCTTTGCTACAGAATGATCAACATGATCGAACTGAGCCAAAGTCCCTTGAACGGATGGCATGGTCAAGTCATTTCGTACCGGATGGTCCCCAAAATGAATCCACATGTGCGGGCGTCAGAAATCTTGAGTGCTAAGTCGCATGGGATGAAGCTTGAAGACCCACCTGAATTCGTGTGGTCTTGGGCCTAATGGTGACGCAATGTTCATCACAATTCATGATAATATATTTCTAAATATATATACTGTGTATAATCATCATCGTCATCATCCTCATCATCGTCATCATCGTCGTCGTCGTCATCATCATCATCATCGTCATCGTCATCGTCATCATATATTGTGTATATATATATATGTGATGATGATGATGATGGTGATGATGATGATGATGATGATGATATTAGTTTCAGCAGTGTCTGGTGCCCCATTTCCATTTCGAAACTCACGGCTGCAAGATGAGTAGATATGGATTGCTATGATGTTTTTGGATTTATATGGACCGTCTGACACTCCATTTCCAACTAGATATGCTCAAACTTTCAGGAACAAACCTTGGTTTGAATCCAGGTTTTTTCTGTGTAATCCAACCAGAAATCTCCAACCATCCCATTTGAAACCTTCCAAAATGGTGGTCTTATTTTGGTCGGTTTCACGTTCCATTGAGAAGAATTGCATAGTGAGCTGGGAAGCCTCGAAGCTATCCTTCAGTTCTTCAGTCTCGCATTCCTGGTGTTACAGTCGGTGACAAGTGGATTTCATGTTGTAGGAATTGAATGGGATTTTATAGGAATTGAATTTTAATGACGATTTTTTGACATTTACTCAAACATGGCCATCGGAAATCACCTTCCAATGGAGGTTTAGTTCGCTGGGAAAATCATCGAACTAAAGGGATGATTTTCCAGCACGCCATGTTTGATTCCTGGAGAGTACATTGATACATTCCTTTACTTCGAGTAATCCCCACCCTGACACCCTTTGACATAACTTCCAATATACCTGGGAGTATATATGGCCATATGGCATATATCTGGATAAATTGTAATAATTCACTAACCTGAATTAAGGCCACCACTTTCATTTCGGACCCAGCTGCCCCCTGGCCCACCGGACCTGAATTAAGGCCATTTGGGGATGATTTCCCTTATTAAGCATTCTTTCTGGCATTCACTCTGGCCTGTGTTTGGGGGCGCGGCCCGCGCACCCGCTGCAGAGCTCCCGATGGGCTTGGACTCCAGGCCACATGACTCGGATGCGTGCCGTCCCCACGAGCTGACAGAAGGAGGAGGAGGAAGAAGCTGAAGGAAGCTGAAGGAAGCTGAAGGAGGAGGAGGGGCTGCACCTTTGTTAAAATCTAGAGACCACCTGGCAGGTGGCCAGAAACGGAAATGCCATGAGCCGGAAACATGTCAGCTGGAGCTGGGGCGAGAGGTGCAAATGAGGAACCAGCGGGGGGAGATGTGAGGGTGCGAGGGGTGCGAAAGGGCTTCGATTAACCTATATATATATGTGTGTAATGTAATGTAATGTAATGTAATGTAATGTAAGGTAAGGTAAGGTAAGGTAATGTAATGTAATGTAATGTATGTAATATACATATATAAAGAGGTGTCATGTTTAACCCCCACGTCCCAGCTCCTACCCATGAACTTCAACCCTTCTCCTTCGCAGCATCTGCAAATTTCCTCAGCTGGATGAAGCACTTCAACCGTAGCAATGCGCCCTGGAGCGGGTGGGAATCTGAGAGGTATCCTTCTGAAATCAGACATGGCTGCGAAATCCTCTATAATTTTCTATAAATAGATGCTTTTTAAATGGAAAATCCTCTATAAATGGCCTGTTTGGCTATTGGGGAAATGGATGGCCAGAGCACATCATATACCCTACCCTCAAAAAAATAATGAGAGAACAACGGCTCGGCAGATGATGTGCGTATTGATCGCGGTTCATATTCATTTTAAAAAATCAATGGCTTGATTCCGTGGACTATGAATATGTTGTTTCTGATTTACCACGATTCACCTATTCCACCCATTGATCTATGTGTAAAATTGCAAATCATTCGAATCATTTCCATGCAGTGATTTAATGACGCCTTCTGGGTGGAGACTTGCGCAATCCTCACAGGTAATGCTGGTAAAACAAACAAACAAAAACGAAAACACCCACCAGAATCATCAAACCTTAAATTCCTATAATTTTCTGATGAAATTAGAACATTCAAATCTGTTTGCTTTCACTCCCCATCTTTGCTCCTGAACGTGCCTTATCTTGGGATTTTAGTTGATCTCCATCCCCGATCCTTCTACAGCAAATCGAGCCATGAATAAATTCATCCCGAAAATATCCACATGAAATATCTCCATAGTATTGGCTATGTCATGAATGTGTATATATATACATACATATGTATATATATATGGGTAAATTATAATAATTCACTAACCTGAATTAAGCCCATTTGGGGATGATTTCGCTTACTAACCATGATTCCCAGTGAGGTCGTAGTGAGGTCGTTATAATTTACCCAGATATATATATATATGTATATTATATTTCTAGGTTTTGATACATCTTCATGTTGTCTTTTCATTGGTCCCAAATTTGCTGCTTTCCGCGCCTCCGCACCGTACTTGCCACTTGGAAGTCCTCGCAGGGCCGTGTCCACACGTCGCTGCTCCACCAAGGTCCTTCGCGTCGATGGGTCAAAGTTTCGAAGGTCCCTTGAGGATCTTTCGAATTTGTAGTCATGTTCATTCATTTTCTATGATATAAATCATAAAATATAGGGATATATATATCAATCATATATCATATATCAATCATTTTTTTAGTGATATAAGCATCCAAGTTTTGGTGCCCAATTCTGACCAATTCTGCGCCGAATGGAAAATCTGCAGGATTTGACCATGATCTTGACCCAAATCTAGGAATTCAATTATGGGGATAACTGGAAGATTTCGATTGTTTGCTACAAATTGCTATGATCCGTACATGGGTGCGTTTCAAAATGGAGTATACCCCCAAGTTGGTGATTTTAAAAGGAAACATTGTGATAAACCATGATAACCGGTGGACGAAATGGGATTTAGTAATTTCAGACAAAGCCATACAAGAGAAGATTTCGAAAAATCTGGACAAAAAACGTTCAAACTTTGGATCAACAGGGGAGTGGTTTAAACCCAAACCGTGGTTTTTTCAAGAAAGTCATGGAGGTCACACACAGAGGATTCCACCAAGCGGATCCCAGGATTCACCTTTTTCAAAAATGGGAACTGCCATGCCAGCCATGCTTTTGTTTATGTTTTTCGACTGGTGAAATCCTTCAAAAAAAACACGTGGTTTTCTGACTTTTTTCGGTATGGGGCCACTCATCAAGAGGTTTTTGTCCACATGATACAGGAGTCACTGGGGCCATACTGTGCTCCAATGTTTCTGAAATCTCCACCAAAGCTTCGTCAAAAGTGATGGGTTAAAAGTTCCAGTTCTCCTACCCTCTGGTTATGACTAACAGTTCGCCATGGAAGCCATGGCCCATAGAAATAGATGATTTACCTATTAGAAATGGTGATTTCTTTCCATGGCAAACTGTGAATGTCATAACCAGAGGCTAAATCTCCATGAAAATCACAACTGATTAAAAAAAAAAAATGATAAAATCATTCTTAACCACTATGAAATTAGCCCATAGAAATCGTTGATTTTCCATGATTTTCCCATGAAAAATTGTCATTTTCAATAGCATTTGTGGGTCACCTGGCGCTGGTCCTGGCCGTCTCGACTCCGGCGGGCTGAGACTGGGTGACCTGGCAGTTGCTGGCAGAAAATTTTGGAGATTTTATGGAGGAAGAATGTATCAAGTGTATCAACCATAGAACTATCACTTAACTATACCAAAAAAAATATACCCTCTGGTAAATTAACATAGACCCGGGCAGATAGGGGTTGGAAGACTAGTTTCCATTAAAAATTGGTGATTTTCAGGGTCTATGTTTATTTACCATAGGGTATCATCTAACTTGGTAAATGGAGTTTTGTTTTACCATACTAGTATATTCATAGTAATTAGTTACTGTAGCACAGTTGGGTGTAACTTGAGGCTTAATCATTATATGTATCAGTCTATCTATATAGTATCATATTCCAAGATATGCTTGTAGATACATGTATCAGGGATAGTATACAAGATATCTGATATTAGTAGGTGTTCTTAGACAGTATGTGATACAATATGTATGCGATTGTCCATTAATATATCTTGGTCAATACAATATGTTTGTATCACTAGTATACTATGTGTAATCAATTTGAGGGTCAATTGAATTTAGTATAATTTAGTACTAGACTAGTATATCTACTCCAAGATTACAATATCTGTATATCTTTACATGCATTAAAAGGTATATGTATATGTATAATATTGCAGCATATGTATATATATACATATATTCAACATTCACATATAGTGTGAGTCGATATAGGTGTATACGTTCGTTGAATTAGCGTCTGTATACACAATGCGTCGATTATACATTGGTTCAAAAACAACAATAGCCATGTGCGGTTTATAATTGTGTTTACCACATAGATGGAAGAAGGTATTGCAGCCTTTTGGGCCTAACCCTCTGATTCGCCGTGCAAAAATGTCCAGAATAATTCTTTCCAGTTTACATGATATATCCTTATTTCTACCTCTTGCCAGGGCCATAATATGATACCCCTAAAATGGTTGCGTTTTTCTGGAGGTGCAACCACCAAACATGGGACTCTTCCGGCGAATCATACGGCGAATCCGGAGACAATCCATCGGAGGGTGTTCGGCAGACATTTTATGGAGTTTTTTTACCCACAAAAAAGGGTGATGGAGCGCCAAACATGGGGGGGGGGTTGACGAACAAGAGAATAAAGATTAGAGTCTCAACAATGCGGGCTGAGTCCCAACAATTGGTGACATGCCAAACATCTGGATTTAATCAACAAAACAAAATCACAGTGGCCAGAAACGGGGATGTGATCAGAAGCAATGCCGAGCTTGCAAACAAACATGCAGAACGGGGATTCCAGCAATGAAAGTGGTTGCTTTGACCAATAGATTCCAAAGAGCCAGAAAATGATAATGGAACTGAATGTTAGATTAGAGTTATATAAGTTATATATAAGATATTAACAGGGATCAATGAGTAGTTCAGAGTTTTAAAAAAGCGCGGGTAAGTATGTTTCGCATGTGCCCAGTAAGGTCCATCGACAATGTGCAACTCGTTTTACCCATCGACAATGGCACTATTAATCACTGGTTGGTGGTTTTAACCCCTCTGAAAAATATGAAAGTCAATGGGAAGGATTATCCCATATATGAAATGGAAAATGAAAAATGTTCCAAACTCCAAACCACCAACCAGAAAAATTATGGCACAAAGCAGAAAAGGAAAGCCCAATCCTTTTCAGTGACGGCAAGTAAGTTTCACCCTTTCTCAATCTTAGAACACGCAGTGCCAAAAACATAAAACAACAAAACATGACATGGCTATGTCTATTTCCAAGTATTTGATCACCCCAACCTTTCCACTATGCAAATTCAGTCAAAAACCACCGGAAATTTTGGAGGATTGTCCAGAAATCCCTAAATGAGAATCTCATCATATCCCCATAAGATCTTTGGTTAACATCCTCATAAAAACTGCTGCTTCAACCTCCATTTTCGATTCATCTCCCTGGATCAATTACAATCATTTACTAACGTGAAAAGTTCCACGATTTCGGCACAGTTATCCCAATCAATTCCCAAAAAAAATCCGCTGAAGTCGCTCACCGTGAGGAATTTTTGTGATCTGAAAAACCTATCCAGATGATCACGATTCGATCCCATGACTTGCAAGTTAACTAAGTTAACCTCCCATTTGTTGACAACAACATATGTGCTATCCGGTTGATGGTTTAAAAACAATCTTGAAAAATGATGGAGTTCGTCAATGGGGTTGGGATGACATCCCATATATGAAATGGAATTCATAAAAGCCATGTTTGAAACCACCAACCAGATATCTCATTAACCATTCTTAACATTGATTAACCATGATTAACCATCATTACCCCATACTAAACACCCCATTATGTAACATATTAATAACCATCTTCCCAGGACATTGGTCGTTTCATGACACTTGATCCATGAAAATCGCCACGGCTTTTTTCCGCAGCGGACTCAGCGGAAGAGGCCGCCAAAGATGCGACGGAAGAAGCCCTGGTTCACGGTGACGATTCAGGGACCCATAGGGACCCATAGGGAGGAGGCTGAACCAGCCAAAATGGGCCAACGACTCCTTTGCATAGGGATCGATCAACGGGTTCAACCAGCAAAAAATGATATCTAACAGTCTAACATAATTTCTAGGCATGTTTAACCACACAAACATTGGACCAAAACATCGAACACGTCGAACAAAAACCAAACCACCTAAGTTGTTTCAGGGACCAGAAACATCGACTGATTTCCAACATACCCAGGATATTTCACAAACGACCCCCGGCCTTCTTCTTGACATTCGCCACCTGTGTATCGACGCCATCTGCTGCGCTGGCCAATCCCATCTTGACAATCCTTGGATTTTCGCCCTTCTGCACACATAAAAGACTTGAAAAGGGGAACATAGGAATTCAAAAGAAACCAGGGAGTATAACCCCCTATAATCATCAATCAACAAAGGGAACACGAAAGGTTTTTCTTCGGAAAGTGGAAGAGGCTTGGCAGGTCATGCTGTTCGAGGATGATGCTGGACTTAAACCCTTCGGGATCCTCAATGAAAGTAGTAGCAACGCAATGGTAGGAAATTCTACATGATTGGGAACTGGATTGACCAGTGGCCAATCACAAATCAGTTCACATGTTGGTGTGTCTGAGAAAAGGCTACCTGTAAATCGACTGTTTGATCACAACCATCCCTATCAAATAACCGTCCCTATTTTCAGACACACCCATAAATTGCCAGTAGATTCCCCATGAGATTTAGCAGATTTACCAAGAACCAATGGAAAAACAGGAAAACAATCCAAGAAATCTGTACTTGGAAGTGCAGATTTCTAAGTTAAACAGGTCTTTATTGGTCCATAGGGGCCAAGTTACCCCAAGTTATGGGGGAACCTGGCAAGTCCCCATGGTTTTTTATAGAAAAAGTCCATCCAAAAAAACCCGTGAAAATCCAGGAATCTGAGCAAAAGAGTCCAAGTTCATGACCATTTTCTGGGCCTGGCAAGTCACAGATCGAGATCACTGGAGTGGATAGCCATTTGGAAAAGCTGCAGCCAATCTAAGGCAGTCGCTGCTAAGCTGGGCAGCTGTAGGGTTATACCGTGAAAAACCGGAGAACTTGGGCAGGGGCTAAAGCCCACCTAGAAGTGGGCTTATAACTTAGTAGAGTTAAGCACCAAATAGGAAAGCGTACTTGAATTCAATGACTCTCGGACTCTCGGGCCAAGCAAAACACTTCAGACCTCTCCAGTTTTGGTGGTTGAATCCCTTGGTGCACCCATGAATTTCCGGGTGGATAAACGACGAATCAAATTGGGGGATCCAGCACCACATCCAAGGCTGCCAAGGCTTAAAATCCGCGATTACAACTGGATCATCACCATACTATGTCATAATATGACACTATGGGGTACCACCAGATATATGAGGCTTGATCATGATCTTGAGCAGATTCCCAAACGGCTATGCCAGACTCTCCAGAGTCCCGTGTTTTGGGACCTGATCAAACGGTTTCGTTAGCCAAAATTATCTTTGAAACCTGTAAATCCAGTAACATCTCTATTTATCTTTGCAACTTGAGTCACTTGAAGGAAAAAAAAACTGTACCATTCGATTATGCTGCTTGGTTGATAATTCTGTTCCATAATTTATGGGTGAGTTCACAAACCCTTTTAATCCCTATTATATAAACTCGGTCGCTTAATAACCCACTAAACCATGATTTCAGAACCTATCAACCATCATTTGTATCCTCATATTTAGTGGTTAAAACTTGTATGGGATGCTTAAATTCCCCTTGTGAATCTTGTCATCCATTTCCAGTTGGTTATTTCAAAATTCTCGCTTACAATCAGCCAACATTTCCTAAGCATAAGCCCATGTTTGGTGCTTAAAACCATTTCTAACCCATGAAACCCGTGTCGTTTTCACGTTCACGTTCCGCCACGTTCCGCCATCGCGGAACTCCCCGTTTCGCGTTTCGAAGCCGCCTTGGTCTTGAGGCTCAGGATCTCAGCGCTACCCTCGCTGCCTAACGCCATTTTCAGTGGGCCCTCTAGAGATTGGGTCAAGGCCTCCAGCCGTTGGTTGAAGCTTTTCCGAAAGCTGCCTGGCGTTTTCGAGACGAGACCAGGAAGGAGCGTTTTTTGATGAAAGGACAGGTCGGACCGGGGATGGGATAGGAATAAATAGGAATAAATAGGAATAAATAGGACTATTGAATACGTATTGTGGGATGGGATAGGTATTGATAATTTGATGCTTGTAGTGGGATGGAAAAGGATGGGACGGATGGATAGGAACACCTGATAGGAAAGGATGGAAGGGGTGGGAAAGAAGGATTGTTCAAGTATTTTGGAGAAGGCAAAATCTAGTGTTGAGGAATGGTTTTCTGGAAGCTGGCTGGCAGAGGACAAATGAACATAGGAAAATCAGAAGGGGTGAGAAGGGTGGTTGACAATTGAAGTCTATATGATTAAGGAAAGGTTTTCTGATATCAGGATATATCTGGCAGCTTCAAATGGAGGAAAGGATAAGAGGTTGGGTCTTGCAACCGGAGATCATGATCATAGGCTTTCCCCAACCAAAAATATCATTACACTTTGATTTCCTTGAGGAAATAATAAATGTATGTATATATATATCTACATTATATATATACACAATATAATATATACATTATATATATATATACACAATATAATATATACATATATGATCGAGAGACCTTTAGGTACCATTTTGTTCCGGTTAATTCTGATAATTTTTAGAGCCTTTTGGATAATTGAGAGGATTTGAAGAATTAAATGATTTAATCCTTTTAATCCTTTTAATCCTCCAGAGCCTTTTGGGGGATTAAAAGGATTAAAAGGACTAAATGATTTAATCCTTTTAATCCTTTTAATCCTCCAGAGCTTTTCGGAGGATTAAAAGGATTAAAAGGATTAGATGATTTAATCCTTTTAATCCTTTTAATCCTCCAGAGCCTTTTGGAGGATTAAAAGGATTAAAAGGATTAAATGATTTAATCCTTTTAATCCTTTTAATCCTCCAGAGTCCTTTGGGGGATTAAAAGGATTAAAAGGATTAAATGATTTAATCCTTTTAATCCTTTTAATCCTTTTAATCCTTTTAATCCTCCAGGGGGTCCGGAATTCCCGGCCCAAGCCCTTGAGAAATATATTTAAATCCATTTAATCCTTTTAATCCTCCAGAGCCTTTTGGAGGATTAAAAGGATTAAAAGGTTTTAAAGAATTAAATTGCTGGGCTTTTCTTGGGATTCTGGGAGGTCTGGAGGATTAAAAGGATTAAAAGGATTAAAAGGATTAAATCATTTAATCCTTTTAATCCTCCAGAGCCTTTTGGGGGATTTAAAGGATTAAAAGGATTAGATGATTTAATCCTTTTAATCCTTTTAATCCTCCAGAGCCTTTTGGAGGATTAAAAGGATTAAAAGGATTAAATGATTTAATCCTTTTAATCCTTTTAATCCTTTTAATCCTTTTAATCCTTTTAATCCTTTTAATCCTTTTAATCCTCCAGGGGGTCCGGAATTCCCGGCCCAAGCCCTTGAGAAATATATTTAAATCCATTTAATCCTTTTAATCCTCCAGAGCCTTTTGGAGGATTAAAAGGATTAAAAGGTTTTAAAGAATTAAATTGCTGGGCTTTTCTTGGGATTCTGGGAGGTCTGGAGGATTAAAAGGATTAAAAGGATTAAAAGGATTAAATCATTTAATCCTTTTAATCCTCCAGAGCCTTTTGGGGGATTTAAAGGATTAAAAGGATTAGATGATTTAATCCTTTTAATCCTTTTAATCCTCCAGAGCCTTTTGGAGGATTAAAAGGATTAAAAGGATTAAATGATTTAATCCTTTTAATCCTTTTAATCCTTTTAATCCTTTTAATCCTCCAGGGGGTCCGGAATTCCCGGCCCAAGCCCTTGAGAAATATATTTAAATCCATTTAATCCTTTTAATCATCCAGAGCCTTTTGGAGGATTAAAAGGATTAAAAGGATTTAAAGAATTAAATTGCTGGGCTTTTCTTGGGATTCTGGGAGGTCTGGAGGATTAAAGGGATTAAAAGGATTAAAAGGATTAAATCATTTAATCATTTTAATCTTTTTAATCCTTTTAATCCTCCAGAGCCTTTTGGGGGATTAAAAGGATTAAAAGGATTAAATGATTTAATCCTTTTAATCCGTTTAATCCTCCAGAGCCTTTTGCAGGATTAAAAGGATTAAAAGGATTAAACGATTTAATCCTTTTAATCCTTTTAATCCTCCAGAGTCCTTTGGGGGATTAAAAGGATTAAAAGGATTAAATGATTTAATCCTTTTAATCCTGTTAATCCTTTTAATCCTCCAGGGGGTCCGGAATTCGCGGCCAAAGCCCTTGAGAAATATATTTAAATCCATTTAATCCTTTTAATCCTCCAGAGCCTTTTGGAGGATTAAAAGGATTAAAAGGATTTAAAGAATTAAATTGCTGGGCTTTTCTTGGGATTCTGGGAGGTCTGGAGGATTAAAAGCATTAAAAGGATTAAAAGGATTAAAAGGATTAAACGGATTAAATCATTTAATCCTTTTAATCCTTTTAATCCTCCAGAGCCTTTTGGGGGATTAAAAGGATTAAAAGGATTAAATGATTTAATCCTTTTAATCCTCCTCCAGAGCCTTTTGGAGGATTAAAAGGATTAAAAGGATTAAATGATTTAATCCTTTTAATCCTTTTAATCCTTTTAATCCTCCAGGGGGTCCGGAATTCCGGGCCCAAGCCCTTGAGAAATATATTTAAATCCATTTAATCCTTTTAATCCTCCAGAGCCTTTTGGAGGATTAAAAGGATTTAAAGGATTTAAAGAATTAAATTGCTGGGCTTTTCTTGGGATTCTGGGAGGTCTGGAAGATTAAAAGGATTAAAAGGATTAAATGGTTTAATCCGTTTAATCCTTTTAATCCTCCAGAGCCCTTTAGGGGATTAAAAGGATTAGAAGGATTAAATGATTTAATCCTTTTAATCCTTTTAATCCTTTTAATCCTTTTAATCCTTTTAATCCTCCAGGGGGTCCGGAATTCCCGGTCCAAAAGGATTAAAAGGATTTAAAGAATTAAATTGCTGGGCTTTTCTTGGGATTCTGGGAGGTCTGGAGGATTAAAAGGATCAAAAGGATTAAACGGTTTAAAAGGATTAAATGATTTGATCCTTTTAATCCTTTTAATCCTCCAGAGCCTTTTGGTAGGTTCAACAGGGTTCCGGATAAAGTTCCGGGAGGCTTTGGTGCAGAGCCAGGTCAGGCTCAACAGGGCTCCGGGGTTCCGGAGAAGGTTCCGGGAGGCTTTGGAGCAGAGCCAGGTTAGGTTCAACAGGGTTCTGGTGAAGGTTCCGGAGAAGGTTCCGGGAGGCTTTGGTGCAGAGCCAGGTCAGGTTCAACAGGGTTCCGGAGAAGGTCTGGGAGGCTTTGGTGCAGAGCCAGGTCAAGTTCAACAGGATTTGTGGCCATTTAACTCACGGAAACCGAGCTGAAGTGTTTCCAGCGCTTGGTTTGGCAGCAGGCTTCAGAAAGATTAGTAAACATAAAACGTTGCGGCTGTTGGGCATACCACCGAAGCTTGTTTTCCAAAGACATTTGCTGTGGATGGAAATTGCATGTCCCTTCAAAGTTGCAAGAATGCAGGGGTGAGGCATGTCACCCTGCCTTTGGCAGCATTGTAAGTGACAGCACACGAGATTTCTTGTAAAGAAGCAACGCCCGGATGTTTGTTTGAAATTTCCAGGAACAAATATTTTTCGACAAGGGCCACATCACCACATGGGACTTTCAAAAAGCAATGCTCTTGAGCTGCATTGACAGCTGGTGAGCCTCCATCCACATTGTGCAAACAGACAACATCACCAGAAGTAATTGTTGCCCCAGAAAAAGTTTACAACGAGAGCTCTGCATGCAAGGCATTCCCACAGGAACCACGCCAGCATTGCATAGGAATGCCGTCATCTTCTTTGTGGGGCCCCCTTTTTGCATTTTGTAGGCAGGTGCCTTCTCTAAACAGTCTTGACTCTTCACCCAATGTATAGATGTGCCCTGCGATGACAGACTTCCTCAGAGAAGTTTCCCAATAGGTAGTGTTGCACAAGACATTCCCATGTTTTCTAGTGCCTTTGTGCTTCCTTTCCATGGTCCAGCATGCAGGTAATTGGCCATGCCTCTGGAGACTTTGACTATAATATGAAGTGACCAGTGCATCTTTGGCTCGAATTCTTCCGACCAGTCAGCTGCAACAGTTGCCTCCAATGCTGCTTCAACAAATGAAAGCAATTGCTTGTAGTCAGGCTTTTCCAAAGCAGGGATGGATAGGCGATAGTCCAAAACTTTGCACCAAGCCAAAGAGCAAGTTGACCCCAGAAGACAAATGCCATTAGGCAAGCAACAAATTTGGACATAGTGTGCCAGCACCTGGTACAGACCCAGAATCTCTGAGGATGCATCTGAACTTCCCAGCTTTTTTGTGGCCTCCCACTGCTTTGGGCAGAAATAGCCTTTTCAAATTGCATTTGTGAATGGCAGGCTGGGCCCAAAGTTGCACAAAGCCATGTGCCTTCCAAATCTCAGCCACACCACTGGAAGCAAGCGGTTGGATCCACAAAAACAAATACCTAGTTCAGCACACCATTTGGGCAGAGCCCATGCATATAATCATGCATGTATTGGGTGATTGGTCTCAGAAGGTTCTGGGACTTCAGCTTGTCACTCAGCAAGAGTGAATGCTGGGAATAATCAACCCCAGAAGCCTGGCTCCACCTTCTTAACTCGGTTTTGTTGCCCTCTTGCATCCTTGCCCACGAGGACAGGATTTCTTGGTCTGTTGCAACATCCAACAGAGAGTTTCAGTCTTTTAAGACCTCCCTGTAAAAGTACCTCAGAATGAGGATGAGCATATTTGTTGTCAAACATGTGCTCCAGGATCAACCTGAAACATTGGCCAATGCTGGCTGCCAGCTGTGAGACTTGCTCACTCCTCTTCCCGAGCAATGTCAACCAACTTTCAGAATTTGACAGCGTGGCCCCAAACTGGCAGATGAACAGTAAATTGCCCATGTATTCCTAGAA